GGTATCAGTGGTGGATGTCCAAGTTCTGCTATGGTACAGGAGAGGATGGTGAAGAATTTCTCGGAGTCCAGCAAAGAGCGCTATATATGGCTGCTATTCTATGCTATAGTGTGAGCTTCTGTAGTGTAGTGGTTGAACATGCTGTGTTGGACACTGAAATTGCAGGTTGCTGGTTCAATTCCCTGTGGTGGCATTTTTTTTTGCCGCCGCTGCACCCACTAACAAATATTGTACACTTGACCTTGATCAAGAGCAGCTGTCCTTTGATTTACTTCCATGCATATCATCTTTATTCAATACATCTCACAGTGAACTTGGGCATGAACTTGAACAGGGACTTGGAGGACTTGGCCAAGTACCTGGTACTTGGCCAAGTCGACCCACCCAACTTGGCCAAGTCCATTGGACTTGGGGTACTTGAGGTACTTGGGATACTTGAGGTACTTGGCCAAGTACCCCAAGTACCTGTACAAGTCCGTGACGTTTTCCTGATGCCCTCCCTTCGTCATTTCAGTCGTTACAATGGCCTCGTACACTGTATCTCTTACACTTATTTCTGTCATTACTTAGCAATGAAATCATAGCTCCATGTCGCATACTCAACTGTTACTGCAAGAATACGCGTCTCGTAGGATTTTGTTCTGACGAATCATATGGTCAAGACGTGGCCACAACAAAGGCACCTGGTCGAGTTCTATTCCCTATGTACTAATTTTTGATCTGGCATCCGTAGGCGACCATTCTGTCGGTTGGCAGCTCAAACATGGCAGAGTATGGGGTAGTAGCATGCTCAAAGTCAAGGACAGGAATGAATAACGGACAGTCTCATCAACTCGCGGACTTAGCCTATCCGAGCCATAGCCCACCGTCAGACCGCTCACTCGGACATGCCGGAGATCTCACGTGCTAACTTTTGACTGGTGGTCATGACCGGGTCACACAGTGACCGGTCATCCGTCGTCTAAAAGTCATGACCGTTGACTTGACCCGTAACAACGCTGTGCTGACGAGTATTCGCCTTCGATCGTGGCGGTGCTACCGCTTTAGGATCGCAGGAGTATGGTACCATGCGTACCACACGATACCACTTGTTAGACCAGAACGCGGTACTGGCGGATCATTCACACAAATGCTATCACAAGTAAACCTTGTTTACATTTACCTACAACAGCCAGGCGGTCGATACTGTACATTGTTTGTGCTACACCGTATGCAATGTCCGATAGCTGTGTAAACCCCCTCCCCCGAAGGGCCCGGGTTGAGCCGGGAACTATCGCCCGAAGTTGAGTTCAGGTGTAAAGCTAGGTGCGAAGCGACGATCGGAGCAGAGCCCCTAGTGAAATCCCGAAGCGGTATAGAAGCGAGAAATGTAAACGGCTGCTGCGACATGGTGCAACGCCGTCAGACATCGTTACAGCCTCCTGCGGACGACAATGCGCTCCTTTCCGACGTGGGACTCCATACTGATCTTGGGCACTTCGTCCAAGACCTTCTCCCAGCCGTCGCCGAGCACTTCATCGTAATGCTCAGGCCGGACGAAGAAGGGGGGGCCAGTGTCGGTGGGGTCAAGGATAGGGAAGACGAGACAGATGAGGTACCCCCCGGGCTTGACGATCTCCGCCATCTTGCGGCCCCATTCGGGGCGGCGGGAAGGCAGGATCGCAACGAAGAAGCTGCCCATACGGTCAGGAAGATGTCCTAGTGTGGGGGGAGGGACGTGGAGCACTTACGTGTAGTCATACACGAGGTCGTACTGCTCCTTCATGGCAAAGAAGTCCGCAACCTCGTAGCGCACGTTCGCAGTCGTGCCTGTGGAGCGGGTGTAACTGGCAGCAAGTAAGTCGTCGGAGTACGGGACGAAGATGTCGATGGTGGACTCACTCCTCGGCCTGCTTGAGAGCGGTCTCCGAGATATCTGTTCCGATTGTCTCGATCCCGAGGCCCTCAGCGATACAAATGGCATCATAGCCCTACAGAGGGGATAGTAAGTCAATCAGGATCGCCTAGAGTCGAGCGCCCATGACCTACTTTGCCGCATCCCGGGACGAGAGCACGACCCGTGGTTGGAAGGGGGAGGCGCTTCGATTCGATCAACTCTTTGAGAGGCGGTTGCAGTTGACCGGCATCCCAGGGCGTCACGTCCTTCTGCCTATACGACCCTCAGTCAGTATTAGCCAGGTAGGACAATGCAAGGAGACACAAACCAAGCCTCGTCCCAGCCATCTTGTTGGCGGGTCTTGATGATCTCCCGGATCCCGGCGATCTTGACTGGGTCCCAGATGTCAGTGATGCTCATGTCTCAAAGCAGTAGTAGGATGAAGATGGGTGAGGGACTGCTGTGAGGGGCTATCGTGCCCTCTCTTCGACCCCCTCGTCTTTATAGACGCTAGTTTTAGGTTCAGCACGAGGACCAGGTCAGAATTCTAGTCCGGAAGACGTTAGATACATCTTTGCACGGAAGAGATGTCCTGGGGATCGCTGTGAGAATTTACCCATGGTCCTCATCGAGCCCCATGAACGACTGGCTGCGTTCGCTTCTCCCGGGAGCGTGGAGGCTCCGCGAGTCCTATCCACCCAGCGGAAGATCATGTCATGCCCAGCGTATAAGCTTATCTCTCGAGCTTCGAGAGATTGGAAAAACGTACGGTAGAACAATTGAAGAGGGCCGTTTGGGGGGCATGGCGGTTCTCTGTACTAAGTTGGTGCGACTGAGTAGCTCGATGCTCCCTCGAACGGAATGACGCCGAAAGTCATGATCACGTGGTTGGCTAGGCAGCTTAAGGAACTTGAACAAACCACATCCACAAGGGCGTGATTACAGTGAGCACAAAGTCCTTGCCGGTCTGTATGGGACAGCGAACTATGCAGCAGTGTGATCGGAGTAGAGACTGTCTGTAAGGATCCCACAATGAGACGGTAGCAATCACGGGTACAGAGAAGCTGACGCCTGAGGTACGAAGGTTGGCCGCCGGTTCTGGTCTATCTCCAGGAACGTTCCCTTTGACGCCAGCATCCGAATACAATCCCAGGTAAACTTGGTGCGTTCTCCCTGAGCGATTCAAGAAGGCCACTCAACAGCAGTTCTTGCCTTCCTAAGGAAGATCAATGCACTCGATAGACATTTAGGTTGGGTTCACTTCGTTTTGCCCCCGCTCAACCGTCCAAACCTGACAAGCGCTCTCCCGAGGACGGAGTTCCCGTCCTCCGACTAAGTTCAGTCAGCAATGGCTTATCGCTGGGTGGCTCGCATCCGGTCCGCACATCGCGCCCACCATTCAGAGAAGTGCTTCTACTCACAAGGAGAAGAACTTCTCCTCAAAAATACGCGCCATTGAGCAATATCCCCTGATGTAGTTGACTGGCAAGGTCAGTCAGCAGCGGGAAATTTGTTAGTTGCATCCAATCGCATAAATCACCAACACCGCATAGAAGTACTTCTACGCCTCAAAAGCGACAGAACTTCCCGTCATCCCATCTTGTGACTGCACGGCGGCTCCCAAAGAAAGACTCCTGTTTCACAAATGATGTGCTTGCGCTCCCACCTTCGCTTCGTATTGGCGCAGGAATACGACATCGGATCCTTTGCTATCAGTGGGTCCGGACGGGGATGTGAACGGCGATGCGTCAAGCCAATTGAACGAACTCTTTCCGTGCTCCAGACCCGGGCTCCCGTCGGCGACTATGGAGAAAGGATTCTAGATCGCTGTTGAATTCGTCATAGCGTACAGTAGCATACACCGCATGATCAGGGAAGCGCAAGGCACTTGACGATGGACGCTGAAGGGGCTCATCGTAGGCCGTAGCCCCTCGACTTCGTACTTGACCCTAGGAGGCTGCCCCCTCCCGTCCTCGCCTTCACGCCCCGCTCGATGTCCGTGATCTTCGTGTCAAGCTCGCGGACCGCTCCATCAATCCACTGCAAGCTCTCGAGGTGACTGCTGAGGATCTGGGCGATTTGGCCCATGGGGTCATCGGCCCCATCCTGGCCTTGGCCATTGGCACCGCTGGAAGGGAGCGAAAGCGCGTTGACGGATTCGATCATCTGCATAAGCGAGCCAGAGAGGTCGTCCAGATGCCCGTGCAGCTCCGTTGCGAGCATGTAGCTGTGGACAGGGAGTCAAGGGAAGTCCGACGGCGACTAATGCGAGGTACATACTTCTTGTCGCGCTCAGTGTCTGCGGGCCCAGTATCGAGCGCCCGGAGGTTGCCACCCTGTCCTCCTAAAATCTCTTCGGTTGACTTCTCGTATGCGTCAAGGGTGGCAGCGAGGTCTTTTTGTTGTTGCTCGATGTGGTCGAGCGATTGGTCGATGTCGTTTTGCTCTCGCTCTGCTGCGAGCACGATGGTGTACAAGCGTTGGATCTAGGTGGAAGCCCATGAAGCAACATTCATCAAGATCTCCGCTTCTGGACTACATACGTTGTTGCCGTTCTCAATGAGGGCACGATCCCAAACGTGGACTTCGCTAGCGAACTTGTTGAATTCCCGAACATGTGTCTCAAGGTCCTGTGACCACTTGTTGACAATCTCCTCGACGTTCTTCCCTCGTAATGCTGAAGGAGGTGCCACCGCCGTTGTTGTGGTCGCATTTGACATTGATCCGCCTGCAGTACCAGTAGCGGTCGTGATTCCTAGAGTGGGTGCCGTGGTCGTAGATGCTCCAGATGCAGGGGCTAGTAGCCAATATTCAGCGTGATGAACTGTATGTCACTACACTCGGACTACACATACTTGAGCTGGGCTTCTTGTCGTCCGGCTTGGATCCGAAGAGATTGAAAGACGACACTGGTGCGGGAGCTTGGCTGGGGTTAGTATAGTCTAACGCTCTGCCAGAAGCAGCACGCACCTGCAGCACCATCTTTCTTCTCGTCCTTCTTCTCGTCTGGCTTGTTGCCACCGAGACTAAAGAGTGAAGGTGTTGTCGTGGCTCCCGTGGTTCCTGTCGTTGTAGAGCCAGTAGGTGCAGAGGTCGTTCCGGTTGCGCCGGTCGCACCAGCTGCCGGCGTAGCCGGTTTTGCGCCGAACAGACTTCCACTGAACAGATTCCCAGATGACGCGGCGCTGGTCGTTCCTGTCGTGCCAGTCGTACCCGCAGTACCCGCAGCAGTTGCTGCAGTCGTTCCCTGTGGGTCGGCAGGTTTGGGTGGCAGACCGAACAGACTATTGGAGGGCGCGGCCGGGGCTATGACACATCTCACGTAGGTAGTCTCGCATGAAAGACGGAAATGTCAACATACCTGTCGTGCTGCCAGTAGTGCCAGTTGACGCGCCGGCGGCCGAGGTACCGAATACTGCGTCCAACAGTTCAATTCTGCATCAGCGTGCATAGAGTGCATGACTCACGTCCACCAGAAGGCGCAGCAGGCGTTGTAGTTGTCCCCATCTGCGCTGCGGGCTTGTTTCCAAAGAACCCACCAGAAGGCGCAGCATTGCCGAATAGCGAACCTCCACTTGCTGCAGGTGTCGTCGTCGAGCCCGTCGTCCCCGTGGAGCCAAATAAGCCACTACTGGGCGCAGATCCTGTAGTGTTTCCAAATAGCGAGGGAGTGCCCGTCGTGCCCGCCGCAGGTGCAGTGCTAGACGGCGCAGGATTGGCGGGTTTCGCGCCAAATAACCCTGCTCCGGTAGACCCTCCTCCAAAGAGACTATTCCCTGTTGCTCCCGTTGCTGACGTTCCACTCGTACCGGACGATGCATTGTTGCCGAACAGACTTGTTCCAGTGGTCCCACCACCTCCAAACAATCCACCTGTGGTCGAGCCAGCAGCGGGTGTTGCTGATGTGTTGGTGGAGCCAAACAATCCGCCTCCAGCGGCGGGCGTAGCAGAGTTTGCAGATGAAGCGCCAAAAAGCCCCCCTCCGGATGCAGGGGTGTTGCTGGCAGGCGCAGTGGAACCAAAGAGAGATCCACCCGTGGCGGGCGCCGTGGTGTTCGTCTGGCCAAAAAGACCACCACCGGGAGCAGTTGTATTAGTAGAGTTGTTCGTTGCACCAAATAGACTGCCAGTGGTATTTGCTATACTATAATGTTTGCACGTATTCGCGATTTGAGTTGATTCGTGACGTACCACCACCAAAGGCTGAGCTACCACCAAACAAGCTTCCACCAGTGGTCCCGGTCTGCCCTGCCTGTCCGGCCGGCGGCTGGCCAAAGAATCCGCTGCCAGTTGTGTTTCCTGTCGTCGAGCTATTGTTCCCCTGTCCAAAAAAGCTCATGATGTCGTGAAGCGAAGGTAGCAACGAAGGGTAAGGGGAGCAGAGGCGTATAGTCGAACAACCCGACTGCAACCTACAACGCGCACAAGGACGCGTCTCCCGATCACGTGGCTGCTACAGCCGGTTTCAGCTCGCTTGTCGTGAGAGCGCCGCGCCGCGTCTCGCGCATTTGCCTGTTTTCCCCTCCTAAGCGCCCCCAAAGGAACTTCGGACGACGATATCTCCTCGACTGCTCAATGTAACCACTTCATTCTTGCGTATTTTGGCTCAGGATTACGACGCGCAGGGCACGGTATTGTATTGAAGTTGCGCCAACTCGACGTCACCAACTTCTGGGCATTCCCGCTCTTCCAGCTCCCTGCTCGACTCGGACAGCGTTGTTGGCTGAATGGTATGGCGTACTCTCCCGGAAATTGTCGGAATGGTGAAGACAAGACGCTACCCAGGGCTCTGTGTCAAAAGGTGGAGTGTCCAGCGACAATTACGTCCACCATAGGGTGGGCTCGGGTGGCAGCCCTCTTGGGCCAGCTCAAAGTCCTCGTCGGGGAGCACCAGACACCATGACTTTGTGAGTAATCTGCACCTCCATAATCTCTGTGGTCTTGCAAGGCATTAGGGGCCATGTAGTCACTGTTGAGTAGGAGGGAGGAACAGACGAGGTGGGTAGATTGGAGCTGCAAAGGAGAGCTTGTAGAACACTACCATTGGCAACCAGCACAATTACATGGGTTTGTAGGCTTACAGTGGACATATGTGACATGATTCGTAGCAAAGATGTGTTGGATTTGATGATATACGACAGAGTGGTATAGTAGGCATGCGCCAGACCCTTCGCAGAATGGAGAAAACGTACATCATGGACCTCTTCTGCACCATATGCCCTCCGTGACATCCGCCAACGGCTTCCAGTGAGCCCTCCATGTGATGTTCAAGGAAATATGTGCGATGGATGCAGAAGACGGCATGAAATCGACTGAAAGCAGGTGAATCGCCCGTTGGACGAATTGCTAACTTGAAACCAGTACCGTGCCCTGCGCGTCGTAATCCTGAGCCAGAATACGCAAGAATGAAGTGGTTACATTGAGCAGTCGAGGAGATATCGTCGTCCGAAGTTCCTTTGGGGGCGCTTAGGAGGGGAAAACAGGCAAATGCGCGAGACGCGGCGCGGCGCTCTCACGACAAGCGAGCTGAAACCGGCTGTATTGTACCGCGAGCGCGCGTCACGGTCAACTCACTCAGTCCAGACTAATGCAATGCGTCGAAAAGTCTAATGTATTGCGAGCATGCGAGTAGTGTCATATGTGAAGAGAGATGTTGGAGTGCGTTACAGATAGCGCAGGCAAGTGCGATAACATCGTTACTGTGGAAGGATTATAGAAATATGTGCGATTTACTAGATAGAGCCCTAACATTACTGTCCAGCCCCACTTGCCCTGCTTCCATCTCATGGGCGGGTATACGTCTTCCTCCTCTCCGGATGGTGGTAATACGTGCTGTACCGCTTATTTGCCGCTGGCAACGTCCCTGCAACGACGGATCCGCCCTCAGAGGGCTCGCCTTGTAAGATCTGCGAGTCCATAAGTGTGGACGCCTGCAGCTCCCCATAGTCATCCGAGTCGCTGTCGCCCCCAGACAGCCAATCCTGATCTTCGGGCAAGACGATGACGCCAGACGCGGCGTCGAAGCTGAGCCGCCTCTGTACGGGATGCGCGCTGTTCGTGCGTCTGTGCGGCCGCGCGCGTCGCTGGCCCGCGGGCTGCTCCTCCCACGGATTCCTGTCGAGCACGGAACGGTCAGAGGGCTCGGGACGGTCGCCCTCGGCTGGGGGTGCAGCGGGCGTGGTCTCTGGGACGCTCTGAGTGCTTGCTCCGGATCCGTCGCTGTGCTGGCTCTGCGGTCGTGGACGGAGGACGCTGTACTTCTTCCGGAGCGTGAGCACTACTCCGGGGCTCCCATCATCGCCTGTATCACGATGTCTGTTCAGGCTTTGGCCCTTCTTGATTGGAAGCCAAGGAACAGGAAGCACTCCAGTCAGCGCGGGGTGGCCGTATCGTCGCTTGCCAGTGCTGCAATGTTACAATCAGCGAAACTTGTTGTTACAAAGGTCGTCGCATCACTTACTTCAGGACTCCACTATAGAAGTTGGCCATCGGCGGCTGAGACTGGATACGGAGTGAGCGGAGGGACTGAGACGCCATGACAATGAACAACTTACGTAGTCCGTCCGTTCGTCTTCTGGCGCGACGTACAACGTCTCATCATTCTGTGCGTATCGGCGTCTGTTCAGGTTGCTGCAGATAGCGCTCAATGACAGAATCGAACCATTCCCAAGATGTGGATGAGCGTACCTCTGGGACCACGTCACGGGATGGCCTGCACGTAGCCTCACTACATCCGCACTCTCCTCACCGCGCTCGACCTCGTGCACAGAACTCAGGCTGACGAACTTGCTCAGAGGACGGAACTGCTTGTCGGTGTAGTACCACCAGAGTAGGGTGCCAGCGAGTAAAGGCGCAAGGAGGGTAGCCAATATGAACGACTTCTTCACGATGAACATGCCGCTCATGAAAATGATGAAGATGAGAACGCCCCAGATGAGGCGATGGAAGGTGATCGGCCAAGCCTGGCCCTGCGACTCGTACGGCTTATAGAACACTGCAATGGACACTAGTCAGGATCGTCGTATACTTGCGTTGCCAGCGGGACTTACCAAATAGCAATTTGTACTTGTAGACGACGTACGCCACACCGAAGTACACGGCTCCGAACACGAGAATGAGCGGCTGGATGACACTGTACAGAAGAGTAATGACGAAAACCAGGATAGCTTGAGGATAGACGATGCCATAGTTGATCATGGGCGGGGCATTAAGCTCGGCGAAGTCTAAGCATAATCAGCTTCTGAATCATTCCTGTTCTGCCATTTGCCCCTACCTCTGGGTGTTCGTGTTACAAATAGACGGAAGAACAGCCGCGGTATGATGATTCCGAGGTTCAGGAGTTGCAGTGGCATCAGACCGAAGCCTAACACCCCGTCAAAGGTTAGTAATCTGTCCTGCCCCGATGCTTAGGAGAGTTGAGAATATACCTTGCAAAATGACGTATGAAACGAAGAAATGTCTCGCATTACCCGCGTTCAGAGCCTGGGCTAACTTCTCGAGCCCCTTAGCGGGCGACTGCGCAAGGTCTCGGACAAGCTGCCAGTATGTGCTGGCTACAAGGAAGATGAAGACAACGTTCACCAGGAGAAAGAGGAAGTATCTGAGAGAGAGAAAGGGGATGTTTGTAAGCTATCAGCGTATGCTTAGTGTTGCTGCTGAAACCAACTTCTTCATCACCGAATATTCGATCCAGCTCCTCGCGGGCAAAGGTTGGATGTAAGTTAGGCCTAGGATGGGAAGACTGAAGATTAGCCAACCACACACTTGCAAAGCGTGGAATCACGAGCACACCTTCCAGTAGGAACGGTAGCGTTGCGTTCAGCATCACCATACCCAGGGACGACAGCGTTTGCACGAGCGCTCCAATCCGCTCGTTGCGGTCCATCATCTCTCCAAGCCAGGGGATGGTCTTCCTGATTTCCTCGGGGGAGAGAAGACTAGCAAGCGCCGTGATTGGGATGAACCAGAAGAACTGCAGCACGACCATGGCACCCATGACGAGCCACTCGCGCACCAGGGCATTGAGGGGAGAGTGCGAAATCGCGGTCCATACAATGTCGCGCGGCTCCGGAGCGAGGTGGGTCAAGCTTTGCGTCGGTTGAGAGGCATGGATAGCTTGTGCAGCAATTTGCTATCAAAGAACTCAGATCAGAATGTGCGATCAGGGCGGGGAGAAGTCTCTGGGTTAATACGCACAGCGCTGGACATCTTCTCGAAAGTGACAAAGGCGACGTGCGTAGGCCTGAAACGTCCCGTGCGTCTCCGCTTCTTGACCAGCTCATCGGCTTCTCTGAACTTCTCCTCGTAGTACTCAATGGCGTCTACCTTCCGGGAGAACCATCCCGTGCGGATGGTCGGTCGCTTGCGGTTAGGCAGGACGAGCTGCTCGGGCTGGCTCTCTATAGATGCGGCATCGTCGACGTCGATGAGATTCGACCGGATTGACCTACTCGGTGCGACCTGGCTAGGATTACCGAGGTAGTCGACCCACGCAGCCTCGAGCTTTAAGAGAGCCTGCGTGCGAATGTCGAGAAGGTTCTTCAGCGAGCCGACTTCCCTGCAGATGTTAACGCTCTCTACGGCCAGGTCCATTTGTTCGAAGTACTCCGCCAAAGCAGGTTCAGACTGGAGGTGCTGAGGTAGATGGGTGACCATGACTGTCCTTGCGGGGACAGAGTGTACGAGCTCTAGAGAGAACAATTGGCGGGATCGAATGAACCTCTTGAAGTTCTTGTAAATAGCCCTCAGAGCGAGAATGGTGAAAACGTAGGTAAAGAGGAGGTGAACAGATAGGTAGCTGCTGGCATCGCTGATGAGGTCAAACCAGTTATCCCAGGATGTGGGAGGTGCAGTGGGATCCGTCGTAGGAGGCTCGGTATAATTCCCAGGAAAAGGTGCGTCTTCTCGTCCATCTCCGATGTCAATATTATTCTAACGCTAGTGTCAGCACCATTGTGGCCCACACGACAACCACCAAGGTCACCTTCAGATTTATGGGCATGAGGATGACGGCAGCAAGGACGGAGCATGAGGAAAAGAGCCAGAACGACATCTTGAAGAAGCTCAGGAGCTAGCGCATGAGGGAGCTATCAGTGCGCAAATCGAAACGCGAGGGCTGCTATGTACGACGTACTACAGCAGCATCAAGACCGACGATTTGCAGCACTGTGAACTCGGAGATTCGGATGGTAGGGAGGATCCAGCCGAAGAAGGCCTGCTTGGCGTGCGCCTCATGGGGAGAAAAACCTGGAAAGACTTAAACAGAAGTCTCAGAGTGGTGGTGAGTGCGACGGCGTACCTTTCAATTTGGTGCGAGGGGCGAAGAGGAGCGGCCATCTTGTGCGACAATACGAGAACACCAGAAAGGAAAGAAGACCAATGACGCCGGATATCGTGAGCTGGGTGGCAAACCAGGGCCCATCGTATCTCACTAAATATCCGTTGAGCATGCGAAGGTGATACTTCAGCGCATTGACGTACTTCTTGGTGGCGAGCCAGGAGGGGGGCCAGGATCTCCACCGGGGTCGGTGGGATCAATGAAAGCCCTGGCAAGGACCCGTAGACTGAGCTCCAGATAAGGTGGCATGTCGTCGCACGAGAGCCGGGATGACTATGCGGAGGGCGAGGGGAGCATGCGAGGTCGTCTGCAGGATGGTGGTGGTCGCCCCGGAAGGCAGCGGCGGCGGTCCTGCCCACCACGCGCTTGACGCTCGCAGTCGCGATACACGTGAGGAACGCGTCCAATTAGCCGCCCAGAACTGCAGTGCTTCGCGCAGTACAGACGATGTTGCTGTTCAAGTTCCTTGAGGCTCGTTCCGCTCCAAAGACCTCGGCGTGGTTCCTACTTGCAACTCTCCTGACCCTACCAGATGCCACGTCGGTTGCTATCCCGCAGTGATAACTGGTAAAACATTATTTATGATTCAACAATCGTGGCCACGCCAAGTGAGGTGACTACGCCACTGGAGAAGGTTGATACCATGCCTGATCTCGAGTATGAGTGCGTCTCTCTTGTTTTCCGGCGTGAAGCTGATGAATTGTGATGATTAGAGATGACGATGCTTACGTGACCTTCTCCTCCTTGGAAAACCATGCTCCGGAAGGCTGGAGGATGTATACCCACCCCCGCGGCTCGATTTACTTTCGCAACGACCGGCACAAGGTAATTGTGGATGAAGACATCCGCATTCCCACCCACCTCAGCCAGGTCGAAAGCCTTTGTGTCAACCGCACACAGCAAGGCCTCCCGGACTACATGGAGATATATATGGCATACGGGGTCGACGCCTCCATGTGTCTTTTTATGAACCACAAACAGTGCGTGGCCAGCTATGATGTTGCCAAAGTGTCAGCCGGTAGTACAGTTAGGAGGCTACCAGTTGACAGCCGTGAGTCTACTTTTGCGTGTTCAGCATACCCAAGGACATACTGACGAATCTATCCACGCGCTTTCAGTATTGCGATTCCGGCGGCTCTATTGGAATTTCCTAACGCATCACCCTTCACACCGTCCGTGCCACGAAGAAGGTTATCGCGAGGCCATCGATGCTCTCAGTGCTTATTACCATGGTAGGCTCTTCGGCCTGTCCTCGTTAAGGCGGAAATTCATTTAAAGGATCAAACTCCTAGACCATCTTATCGACGGTTCTCGCAGCGTCGGCCCCTTCTCCAAAATAGAGTGTGAGCAACTGCTGGAAGCTCTCCAACGCGCTAGAGGTTGGTCCATGATATGTGTGTAGCATGTCATGTAGAAGGATCCTTATAGGACTGATAGATGTTACGGGCGAAATTATGCCTTCTGCTAGCAGCATGCTCGGCTGGATTTTGAGGGATGTTTGTGCGTCCGCCGTTCTCGCCGGCCAATCTTTTCGTCTTAACTTAAGTTATCGTTCATCTGCCCGCAGACAGCTTCCGCACCGGACAACGGTACGGGCAAATTACATGGACGGAGATGCGGACATACCGCAAGGCGCTGTACGCTGCTCCAGATATCTCCACACCGGAGTCGGTTATTACCAAGACGTTCCTCCAGATAATCATCCACGGTCCCTTCTTTGGCATTCCCCAAACATATCTTGCGCATATCAAGAAAGCGAGCGAGTTCAGGGGACATGTAGCCGGCCTCCGTCAGAGCTGGGAAGCCTACACGCGGCAGCTCGTGCAGGAGTACTCTGATTTCATTCTCATTGTGAGTGCTTTGGTCATCCCGACCTAGCTGGCACATTGACGACACGTTCAGGCGACTGTGTTGCTTTCGTGAGTCTCATCCTCGCTAAGTCTGTGCGTAGCACAATCTGAACAGGTATCAGTGCGACCGTCGGACTGCTCACGGTCAACGACATCGATAGCATCACTCGCGCTGCCGCGCCCCTCTCCGCATTTGCTTCCCTCGGCAGCATCACCATTGGGGTGTTCTTCGTCTGGAGACATCAGCGTAACAACACAGAGGTGCCATCGTCCGTACGTCGTTCCATCCACGAGGCGCAGACGACGTCTGCTGACATCCCATGACAGTTTGCTTACCTGCACAACGCACGAAACAGCGCGTTCGGCCTGTCGGGCCATGCCATCCTGCTCAGTCTTCCTCCTGTGCTTCTCGTGTGGTCGATCATCGCGTTCGCCGCCGCCGCTCTCGCCTATAGCCTTCACGGCATATCTATCAATTCCGCACCAGCGTGGGTGGTGCTTGCGATCTTCATCGTCGTCTTCGTAGCCGTCACAGTCGGGCTGTATACGTTCTGGACCATCTGGAGATGGCAGAGCCAGGACACCTGGTGGCGGGGCCTTATGTGCTGGTCACGGAGTCCCGCAAACCGCTGACTGAACCCTGTATGTCTTAGATTCACGACATCGATACGATATTTTCATGTTATGCGCTTGGCAAGGGAGTCAATTCCAGAGCTAGAAGTACAATGTGGTGACAGGTAAGTCAACCGTCTGTAGCATCGCTGGGCGGGGACGCTTGTTGTGAAGGTGGTCGTCCAACCGTAATGTCCAGCCGCTGTGCCAGCCTGAGAATCTCCGATTCCATTTGGCTGATTCTTGCCCGCCTGCTCAAGCAGCGTCAGATATGAAGACGCAGAGCAGAAGTAGAGACACGTACTCTTCCGTAGACCGCTTGCCCAGCTCGAACGCCTGTGATAACCCAAGAGTCTCCCGATGCTCCGCCAAAGCCTTCCTGCGGGCCACCTCCTTCTCCTTCATCTCCTTCAGATGCGGCAACAATCTGTCGACCTCGCGACGCAACTATGCAATCCATCATGTCAGAGTCTTCCACGTCACCGACACATAAACCAAGCCACGCACCAGCTTAGCCCTAGCAGCCAACGCCTGGTCGTCATACTTGCCCGCACCCACCACCTCTGCCTTCGTCCTCCTCAGCTCCTCAAACCACTTACTCTCGCTCTCGCTCAGCTCCGGGCTCGCCTTCAACATCAAGCCCTGCAGCACTCTCTCCATCCTCTGCAACAGCGCCTTCTGCTCCTCCCTCGCCTTCGCAACGCGCTCCTGTGCCCTCTGCTGCCTCTCACCCTCCAGCGCATGCACGATGTCGAGCATCTTCGCGCACGTGTCGCGCTGCCGTTTAAACTCCTGCTCCTGCAGCGCGGCGCGCGCCTCGGCCGCGCGGTGCGCGAGTTGAACGTCGTGGATCTGCGAGGAGAGCTTTTCAACGGTCGACGCGAGGAAGCGGAGTGTTTCGGGCTCGATCTTGTCTCCGATCACTACGGAGCCGTTGGGAAGGGAGAGACGCGGGTTGGTCGGGAGGCCGTTGGGCCGGTCTATGGCTTCGGGGACCTTCCATGGTTGTGCGCTGAGGAGGGAGACGTACGCGGGCTTGCTATCGGGGGCGTCGGGAAGACCCTTTAGCGTAGGCGTGGGGATCGTCGAGGGCGTAGGTCTGGCCGGTGGGAGTGACGTGCCGAATAATAAGGACGGTGTGGGTGTGGATGTGAACAATGACGACGAGACTGGTGAAGGGTCGATAGCAGGAGGGGTTTTCGCCGTAGTCGCAGGTTGAGACTCTGAGACGAGAGAGGTTTCGGAGCGGAGGGTCAAGGGGAAGACGGACATGCGCATGGAGGATGTGAGGACGAATATGCTGTAGGTGAGGTAAACGTCATTGGGGATCGCGACGCCAATCACTGGTGTCGAAGATCTACGAGCGAGCGTTTGAGCATCTGTTGCCTAATACATTAGAAGATATGTAACGCACTTGTTTTCCGTCGAGAAGGTCAGCAAGACGGGTTGTACATCGGTGCTCTTGACGTTTTCTAGACCGACCCCCATCCCGGAACTGCTGTTCGCTTCGCTATCGTTGCTGTCCCGGAGGACGACTGCCAGGCTTTTCAGCAAGGCTCCAACATTCAGAGCATGTACTCCAAACGCGTGGTAAACGAATAGGTTATCGTCATGGATAGGGTCAAGTAGGAAGGAGGGGTGGTCCCCTTGGATGAGGTCAAGGAGGGATTGTCCGATTCGTGGGCTGGCCTTCTTGAGGGAAGATACGATGCCAAGGTCGATGCTCTCGTATACCGCCAGCATTGGAAGGTCGGTTGACGGATGCTGCGAGCCGTTGAGAGAAGCTAGGACCTATAGCGCGCGAACGGGACGAACCTGTTTGTGTTCCCATCTCGCTTCCACTTTCTCGACGTCCAAGTATACGTCGACTTTGCCATCTTGGAAGGCCACAAGGACTAATCCTAGACGCTCAGTCTCGCCCTCACTCTCTTCAGCAGCATCATCACCGAAAGACAAGTACACGATGTCCGTAGCATCTCCGCCATCACTCCCTTCCAAAGCTCGTGGTGCGGGCTGCAGAAGGAATGGTCCCTGCCTTGCACACGAGCTTTTGATAGTGGTCGGTGGGTGCATAGGTACTAAGCGTGTTGTTGCAGGCCACGCTGTACCTGGAGGAAGCTGTTTCAGCAACGCATTGACGTACTTTCTCTGATAGTCATAGAGAGTAGTCAGGCTATCTGAAGACGAGGGACCGCCGGTTGTGGAGCTCGAGAGGAACTCCTGCTTGGCGGAAACATAGCATTCGAGCGCGTGCACGTAAGAAGACGGGACTGAACTGCAGGACAACGTCAATGAACATCCAAATGACACGCAAGCCGAGACCTACGCATTCTTCGGCAAATACGGGGATATTGCATAGATGTCTCCACTACGCATAACGGCGTAGACGGTGAGAGGTCCCCAGTCAGCTCGACCTTTGCCGAGGGCAAATGAGACTGCTTCACGCTCTCCGCCATCGCCGGCAAGAAACGAACTCCCTCTCTTCTTCTCGGGGACGAACGACAATGTTTGCTGCGGTTCGTCCGCATCCTCGGATATGTCATACTCTCTGTATGCAATACTTCAGATGCCACGGAATAGTCGAAGGCGGGAGAGAGGACTTACCGCAGTTTTCCATCGGTCGTCAGGACCAGTAAGGTGGACCCACCTTGACCCCACGGATGCCAGTCAATCTTGGCGACTGGGGCAGATGTCTCAATGGCATGGTGGTATTGTCCAACCTGGAAGGACCTACTCCTTTGAGTACAAGACCCCCTTACACGATGCATTGACGCTTACTTGCACTCGACCGTCGCGGTAACGAGCTTGTTGTAGCCTGTCCGTGGAAGGACAATTACGGCCACTTGGAAAGCACCTGCAATAGCGAGAAGTCGCCCATTTGAGTTCAAGGCAATCTGATGGATTTCAAACTGCACTGAGGGTGTATGCAGAATCTACATGGCTCTGTCAGGTTCAACTATGCGCCAGTCCCGTACGCGCGCCGCAGCACATACTTTGTACGTCTTCTGAGACGTGTTCCTCGCCCCCTTCGAGTCCCCCAGCGAAGTTATCCGAACCTCAGACCCCACTGCTACTATCAAGTCCGCATCCTTCACGGCAATAGCCTGTCTTCGTCCAGATGGAGTAGGTTTGTCTTGCACAGGATCAAAGTCAACGAAGTCGGGAAGCGAGCTCAAGGAGAGGTGGAGGGCCGCCTCGCCCCTCCCAGAAGGCCCAGACACGCTCTTAGGGAGGGCGAGGACTGGGTGCTCTCTCAGCAACTCGTCCCAGTCTTGCTTAGAGCCCATGATGAGAGATAGAGAGAACAAGACAGGGCACGCGGGGAAGGTTGAGCAGGGATTCACGAACGCGACGGAGAACGCGGTCAGTTGACGCCAGGACGCGCTGCGTCTGAGAACGGCAAGTACTTCTCACGCGCACGCGTCGCGGCCAGGGTTGCGCGTCCTGCAGTATACGCATCCCTCCATTCCCTCCTCCCTCTCCTCGTTGCTCCTCTCTCCTCTTTATACATCTCAAATCTTCAGTCGCCTGCCATGACGTCCATTGGAACGGGATATGACTTGTCAGCTAGCACCTACTCGCCCGATGGCCGCATCTTTCAGGTACGGTCCGGGGACGCGTAACGGGATGTCATTCAAGCCTCTAATGCTCGCGCGCAGGTGGAATATGCGAACAAGGCGGTAGAGAACTCCGGGTATGTCTGATTGTTGCATGGCCACTCTCGCGTAACCTAAAGCTCATTGCATATGTCTTTCAGAACTGCCATCGGCCTTCGCGTGAAGGATGGCGTCGTACTTGCTGTAGAGAAGCTCATCCACTCGAAGCTCCTTGTACCAGAAGCGAACCGGAGGATACAAACAATTGATAAGCATATCGGTCTCGTATGTAGCCGCCATGCTCACCTCTTCAAACGCCTGACAAGGTCTTTGGTCGCTCAGGCTTCTGCAGGGTACCTTGCGGACGGAAGACATGTCTCCAACCGCGCACGAGATGAGGCCTCGAGCTTCCGCGAGAATTATCGTGCACCCGCTACGCTTCAAGTGCGTGCATCTTGCTCGTTCATATCGTCCATCTCTCTCACTATGCGTTTCAATAGTACGTCGTAGACCGCGTAGGTCTGTACGTGCAGGCATACACCCTCTACTCCTCTGTCCGGCCATTTGGCTGCAGCACAATCATCGGCGGCGTAGACAAGCACGGACCTGCACTGTTTGTCATCGAGCCTAGTGGCGTGTCCTACGTACGCTCCATCTGCTTATCCGCCGCAGAAATCCTGACGCCGTGCATAGGGCTACCGAGGTGCTGCCGTCGGCAAGGGTCGCCAGCTTGCTAAGACTGAGCTAGAGAAGCTCAAGTTCTCAGAACTAACGATGAAGGAGGCAGTTACGGAGGCAGCACGAATGTGCGTTCCCATCGCTCGGTCCCCGCCATACTCTAGACTAATCTGGTTTCAGCATCTACCTGGTACATGACGACGCGAAAGAGAAGGACTTTGAGCTCGAGATGTCTTGGGTAGGCGACGAGACGAACGGCATCCATCAAGCGGTCCCCAAGGACCTCTTGGACGAAGCATCTCGGAAGGCGAAGGAGGCATTGGAGACCTTCGAGTGATCGTGTGGGCATACCTTGCATTGTAATCTATATGGACGCATCAAACTTGACAGCCCTGTGTACAACACAACGCGCTCAGAGGATGACAGAAACCTTTCATTACTATCAACACAACAAAGGCAGAAGGGCAGCAAGTTGTCCGAGAGGCGATACGGCTACTGGTCTATACAATCTGCTCAAGCTCGCGCGCATACTGAAGGTTTGCGGAAATGAGCCTCTCCTTTGGAATCTCCACCTTCTCTTCGGTCTTCTTCGCGAACGTGATCTTCCCTGCTGTGAGATCTACTTGCCATCCCCGCTGAGAGCACGTACGTTGCATTAACGAAGCATTCGGACAAAATGTGACCCACGACGTACCTGTTGTGCAAATGTCAAAAGCTCATTCTGGCTCTTGAAAAAGAGCAGTGTCGCCGCGTCTTTCAGTGGCAAACTATCATATGCTGCCTCTTCGCAACCCGCGATCTCGTTCCTGTACGTACGGAGAACTGCGTGAGCACTGTCTTCATGGAGACATTCCAGAGGCTGAAGTACCGAATAGTACCCATGAGACTGTCGACGAAGAACTTGTACTCTTCCGTTGGCGCCTCTTCTCGCGCGTTCCACACCTTGCTGTAGCTGCCCTCCATGAGCCACTGCTCGAGGTTGATGGGGTGTGCGATGTAGGGATTTGCAGTGAGTGAATCTGCAGGTAGTGGAAGGGATTCGAGAGTCGTGTGGAAGTCGGCAATACGGTTCTGGGTGAGGAGACGGATCAGGTTCAGGCCGCGGAGAGGATATTCGCGGGGTGATGGTGGTAGGATGGAGCTATCATGTGGGTGCAGTGAGCGGACAGTCCATGCGGGATGAGTGGGGAACGCACCTGTAATCGTTGTAGAAAGTCTGCAGTTGCGAGAAGTAACGGTCAAATGATGGGATGTCTTTTGTACGTATGCTCCAGAACGCGCCGACTTCGAGGACATCGCCTATATACGCGCAGAGCGTCGTGTCCTCTCAGTACCGTTCTCTGGGTGCACATACTTCTCCTACTTACGTGCAAGGACGAGGTCTTGTGGATCGGGATTCCCATATGGTACAAAAAGACCGGCCTCAGTAAGGCCAATCTATACATAGCACGCCACGATCAGAGAAGTTTGTATGAGAGGAGGACCGGGGAGAGAAAGCGTACCTTCAGCTTTGTGAGGAGAACTCCGGTCTGCTGTAGATTTCCGGAGATGAACACTTTCTGGAGCTCCTTATAGCCTTGCACAAGTTGTGGAGGTGCCATATTTGTTTCCTATGAGAACTTGAACTGTCGTAAATGCGTCGGCGAAGGGGCGTGGAGGAGCTGGAGATGGTCGAGGAGAGCGAGAATGGGATGCGTTCAGTGAAGCGCCCGCGACGCGCGTCGGACGCGTCACCCCATCAGCCACCCGCGACCTGCGTACCTGCGCTCATCCTCCTCTCTTCCCCATTCCTGTTACACACGACATCCCACCCGACGACATGGAGACAATTGATATTGCACGTCTGAAATCTGGCGAGGTCAACCTCGGCGTATGTTTGGACGTTCTGGTATTATAGGAATACAAGCTGATGATAGCCTCGGGATATAGACCTCGATCATGGCTGTCCAATTCAAGGATGGCGTTGTCGTCGGCGCAGACTCTCGCACAACCACGGGCAGCTACATTGTAGGCTTACCAGTCCCCTTGATACAACACAAGCCTAACGTCTGTTTAGGCGAATCGCGTGACAGACAAACTCACCCATGTACACGACCGCATCTACTGCTGTCGGTCAGGTTCCGCGGCGGACACCCAAGCCATTGCAGACCTTGTGCACTACTACCTCCAACTCAACACGTGAGGATCCATGGTTTTTTTTCACCGCATCTCTAATTCATACAACGGATTGCTAGACAAATGAGCGGCTCGCCCCCACCCGTACACACCGCCGCGACCATCTTCCAGAAGTTCTGCTACGATAACAAGGACGCGCTCTCTGCGGGCATTATCGTCGCGGGTTGGGATAAGGAAGTTGGCCCCAGTGTATACAACATCCCTCTCGGCGGCGGTCTCTTCAAGCAGCCATGGGCAATCGGCGGGTCGGGTTCGACGTATGTGTACGGTTACTGCGATGCGACATACAGGGATGGCATGAACCGTGACGAGACGGTCGAGTTCGTTAAGAATAGTATGTTTTGATTTGCCGGACTTCTGTACGACTTGGTACTGACCGAGCCCGCAGCGCTCGCACTGGCAATGTCCCGGGACGGCTCCTCAGGAGGTGTCATCCGCATGTGTGTGATCACAGAGGACAAGGTCGAGCGGTTGTTCGTCCCTGGAGACCAGCTTCCCAAGTTTTGGCAAGGGAGGGAGGTTCTGGGCACCGATCATAAGGACGCCAGCCTCGCGTCTGCGGTGGCGATGGCTGTCGATGCATAGAGGTCGGATTCGAGCATGCGTGTGTACCATGTAACTCAGGACGATTGTGCCGAGTGATCGGCAATGTATTGGTAGGAACGTATCATAAGGGTGCGTGTATGGGATGAGTAGGGTCAAAGCAGAGGTATAGTATTAGGGACAACATGCTATAATGCCGACGTCCGAGGGGGTGTCGCTGTCCAATTTGGCGAGCTCTCCAATCCAGAAATGACATCAAGGCCCTGCTCCCACATCCGTATCCTCCAAAGGGCTATTGCGAGGGGAACGGTGTCACCACGCAAGAGTGTCTGCTCATCCGAACAAACAAGAATTGCGTGGCTAGCCTTTTGGTCACCCTTTGCGCGCCCTACGCTTTCTGTGGTCTGGGTCTCGTCCACTGTTCGTCCGGCATGGCTAGCTCCTCGCCGCCTCGCCAAACCTTCCGCTCGCAGAACTTCCGTGAGAGCAGCGAGTAGCGCAGCACGTTGCGTTCGAGATGGGAAAAGTGGAACGCCATTGTAGACCGGTACTCGCGTCGGAGGCAAGACACGGTGCTCATCAACAAGCTCCCAGAGCTCCTTGGCATTAGGACGCATTTCACAGAGAGGGAGCGTCGACGAGTCAAGCCGATCGTCTTCAATTGGTATTGAAGAATTGTTTGGGACGGGGCGCTGCTTCGTTTCCGGATCCCGGTTGAGAGGAGGCACGACCAGGACAGCAACCGCGTTCTTGAAGGGTATTGCCCCAGTCGACTTGATCTCGGCCCACTCAGCACGAGTCAGACGCCTCATCAGGGGTGGGGATGTGGGCTGCTGTATGCGTCGTAGTTGCTTTGCAAGGAGGTGAAGCTCATGCAGAACACGGACGCGCAGAGCATGGCTGATTTGCTCGAGTATGAGATGGTGCATCTTCAGCTCGGGGAAGTATTGCGGTTTGAAGCGTTTGTAGGAACCTGCCGACAGGACCTGCAGGTATGTATCTCACACGCAGAGTCAACGAGAGTGATGTCGCACCTGTCTTCAACGTCTGCTCGAACACAGGCTTCCAACACAGCAGGTAATTCGACTTCCCTCCCCTGAAGCGTCTGAAGGCGGCATGTTCAATTCCACTAGGAAGGCACGCGGTCTGTGTCTTGTCTCCAGGAACAATTGAAGGAGCCATCCGAATCATTAGGTCTATTGAAGACGAGTTAGCGAACCTATGGAGGTTAGGGTATGGTCCTGTAACACACCCCGTGGCAAGACCCACCCAGTCTCGTAGCACTTTCGCAGGGGACTACCAAGCATTCGCACTAACCCGCTCGTCAGGAAAACACGCGCGATCGAGACGAACAGCAGCATACGATATGGGTTCCCGTAGAATGACCTCTCCTCCCGTGTCATTGCCCTCGGCATTGCTCCAGGAGGAGCACGTCCGCTCCTCTGCTTGGCCCTCCATTGTGTTCGAGAAATGCGAACTTCTGGAGCCAAGCCCTTCTCCCGCTGATAGCGTGCATGTCTAAAGATGAGACGGACAGCCTTGCGGTCCAGCAAAATCGACTGAGTGCGGCCACACGGCGAGACATTGACCTCTTCTGGACGCGTGAAGACGTGTTTCGCGGGACGCTCGACAGTTGGCCTCTCTATCTGCTGACGTGGGGGTTTTAAAATGCGATTGCGGGCATGTTGGAGGTTTCGCAGAAGTCGAGGGATGAGGCGAGGCATGCATTCCTGAGCAGGACGGTAACGCGAAACGGCCCGCGCCTGCTTGCGACACGTTCCTTCGGACCGCCCGCGTCGTCTACGAGCTTTCGACTACATTCGACTTCTCCTGCCCGGTCGACATATCATTTGCACTCTTGACTAGCGACCACCAGTACCCCAAATGCAAGCCGATATCTCGGTGTTCGATTCCTGATTAGCTTCGCGCGCGCGGGGCGACTCTTCAATGATCGGAGAACGCGCGTGCGCACATGCTTGCCCCTGGCATGAAGACCACAGCAGGACCGTCACTTGATAGGCAATCGTCTCCCTCCCGTTGGACGGCTCTCGCACGATCAGGCACTCGTGCTGTGCCGATACTGCGGCCAAACGCTCTCCTCGTCAGCAGTTCGAAATCTAGAGCGTACGGCGGGTACACGGCAAGAACAGATAGACAGTAGAACCCCAAGATTGTAGACCACGATTCCATCCGGTCCGTGATGCCATTGGCAGGAGTCAACAACATTAAAGGCGCATGGCGACGTTCTTTGAGGCTCCCCGGAAATTCAGCTTCCACCTTCCTGAAAACGAGCACAATGCCGCACGACTTTGGAGACGCCTCTGCACCGGTCACTATCGCTGTTATCGGCTGCGGCAACCGTGGCCGAGTATGTGCCGTGCCATTCATGAGCACTACCATTATGCATCCACCTGTGCTCACTGAGTTATCTGTTTCTAGACTTACGCCAGTTATGCCATCGCTGAACCGACCCAATGCAAGGTCGTCGCCATTGCAGAGCCTCGGCCGATGACTCGGAAGCTCATGGCAGAAGCACACTTTGTGGACAAGACGCTTGTCTTTGAGGATTACAGGGACCTTCTCAAGGCCTCCGCGGAGACTATCCAAACGGTCGGGAAGCGACTCGCCGACGCTGTCCTCGTGACGGTGCAGGACAGTATGCATGAGGAAGTGACGCTTGCTTTTGCGGAGCAAGGGTACCACATCCTGTGCGAGAAGCCCATGTCGACGACCCTCGAGGCCTGCTTCAGAATGGAAGCCGCCGTGAAGAAGGCTGGGATTATCTTCGGGATGGGTCACGGTCAGTTTCGTCACAGAAGTTCTCCTAATATCCTCGAGGTATTAATGTACCTTGACTTCCCGCTGAAACTCTGTAGTTCTTCGCTATTCGCCATACAACAAGGCATTGACAGAGGTGGTGCGCTCGGGAGCTTTGGGTCAGCTCATCAACGTCGTGCACATCGAGCCAGTCGGCTGGTGGCATTTTGCACATTCATACGTGCGTGGCAACTGGGCCCGCGAGAAGGACAGCGCATTCTCGCTGATGACGAAGAGCTGCCAGTATGTTTCCTTCATTGATCACCGCCTCACGACCTATGCGGTTCCAGCGATCTATCTCCAACAAGATTCTGACACGCGCTTCCCTTCCTGCTTGGATTCAAATTGAACAGCGACTTGGACATCCTGTGCCACTGGCTTTTCCCCGGCACCGTATCCCGAGTATCGTCGTTCGGCTCCTTGCAGCACTTCCGCAAGGACCAGAAGCCCAAGGAGGCAGGCGATGCAACGCGGTGCCTCGATTGTCCGTACGAACAGGACTGCGCATACAGCGCGAAGAAAGGTGGGTGTGCTTTTTCGTCCGGTCCGAAAACCGTTTTGCATCCGTCTCCAGATGTCTAATAAGCTCCCTTGCGTTGCACGTCCTTGATACAGTATATCTCGATCCCGCAACACTGCGTCAAGACGGCTGGCCTTCCTCAGTCCTCGTTGACGGCATCCCCGACATTGAGAACGTCACCGCCGCATTGCAGACCGGGCCGTATGGACGGTGTGTATACGAGTGTGACAACGACGTCTGCGACAACCAGGTACGTCCCCTCCCTCCTAACGCTGTAACCACTTTCCGTACCTGACCAACGATGTTCACGTACCCCCCTCTCTGCTGAACGCCGTTGTAACTGTAACACCGGGACTCGACATGCTATAGGTCGTGAACATCGAGTTCTCCACGGGGGCGACGGCCTCGTTCACGATGATCGCGCACACCAAGCTCCAATGCGATCGCCAGACACGCATCCACTTCGCGTTTGGGGAGATCGTCGGCGACATGAGCTCGTTCACCGTCACCGACTTCCGCACACGCAAGTCGACGCACCACACGCCCAAGAGCGAGGGCGGCCATCACGGTGGTGGCGACCTCGGCCTGATCCGCACGTTCGTCGAGGCCGTCCGGACCAAAGACCAGTCCCTGCTCGGGACGGACGCGACCGACGCCTTGAGGAGTCACATTGCGGTGTTCGCTTCGGAGAAAGCGCGGTTGGAGGGCACAGTCGTCGATGTCGTGCAGTTTGAGAAGGAGATGAGGGAGAAGTATGGTGTGGAGGAGGCGTGAGGGATATCATACCACTTGTCCTCAGTAATCGGGATATCCCGTCGGTTCCATGCCTGGATCCGATGGTTTGAATTGTATCAAGAGACAACGATTCTTGTATCACATACTTGAATTGCTACCTCAAACGCTACAAATACTAAGGTATACGCATAACTAGATATACATAAATCAACAGAGGAGTGGGAACGTCCAGGCTAAACATGATCGAGAGCGTCGACATTGTCAAAGGTTCGTGCATCAGCGAGGAGGAAAACAACGGGTACAATGCACCGCAAGACGAGCACAAGATACAATAATGAGAATGGAGCAAGGATTAAGATGTGTGAAAAAGCACAAAGCAATGTGAAGGCGCTCAGTCCATAGACTCGAGCTCTCTGCGGATACGCTCCCGCACCTCGCGCAAGCCTCCACCCTGAGGCTTCACCTGCCTCGGGCTGCGCGTAAGCATCGCGATGGCGCTCTCGTCCTTCGTCTTCAACTTCGACGGACTACTAGGCACCGAGCCCGGCGCCCAAACGCCCGAGCTGCCCTTTCGTGGGCTCGCCAAAACCTTTCGCGGACTCTCCAGAACGTCCGCACTCGATTCAGGACCTTCAGCGTCGCTCTCAGATTCAGACGCGGCGGGCATCTCAAGCCACTCCTCCCCAGATAAGTTCAGCCGTTTCAGGAAGAACGGGCACAGCTTCACGAGCATCGCGAGCGACTCCTGCGCCTCCGCGACGGACAGCGGGACCGGGGAGGACTTGATGACGGCCGCGGTGACCTCGGACTCAGGCATGGCGCGGCGCTTTCGCGTGCCCGGCGCCGTTGCTGCGGCTCCGACGGGGTTTGAGAAGTACCTGGGCGCGAGCAGGCGGTTCAGCATAAGTACGGGCACAAACGCAGAGAAAAGGACGAAATATCATGAGGGTACGCACATCCAGACGCTTTCCGCGACGCCGGACAGCCGGCCGAGTAGGCAGCGCCGGCGTATCTCTTCCTGGCCCAGCCTGAAAAGGACGTCCTTCGACATGGGCGCGCCCGTGGGATTGGCCTTCGTCGGAGTATTCTGGAGCGAGCGCTGTCGGACGCGCTCGTACAACGCTTGACGGCGTGAGCTTGTTGGAGTCTGGGGGACGGTACTGGCATCTGGGCCGCGCTGGTGCACTGGGGTGGAGGGCACCGAATCATCGGAGTCGGTTGCAGTCGAACGTCCGGATAGAGACGGAGTGCGCGAGCTCGTAGGCGTTCGCGGGTCCGCGTCGCTATCCACGGCCGAATGACGCGAAGACGGCGTCTTCGGGAAAAGGATGCGATTCGTAGAAGGTGTTTTGAAGATTCGGTCTGCGGATGGCGTCTTGAAGATGCGATCCGTGGAAGGCGTTTTGAGAATGCGGTTCGTAGAAGGCGTGGCCAACCGGCTAGAAGGTGTGGAAGGGAATGGAACGGCGAAGTCGGAAGCTTTCTTGTTTGGGGATTTGGAGGGCGACCTGGATGCTCCGCGCGTGGGCGAGCCAGGCGGCTGAGGCGCAGCAAGAATGGAAGACGCAGAAGGGGACTTTGGGGACGAGGAGGCCAAAAGACGCGTCAGGGTTGACGGCTTCTGAACTGCAGGTAGGGGAGGTAGGTCGGCAATGGGGATCGGGGGTATTGATTCCTCCTGCGCATGCAGCTGGAAGCAGACCAGGTGAGTAGCGAGTAGCGAATGAAAGCTGAGCTTCTGACCTTCACCCACTGCTGCAGCTTGGCCAGGACTTCTCGTCCTCGAGTAGCGCTCCCGGCTGCCCAGCGTGCTACGGCCGCCATACCGCCCCTCATGTCCTTGTCAATATCCATTTCAATCTCGATGCCGATCCCGTACGCCGGGACCCTGTTCGCCTTGGACTTCTGATGGTGAGTCGCCTGGGTGATCACGATGCCCATCCCTCCTCTGGTCCAGTCCTTGGCAGGAACTTTTGCGGCGGGTTTCGCATCATCCAAGAACGGGTTATCTTCTTCACCGTCGTCCTTGGCTTTCCCCTTCCCTGTGGTGTTGCCTGACTTGGACGATAATGCCTTCCCATCCCATTCCCATAACCAGCAGAGACGCTTCAAATCGTCGATGTCAATCCTGGTCGCGAGGCCAGTATAATTACCAAGCGACATGTGGTTGAGCACATTGCGAACGACGCCGGTTTCTTCTGAGGGCGAGACAGCACAGGCCGCGAGAGCATGTGCTAACGCTTGTTGGAGAGAAGTTTGGATTCTGTGTAGACGTGCAAGATGATCGGGTAGGCTGTTGAGATCGAGCTGTGTGTCCGCCTTGCGGCGGGAGGTCGTCGATGGGGTAGGTGGCCTGCAGGGAGAGTGAGTTGAAGGCATCCGTTCGAATTACAGACGTGGTTACGGACACTGTGCTATCGCGTCGAAGTCGTTTGGGTGTCAACACATCCTCGTCGTCGGACGTTGGGAGGGTGCGTTTCTTTTTAGGCGAGACACGAAGAGCGGTGTACAAGTCAGACATAGTATGTGTGTGGAGAGAACGCAAGTGCGACTCAACCAAGTCGAACACGGGCGTCCTTCCCGAGTCGCTTGCACAGGATCATCTACGCGACGCGATTAGACGCGCCCATGCAGTGACGCGCTTTCAATCTCCGACAATGCGTAGGTTGTGCGTCAATAAACGCTTGTGGTAGTCAATTCGCGAGGTATATAGCATGCTGGGATACTACGGATACATGCGCGGGGTGCGTTGATACAGGTATTGTTGCTGTCGTAAATCATGCAGTCTTCTCATTCTCTCTAGGGACAGCATCCTCCCTGAACGAACCAATGCGGCTGCTCGTTGTAATGCCCAGTATCTCGTCTGCCTCAGGCGAGCCCGCTGCTGGGACATCCTTGCGCAAAGAAACCTTCACGGGCGACACCCCTTCCTTATACGCCAGAGCAAAGATCACGTCCATGTCTACCAACGCTCGTCAAAGACCCGTGCGAGTGCCATAAATAGGGAACGTGCATACCTTCCAGTGAACGACCAGCCGTTTCCGGTAAGAACAAGTAGACGACAGGGATGAGCAAAGCGTTGAGAGATGCGAACACTATCGACTACCACGTCAGCTCGAGCGCACGATCGCAAGAACATCACGACAACGCACCGATGTACGTCCGCCAGCTGATATTGTTGAATGACGGCCCAGTGATCATGACGACCATAAAGTTGAACGTCCAGTTCGACGCCGTGCTGAACGCGTTGGCAGGGGCACGGATGCGGAGACCAACGATCTCGGCGGGCTATACGAGTGACCCGACCGTCAGCTTCGAATTGACCACCACGAAGGGAAGTTCCGAGAGACATACGTAGAGCCATGTCATGCCAAGCCACCCGACCGCGAAGAACGAGTTGAACACGAATAGCAGCACAGCCGAGGCGACCTGCGTCCCCGAAGTGTCGATTCTCCCGAGAACAGCGAGAAGGATCATGGTGATAGTTTGACCGACAGCGCCGAACAGCATGAGCGGCCGGCGACCGACACGATCAATGAGGAAAATGGCGATTAACGACGCTAGGAAGTATTCGGTCCCATTACATGCAGCGATAATGCGCGCCTTTACGTCGTCAATGCCCAATCGCTCGAATAGCAGTGTCTATAGATATGCATGGCGCATCGGGTTAGTGATCGGCGGCCTGCTGTATGAACGAAGATGACGGGGCTTCGCGAAGGGACAAGAAGAGAAGGCACATGTACGCACGGCGTAGTAAGTGATGATGTTAATGCCGGTGATCTGCTGGAAGCACTGTACGACGACACCCAGGAACGCGCGGCGGAAGTTCTGGGACGGTCCGCCGGTGAATATCTCGCGCAGTGGCGAGCTGTCGTTGCCAAAGTGCGTCTCCGCCGCGACGGCCTCCCTGATCGCGTGGTAAGTCTGATGCACGTCGGCGTCCGTGTGGGGCTTTCCTTCGAGCGCAGAGATGACCGCTAGAGCTTCAGCGTTGCGCCCGTGCTTTGCAAGCCATCGAGGTGACTCAGGTAGCTACGGCACAGGTGGCGCAGATGAAAGATGCAGAGAAATGGCGTAAGTTGCGACTGAAGAGCGCAGCATCGTGAAGGGTCTTACGAAGAATATACCAACGATCATCATAAAGGCAAGCAGTATTTGGAGGGCAATGGGCACCCGCCATTGCGCTGACGAGCCAGATAGCCAAAAGCTGTGTTATGACAAGACGTCAGAAATGCTCTTTGGTACCTGAATGGAAGATTCAGACTCACAAGGCGAAATCTATCCACTAGAGGTAATAATGAACACGCGTTGGGTGCATACCAGAAGGAGCACAAGCGTCTACAACTCACATATCTGTAACAAGGTTGTGAGAATGTGGAATAGCTCGTGGCGAGCCACAATTTACAAGACTCACGAGATCATAATGCCAAGTGTAATCAAGCTCCCTTCAATCATGATGAGACTACCGCGCCTTGCGGCAGGTGAGCACTCCGCGTGGTACGAAGGGACGGTCGACGTCTTTTGTTTTCACAGCGCACATACGAGTAAGAAAACGAATATCAGGAGCATGTAACGGAAAAATCAACTACTTACGTTCAAGCCATTACCCAGCCCTGTGATAATGCGAGCCACGACCATCTGAGCGTAACTGAACGACGTTGTTTGAAGTATGGCACCGATTATCATGATTATGCCACCCAAGACGATCGTTCGACGTCGTCCGAGCCAGTCACCTACCCATAAATTCGACAAGGCGCCAATGAGGCAGCCAATCTCCTATGCAGTGTATGAGCAGTGTCACTGGTAATAACGGGGAATGAGGCGCTCACGTAGATGGCGACGATGAAGCTTTGCAATGTTGCATCATTGGAGGGATGGTTGCTATCTACAATGACTTGTGGGAATACATCTTCGAACTATTCGATCGCACTCAGTCGACGAGACGGTGCCTTCCGACAAGAGACGATGACCTACCTGCTTCGCCGAGAGTAGCGCGGACATGACGCCCTGATCGTAGCTGACGGATGATGCTCAGATTGACTCATTAGATTGCAATGAAACAAATGGAAGACACACCCAAATAATGTGAATCCTGTTCCAGCGACGAAGGCAATCGCCGCTGTCAGCCTTGGGCCCTTCAGAAGGGGTGCCGCGGCTTCAACCTCAGCTGCAAAGTCCGGCGACCCCGAATGCACTGCGACGCTCTCTTCCGTTTTCCTCGGCGTGTCGTCGACATCGGACGAGCGGGGGGACCTCAATGGGCTTGACATGGTGAAAGGTGGGGGTTCGGGGACTATGATAGCCTGAGAACGCTCGACAGAACGCGAGCGATAGCGGGTCCCACCCATTTCCCCAGAGAGCCTATTTAAAAGACAGAGAAGCTCAGCATCGAGGAGCCGGAAATCCGAACCTGTCAGAGCAACAGAGGGCGAACGTCTTACGCGATCACATGGCTGCAGTACGGGGTTCTTTCTAGCGACCCATGCACTCCACCCGCAGACGATTTGGGGTTCTTGAGACAGTCACGAGTGCAGGATTTCGTCAAGGCGGCGTCACAACTGCCAGCGCAATTGGGAATGTCCGTGAACAGCGGCAGCGGCTACGGCATCCATAAGAAATGTTCTTGCCAGCTATCTGACGGAGTACGGGCGAAGGATGTGCATCGGAGTACATGGCGGTCGACAATATTGCTCTTCAAACGCTCGTCGGACGGAGGCAAATATTGTGGCTGCGATGACGTCGAAGAAGAAGTGTTTTACAGGATAACCGAGCGATCAAGCATCAACCGGGGTCCGTATACGCAGGTATACGCGCATCACAATGGCCATGGAATTTCCATAGCAGGCAGATGGTATCGAGGTGGCTCTGGCCTCTCTTCCCTTGGCCACTCCGTATGTCGGCACCAGTACGCAAAGGCGGCGAGTGTGATTTCTTTGTCGGCACTGCTTTAGTGACATCGTGAAGAAGGGGTTTCCAGGACTCATCGTGATGCCTGGTGATTGTTGTCCGCTGCAGGGTGTCCACGAGATCGCCGGCTCAAGAATCTGCAAGAATTCCCCATTTTCCAAGGGCGTCTTGCATGGTGGAAGATCCAGCAGGAGGTAGAAGATATGATGCTGTCGGAAAACGCCTTTGGCGGTGGCGCGGCTTCCGCCACAATGCTCCGGCGCTTCGGACTGATCAATGTTCAACGTCTTACAGGAGAACTTGGACTACCAGACGGACCAGGGCTTCGTCATCGCCGCACTCATATCAACTCGATATGCACTCAATCGACTATCCGTTATGCTGGTACCTGGATGGGAAGTCTGTCTATCAAACATGTCCTGAACTCCGCCTCTCACGTCGGTATATCCCCCCTGCCCTTTGGTGCCTAGGGAATTACCAAACTCACGAAGCCTTGAACATCAACTGGCCACGCTGCTGTCACGGCTCGCACGCTTCATTCATGCTGTTGTCCATGAAACCAGCGAGCGGGTCCGATCCATAACATCACGCAATCTGAACGTGAACTGTTGCAGGATGACTGTCGTCCGACACGCTTGTTCCCTGAAAATCTTGGCGTATCGTTCAGCCTTGACACTATTTGTTAGCATCATTCCTTGTTGGGCATCATCAAGGCTGAAGCAGCGATACCGGAACTGAGTGGCCCAGCTAGTGGACAGTCTGAGGTGCTAGCTGCCCTGGCGACCAGAAGGCCCTCAGGTACAGGTCAGTGAGACTCTACCTCTTGAACCCGGACGTCTTTCTTATGAGTGTCGCCGAAGGTGTCAGGAGACTTACACAAGGATTCTGGAATCGCGGAGATACGATGCGTTCGCCGATAGTTCTCAAGGATGCGATCCGTGGGTACTGGGAAGTAGCCGTCTTGCTACCCCAATCTGCGTCCGTTCAACCGCCTCTATCACTGTCTCCTGCTTCATGCTCAGTATAGCCCTCGAACTAAGCAGTGATGGGTTGTGAGGGAGTTACAGCGGGAACGGACGGGCAACTGCAGCGCCGGCAGTAATCTCCGTTCGCGTGGTTCGGACGCCTACCATATTTTCATCCAGATACCGCCAAAAGGGATAGGTTGCGCCCGGTTACGTGTTCTGGAGACCGCGGTCCCCGCTGTGCTGGTCCTGTGTAGCCTAAGTGGGTCTTGCCGCGGCAAGAAAACGGGCCTTGAGCAATCGTCCACGCTCTCGTCTGCACTCGACCGAAGCGTCAAATCTCCAGGAAAGGTCCGTCGCGCCGGTGCAGTGTGAGGTGAGGCTGCGCCTCCTCAGCACGGTCCGTCCACGCAATAGGTCGGATCGTAGGCCCTGTGACTCGTGTCCTTGTTCTTCTTCGAATGCATGCAACTGCGGGACACGGAGGAACGTGTCGCAGAGCCACCCACATCGTGCACACGCCCAAACCATATATCTGGGCGCTTGAATATACCTTTTCGATGGAGACAACAGGCTTCGCCCCCGGTGCGCCGGTTCTAGTTCGCGGTGGGACGACACGCTGCTCTGTCAAACTCTGTTCGGAAATCGTTGTTCCAGTCGTGTGCGCAACCGGGCAGCGCAACAGCTAGGATCCCCGCCCGCGGCGGGACGGTGTAATGATGCGTTACGTGAGTGTGGTCCGGGGTGGCATGCAGGGCTAGACAGAAGAGGCGCCCGAAGGTGGCAGGTCGACGGCCGCGTGTACAGGATGGAGGGAGGACATCATCTGCAACAGATTCATGGCTCTGCGCGTGGGAGCAGAGAAGCGGACAAGGTTATCGCACGAATTTATCGACTTCCCTATTTCGCGTATCCGGAAGAGAAGCAGTTCTAGGCATCTAGTCAACTCATTCCCGCAGTACCACTGGCAGCAGGAGGCATCATGCTTCGGCGGTTATAAGTACTTCGCTCTGTTCGCCCTTCCTCCCTTCCCCATCCTCTATTCGCTCCTTCCTTAAGTCCTTCCCTACCACTCCCTAATTCTCCCCCAGTTCCGCACCCATGGCCGTCACCACCAAGCAGCTCTGGTCAGTTCCTCCCCTCGCTATACCTCCAATCTGGCGCTCAAGTTTCCATCCTTCAAATTCGCGTAGGGAAAACGCCATCGCCCACCTCCATGGTATTCATCGTTCTCATTATGAAATCAATCGCATCTAAATTCTGTATGCAGATCTATCTAACGCAACCCTTTTCCAAAAGGCTGAACTTGAGGCGCGCGTCGCTGAGCTTGAAGCTGAGCTGACCGCCGTCAAGTCGGCGTACTCTAACGCGACGGACATGGCCGCGCTCGACAAAAAGGCGCATAATGCGCAGCTCTCCTCCCTAAACAGGCAGATATCTGCGTTCTCGTTTCCTCAGGTACGGCGGCATGTTTTCATCGTAACGCCGCATCGCCGTGACGTTATATATATATATGTCAAACAGGCTCAAGACCCCTTCGTCCTCTGCGTGATCGACGGAGACAAGCTCCTCTTTCACAGTTCCTTGATTGAGCAGGGTGCCAATGGTGGCCGTCAAGCCGCCCAGGACTTTACCAAGGCCGTCGCGCAAGAGCTGGTCCAGCAGGGCTTGACTGGCTTCGAGCGCCTCTCGTTCTGGGTCACCGTTTATCTTAACAAGAAGGCCGTCGCTGCCAGATTGATGGAGGAGGGCATCGCCAGGCCAGATCAATTTGAGGCCTTCCTGGTCGGGTTCGGCCAGGCCTCTCCTCGTTTTGTAATTATGGACGCAGGTCCTGGGAGGGAGAGTACCGAGGGGAAGATCAAAGGTGCGTACCTTTCGGTCCGACATGTCACCTTCGCTCAATATCGGAACTCGCGATAGAGTATGTGAAGACATTCATCCGCGTTCCTCAGACCCTCCGTTTGTTCTTCGGAGGTATGTGCCATGTTTAGCCCCGCTCCTGTGGTTCTATCCGCTTACCACGACGACCACATAGGCATTGACGACACATACTTCCCAATGTATGAGAGCCTCATGCAAGAGGACCTCGCGGGTAAGCTGGTGTTGCTCCAACCGCCGATGAAACCGACCCCCCTCGTCCGCCAAATGGCGGTCCGTAATATCCGCTTCGAAGGTCTCTTCTCGGAGGAGAGTTTAAGCCCTATCCCTATGCGCCGTCCTGGCCCTGGCCTCCTTGGTATCTCGGAGTCGAACTTGCATCCGCATGTCATCACCAACGGCGGTCTGATCAGCCCTCAGTCGGAGACACAAGGTTCTATCTCTCCTCCTCCGGCGAACAGGACTCCGGAGGGCTTCAAGCACATCGATCCGAGCAAGGTGAGTGGCCCGGTCCATTGTTCGGTTAGCATCCACTGAAGTCGAATGCTATTAGCCGCTTCACAAACGTGAGTCTTCGTCGCCATATGATCGTAGCTTCGATTGACCATTGTGCACGTAGAGAACCCCCCGCCATGCAACGAGCACTACCTAATGACCTGTTCCAAGGGGGTGAGACTTTCATGCACTCGCAGCTCTGGGATAGCGCTCACAGTAACTTAGACCAACTGCAAGTACTCCCATGAATGGCTGCTGAACGCTGAGCAGCTCGACGTCTTGGCGCGGAATGCGAAGAAGGCCCCCTGCAACTATCTTAAAAATGGTGCATGGTCTTTTCTCGCCGAATGCTGGCATGAGACTCATAACGCCCTAGGTCTCACGTGTCCTTACGGGGCCAAGTGCTGCTGGGTATGTGGATTTTGGCCAACGCGATCCGCTGGAGTGGAATGACTCATAGGTTGCGTTTTATTACAGGGCCATGTCTGTCCAAGTGGTGCTCGTTGCTTCCATCTCAGCAAGGGGAAATGTTGGTTCAAGGGTGGTATGTCGCACATTTTCTCCGTCTCAACCCTGCATCTCATTTGTGAGGCGTAGAGGGCATGCACCCGCCCACCTCCCCTTCTCCGGTTGAGGCGGCCTGAGTCACTTCTCCATTTCCCCCTCATCACTATCTCGTGGTCTTGGATAGATTAACGCCATGGTCCGCTGCGAGCTCTTTACGCCCATATCCTCTTATTTGTGGCAGGCTGCGCACCAGATTGAGATCTCGGTATGAATAATTTATACGAATGGGCGCATAGCGTTCCTCAGCATCTTGTCGCATTATATTGTATACGAGACGTGTAGACTAGTATCGCATTCTTTAGTTATGTAAACGTTCTGCCATCTAGGCAACATGCTTTCATGATATACATGACATCGTCATACTTTATATGATTTACCGTGTCGCTCGCGTTACTGTCTCAAGGAGTACCATCCTGATGTCGCCGATGCAAATGTTGCTACGCAAGGAGCGAACAATGTCAGCTCAGCGTTGTAGACCACCGTAACCGATGCCGGCAACAACCGCAATATAGCACCCGTGGGAAATCGATCGATAGTAAAGGGACAGCCTTGTATCCTGACGGCGCCGAATATCTCGTTTCTCCTCTATTATCGACCATCACCACAATACCACTATGTCTGCCCAACCGGTCAGTGTCTCGCAGTACTGTCTTTTGCTTGTAGCCGACACTTGCCCCGCAGCATGAGGAAGACGACCTCGCTCCCACCTTCACGCCTGGTGATTTCGGAATCTCGCATCCTTGTCCCGGACATGTCTGAATTGGTGCGGACTTTGTGTGCAGGCTACAAGCCCAGTGCGGCCAAGAGCGTAGACGAATACGCGCAGCTCGATGCCGAGGACGAGTCGCTGGCTCGCTGGAAGGCGAGTTTGGGCATTGTCCCCGGAGTCGCCGCTGCCGGTAGCGGTCCCAAGGTATGCGACGCTATTAGCCCTTGGTCCGCCCCTATGGTGTTGTTAATCCTCTCATTTCGGTAGGTCACTATTCTCTCCTTGGAGCTGGCCTCTTCTACTCTTCCCCCGGGCAAGCACCTCGTCATGAATTTGCAGGACCCGGAGCAACTGGCCTCTTTGAAGAAGAATCCGGTGACCATTAAGGAGGGTATCGAGTACAAGTGTGTAGGCTTCTGTTCTATCGCCTCATCTGCATGGTTTCTAACAACTTGATAGCGTCCGCATTAACTTTAAAGTCAACCACTCGATCATCTCTGTGAGTAGATGCCTCGCGGTTCCTGTTCGCTAGGACACGAACGTTTCCTTGCAGGGTGTACGGTACATACAGGTTGTCAAGCGCTCTGGTATCAAGGGTAAATGCGTCTATAAGTTTGCAGACCAACGCGGATCTGACGCTCTCCACAGTCGACAAGTTGGAGCAGATGCTCGGATCGTACGGTCCCCATCCTAAGGGCGAACCGTACGTTAAGAATTTTGACCCTGAGGAATCGCCTTCCGGTATGCTGGCTCGTTCCGGAACCTATCAAGTCCGCAGTAGGGTTGTTGACGATGATGGCGAGGTATACGCTGGTGAGTGTGAAGGGTTCTGCGTTGATTACAATCGTTGATCTTTCTGACCTTACCAGACTGGGAGTGGAGTTTCAAAATCGGGAAGGAATGGTAGAAGAGGAGAGTCGGTCTCGCATGTATTTTTTCTCATTATTTTCATCTATACCTCGGCTCTGCATATACGTGTTACGCTCGCAATCAATGTATTGAAAATTATGAATGATGTTCAGATGGTGCTCTTGGCTACGTATCTTCACTCTACCCGAGCTTATAGGCGCCCATTTACCTTACTCCGCTCTCGATCACCATGGGCAGCACCCTTGGTCTGCGGGTATGTCTCGGCCACAGTGCGCACAGCTTGAACTCCTGCACAATCTCTTCAATCACGCGTCGTTCCGTCCATATCTTACGCTACTGTGGTCGACCGAAGACGCCTCGAAACTTCACTCTGCAGCAAAGCCTTCTGACGGAAGTTATTCGCCGGTCTGGGTCACTATCCAGCGCGCCGGCCCCTCCAACGACATGGGTCGACCGTTTACCGAAGCCCGTACGACCGTACTTGTATTTGACACGTATAGATAAGCCAATTGGGACGTTGTTGCTATATTACCCCTGCAGTCAGTCTTTCCCTCACGCGTCTCCACGGTCGAGTCCTAACGACGTCGTCGCGTTGTGCTATGCAGCATGGTCGATCACTATGGCCGCATATGCCCTTGAAGCACCCTTAACGACACCTCTAACGTACTTCAGCCTGTTTGGACTGGGCGCATTGATCATGCGAGGAGCTGGATGTACAATCAATGATATGTGGGACAGGAAGCTAGACAAGGGCGTCGGTACGCGATTTCCGCCTTCACGCCTCGCGCTGTTTTCACATTCTCAATGCAGAGAGAACAAAAACGAGACCTCTCGCTGCTGGGGAAATTACGTCTACTCAGGCGTTCGTGTTCCTTGGCCTTCAGCTGACTGCTGGGCTAGGTGTGCTCACCCAGCTCAACTGGTACAGGTGCGTGCAAACTGCGTATCAGGAGTCGTTGAGAATCTGAAGAGGAGTAGCATTCTTCTGGGTGCTTCTTCACTATGTGTGGTCACCATCTATCCCTTCATGAAGCGGGTGACGCATTGGCCCCAGGCTGTCCTTGGTAGGTCCTGTCAATATCCGTCTCCACTCGTAAAGCTACTGATGCGATAACTGTGTCCCCGTATAGGGCTCGCTTTCAACTGGGGCGCTCTACTTGGATGGTCCGCTGTCGCGGGAGTCACGAACTGGAGTGTGTGTCTGCCATTGTATGCGGGTGGTATTTGCTGGACGCTCGTCTACGACACCGTTTACGCCCATCAGGTGAGTGGAGTTGGTTCAATTGCACATTGAGAGCATTAGATTTATCTTATCCAGGACAAGAAGGATGACGTGAACATGGGCATCCGCTCGACTGCCCTGCTGTTCGGGGAGCGGACACGTCCTGCGCTGGCCGCTCTGTCCGGTTCTTCCATGTCCCTCATCACCTACGCCGGCTACCTGAATGGCCAAGGTCCCTTATTCTATGGTGGCGTCGCACTGGCTGCCGCCCAGCTCGCGCGCGTGGTGTGGAGGACCAACTTTGACGATCGTCCGAGCTGCTGGAAAGGCTTCGTTGGATGTGGTTGGTCGGGATTCTGGATTTGGATGGGTGCCTTGGCAGATTACGCTACATTGTTGCTTAATGCGTCGGGATAGACCTTAATTAATGCATTCTAAACGAGACTCCCGTCATTCATTATGTGATGGTAGAAGGGCCTGCTCGTAGTGCTGTAGGATCACCACATCTCGGTACTCGATATGACCCCGTGGACGCTGTTTTTTGTGGACTTTGGACAACTACGGTAAGACTGGGATGATGAAGTGGCTGCGTTGAATCAAACTTGGGGCGAGGAGGACGCGTCGAGATGCCCGTTCTGCGCGACGCGTCATTCACGTGATCGAGATAAGATTTTCCCAAAACCTGCGCCTATCTCCCTGGTCGTTCTCTGCTTGCAATTGCGCGCATCCACTATGGACGGTTCTAATCGCCTGAAAGATTTTTTGCAGCTACAGCTAGCCTCCGACTCCTACGCCGTCTTGCACCTGCCCTTCGTCCTGGAAACCCTTTCGAAGGAGGACTTCTTGCCTTCCTCCCACACGCTGAAATGGATAGCCCGCGTCAACTCCCTCATACACTCAAAGGATCCTGCGGCGAGGTGGAGTGGATTGTGCCTGGCATTCCAGACGGCCACATTTTCTAGAGACATCATGCTGGAGTGCGCTCAGAGTTGGGTCGGAGCGGCAATGCCGTTGCTCGTAGTACGTCTCCTGTACCATCTCCGTACATCATAATCCAACCATGTAGGGTGTAGAACCAACCACTACCCACAACCAAGGCCGCTATCAGACTATTAAGACTCGTTTTCTCGAGTGCAATGGATGTTACGGAGTATCAGCGTCAACTTTGCATCCCCAACGTCCCAAAGTACGCCAGTGCCCTCATTGCACTCCTCGAAAAGGACTCCAGCACAGAGACCGCTGTACGTGTGCTACATGGTGTCCTCTTCTCTCCTTTTCAACCGTAGTCTCACAGGTCCTGGCCATTGACACACTGGAACATATCGTGTCCCTCTACCCCTCACTCTGCCGACCCCTCCACAACCAATTATCCAACGTGGCTCTGCGCTCGCTCAATGGCTCGGCCCCAACACCGATGTCAGACAAGCTTGTCGAAGCATGCTCGCGGTTGTACGCTGTACTGCCTCTCACTGGTGGGAAGGTGAACGCTCCTAGTCTTTGGCGAAAGTCACTGGACGATACAATGACCTTCGCTTGGGGTGCTTTCCTACAAGTGAGGACCACATATCCTGACAGAGGTGATTAGGCTGGGCTTCTGTTCGCCGTTTGATTTTTGACTATATGCGTCTTTCACTGCAGGGTATGGTGTTCCTCATCTCGCACCTCCGTCAGACGATCCAATCGTTGATGTTCCGTTGGCTTTGGATCGTCTACGTGCAGCTACTCGTGTAATTGGAGATCTCCTTAGGTATGTCAGCATCTGACCTGAAAGAGATGCTTATGACTCAATGATGTGGTAGGACGAGCACCTCACGCCCTATATCACTGCCTGTGGGGCCCTTGGTACGATTATGCCTGGCTCTGCTACAGTCCACGTTAGAGGACAAGGTTCGAGACCGTTTCGCCCAATATCTCATGCGCTCACAGTACGTTTAGGGTATTGCTCATGCAAATCATGTCGTACATGCGCTGGAAGCCTCCGTCATTCCGACGCTGTGGGGTTTCGCCTGCGAGATACTGATTTCCGTGGCGAAAGCGTAGGCCCTCTGTCACATTCATTATGTCTACAACCCTCACGGACTTCTTCTCGAAGAGGTCGGCATCATTTGACCCCTCATCTGCCACCGCTTCTGACCAGTCTTGCGTATCATCTGGAGCAACCACAAAAGTCGTGAGTCCCTACCGACACTTGAAACAGGCACAGCACTAATCTCCTACAGAACTGAATTGCTGCATTTCTTACGTACGACATTGTCTCTGCTGGCGGATGGGTCCCATTTGCATGACAGTCTAATTGCATCGCGGTTGGTTCGTGCGACCTTACCTAAGCTTGCCATCCTGTTGTCAAAACGTTCACAAGCCGGTACCGAGAACGAGCAAGCATCTGGACAAGGGAGAAGCAAGAAAGGCAGAAGACATGCGCGCGGCTACGAGGGCGATGAAGTATTCAAGGTCGGTCGCCGGATCGTATGCGTTACGGCAGAGGAGGGCGATGTTCTCCTTGTCTCCGTCGATCGTAAGGTCGCCGTGTTGCTCGTAACGCTCGATTCCGCTAATTCACGATTCGTGCCAAACAGTGCTCGAAATCCTTCTGAGTAGAACTCAGGTCAACGCGCCAGTACACTCGATTGCGTCCCGACTCTTGCTCGCGATCTACGCCTCTCTCCCGCAGCTGCCGCCCAGCATCTTATCGTCGGATCTGTCCCTGAAGCAACGCTTATGTGCTAAACTCAAACGGCTGTGCATGGGTCTCGCGATCGGGACGACAAGCACCATGAGCAAATGCGTCGGCCTCGTACTGAGCATATCGGACGGCACGGTCGATGAAGATGTAAGTTAGCTCTGGCATGTTGTTGTGACGCATGTGAACTTACGGACAGCGGATTTTCTAGGACGACCTCACTGTACACACCACAGTTGACCTTCTACTTCATCCGCGTGCCCCGCCATTGGTGCGATCCCTGCCCCATGTCGAGCTGCTATCGCTTTTCCGTGCCGAAGAGGGTGAGGAAGAAGCGGACACTCGGAGACGTGTTGGCCTACATGTCCTAGACGAGCGCAGCGACCGACTACCGGACGCGACTGGAAGCCAGACGCCGCACGAGGCAGAGTGGACAAGGTTACAGCCATCTGTACCGCAAGCAGCGAGAAGCCCCGGGGCGCCGTCAGCACAGGAACCCTACGGCACTGTAGCCATGCAGGTCGATGTCTCTCCTCTTGCTCCAACGGCAGGTCAAGCTTCGCGGGATCCGCCATCCTCTGCCGGGTTGGAACGTTCGCAACCCCCGACTTCCTTCGCACACAAGCAGTCGGCGACCCACCGGACAGCGCAATCACCGTTGCCGCCGCCTGATCCATTGCCGTCTAACAGTACTGCATTAAGTCTGGAATCGAAACCCGCTTCAGATCTCCCCGTAACCCAAGCAACTGCCCCCCTGATGGAGGACGATGACGATGACGAGCCAATGCCCACTATAGACCTCGCTTCGGACTCCGAATCCGAGTAGTCGTTCTTGTGTCCTTGTTTTCGCTCCATTCTCCAATATACTACGTTGCGTATGCTGCTGCTACGCTTATGTACAGCGGTGATTTCATTGAGATCGCTCTCGATTCATCGTAGCCAAGAGCATGCGATCGCGCCCGGCGGTACTTCCTGTCCGGGTGCGCTTGCGAGCCTGCACTGTCTCGTCTACGCGCATTGTGTCGTCGTCGGACTCGGGTGAGTGGCGATCCCGCGCAGGCTCCGTCGCGCCAGGAAGCTAGACGGCATAGCAGAGCGGTCAACGAAACGCCCAAGTGAGCATGTGAGCACCTTCGTGTGCAGATTTTACCTGACTGAGGAAAGCTTCGGCCACAACGTTTGAAGGGTCGACTATTCGTGCGCGTTCGAAGTGTGCTTGGGCATCACGTACGAGGTTGAGATCCCAGCCTGTCCCTGCGAAAGCGGCGATTAGTCACTTGCGTAGACATGTCAGCATTCCTCGCATCGGTTCGTTGCGCGCGGCGAGCCTCGCACTCTACGTGACAAATTCACACTGCAAGTTGCGAATAACACCATCGGAGTTCACATGCGACCTGGTGTATTTCGCTTAAGCTCAAGACGGTACAGGGATTTGAAAGGGCAGCTGTAGCGTCATGGAGCGACTACCCTAGACGGTTCGATAACACTGGAAGCATGGCGGTCGGGGAACATAGTGGGCATTTACAACCTAAGATACCCTCCGCTGAGATATCACTTAGGGTTCGCCAGGAGGAGTCTCTCAGGCATTGCAGCGCGAAGTCAGGTCACTGGTGTCTGGTGTGATCACAAGACACTCCTCATGAAAGATGAAATTCATCTCCAACACTATGTGGCTGTAACAGGAACAATTGAAGGAGGAGAAAAAAAAACTCACTGTAATTCGTCTCCGAGGAGACATCGTTTTCTGGCTGCGCGAGATATAGTGTAACCAGCCCAGCGTACACGTGCAACACAGGGTTATCCTGGTAAGGGTATGAAGGCAGGTACCTGAGAAAGCAAGTCGCCGCAGGTGAACGATCAACGCGGCCGATGCTGTGGACCAAACACGTACAAGTCCAGTTGTTCCAGGGCTCTCCGGTGCATGCCTGCATGTATCAGGCGCAGCACGAGTTCTTTAAGTATAGACTCGCGCTAGAAGACGAGCGAAGAGAAGTCAGTTGGGACGGTTAGCCCTAGAGGCCGTGATTCGCCGCTCACTTCGTCGGGGTGCTGCCGCATCATGATGCTCAGGAAACGAACTCTATCTTCGTTGATTTGGGTGAGTTCATCTTGAGCTCCACCTTCACCGAGGAGGAGGACACTAGTCGACCACATGGCCTTCCAGTCCACTTCCCTGCATCTCGCTAGGATGGCCCACGCATGTTTAGCCCTGGCCCAGTCTTGACGTTGTATACAGAGCTTTAGAATGTCATACAAGCGGCGGATATGAACCTTCCTAGTATTGTTGGGTTGCTTTGAGCCAAGGGAGCTGAAAATGAACGAGTACTCGCTTGAGGACATTAAGACATCGGACCGGAGAGCACAGTGTCGTGAATACCAACAAGCGCCGGCACGCTACTTCCATCAGCTCTCCGCTTGCGTGACAACCTGCCAGTGGCTTTTCCAAGGGTATTCTGCCCGCCGCGATCGCCTGCTGTCCCCTCTCACCACCGACACTCTAACTATGGAGGATGACATTGCCTTCGGCGCGTCCGTATGGGGCGCACCAGCCTCGCCTCTTCCCCCGCTCTCCGTGAAGCCCCCAGTCTTCGCAATATCACCCGCACAATCGTCTACACAGGAAGACTTTGATGATTTCGACAACTTCCGAACCCCCGCGGAGACAGCTGCAGGGTCTGGAGATGAGGGAGAGGACGATGATTTTGGGGACTTTGGAGACTTCGGGGAGACGCAGCAATTACCCGTAACCGCCAGTTTCCAGACATCCTTCGGAGAGCTGGCCTATGATGAGCCGCAGAGCATTGGAGGGTCGTCAGTCGGCCGAGAGTGGCAGGCATTACGACTGGATCCGTTACCTTCGCGGGAGGAGTTGCAGGAGCAAGTGGATGAGATTCTTGGCCCCTTATGGATTCACGACGATACATCGCATCTGACAGACGATGCCATCCGGGAAGTTGGCGGACTCAACCAGACACTGGTGACAAACGAGAGGTACCTCTTTTCAATTGCCTTGACATAGCCTGTATCTCAATTCACAGATGGTTCCAGTCGTCAGCTATATAACGCCCTGTTACCCCCAACACCGCCCTCATTCCAGCCTGTTAACTGGACCCGATCCCGGATACGACGGCAACACTTGATCCATTTGGGAATCCCCATAAACCTCGACGAGGTTCTCCCTCGCACTAATGGCGCCCTCCCTACACTGGAGATAACGACGCGTCCGATGTCAGCTCCACCAGGCCCTCGAGGTGGTTTGAGCAAGCTGCAGACGGCAGCCCTTGGTCAGAGTCGGAGCGGGACTTCACATCCAAATTCCCCCTCAGCGAGTCGCGGTGCGTCTGCAGCGGCACAATTGCGTCTGGGGCCTAGGCCCGAAATTGAAGAGGCGAAGATTGACGAGTTGATTGGGCTATCTGCTGGTATGTGTCTGTTCCAGCTCGACTAAATTGCGAATGAGTCTAACAATTTGGGTAGAACAAATGTCCCTAATGTCTATCTCCACTTTGGAGAAGAATTTGGCGGATATCCGAGAGAACACTGTGAAGGCATCCACATTATTGACGTATCTCCTGCAGACCCGGGATGCTTTGCAGCAGGATTCGGAAACGTACAACAAGCTCATCGGAGAGTTGGTCGGAGAGGCACAAAAGATCAAGACTGGGAAACGGATGACTGGATCGGCCACCCGGCGTGGCAGCGGAGCATAGTATCTATACACCCTTGTATCGTTAGACGACGTTGACTACTCGATGCTTTCATGCTTTCCGCCTGAATCTGGGCGAGTAGCCACTGGTTATTGTGGCGTGCTCTTGCCCAAAACGGGATGTCTTCGGCATTGGGCGCTCCGCCTGATATGCCGCCGGAACCGATCATATTTTTTGGTTTCTGTACTCAACGCCTCGATCGCTCTCAGGCGACGGTGCACGCCCGCCCTACCCACTCGTCCTCTGGGTTTCCCGTCTCTTGGCCGGCCGGCTGTCTCGCACTCATGAACATCTCTCAACCTGTTCCGTCTACAGTCGCGAGCATCTCCTTCTCCTTCCTCACCACGGAAGATGTCCGGCGCATCTCGGTCAAGCAGATCGTGAATCCCGTCCTCCTTGACGAGCTCAACAGCCCAAACATAGGAGGGCTATATGACCCGGCATTAGGACCGAGTGATAAGAACTCTATGTGAGTGACGCGTCTCCTAGACCATCGAGTGATACCCTGACCCCCATGAAGTTGTGCAACATGTCGTTTGGCCTATTACACTTGCCCGGGTCATTTTGGCCACATCGACCTCCCAGCACCTGTCTTCCATCCGTTGTTTATGGTGAATGCTTACCATCTGCTTCGTGGTACTTGCCTATTCTGCCATAGGTTCAAAGTCAGTCGATTTGTGGTACGTCTTGTCATTTTCCTCCCTCTCGTCCTACCGTAAACCGCTATGTGCAGCTGTGCAAGTTCGTCGCGAAGCTCCGGTTGCTCGAGTATGGGTTCCTCGTTGCTGCAAAGGCGTTGGACGATATTCACTATAGCACAATAAAGAAGCGAGGTGTAGAGGACGACGATGACGAGCCTGCGGAGACCTACGAGGCTTACGAGCAGCGTATCAACCTTTATGTCGCTGCGCACATGGCCACCGCATCCAGCAGCAAGCGTGACGCATATAAGGATGGTCTCGTGTACCAAGCGCGGAAAGACGTCATACAGGACTTCATCAAGACCGCCATGCTGAGGAAGTGCCAGAACGCGAACTGTAATGCGTGAGTACGTCTCATTAGCCGATACTGCGCACTTGTTGATACGTCCTCATAGCCATGGCTACACTTTCCGCAAGGAAGGCTACACGAAGATCATCGAGTACGACCTGACCATCAAGCAGAAGGCTCAGCATGACGCCATGGGTTTGCGTCGACCGAACGTAATGCTTGATGAGCAGAAGTCCAAGCTCAAGTCGCAAACGTCGGTTCAGACAAATGGGCACTCAGGAGATCCGTCGGACGAGGACACGTCAAGCGATGAGGAGGAGGGCGAAAATGTTTTCTCGAACGATGAAGAAGAGGATGAGCACGAACGCCCTGCGAACGGACAGTCACTGCCCAAGTCTGCTAGTGGAAAAGTCAAGACGACACGCGGGCGGAATGAGCGTGTTGTGCCTCCCGAGGAATGCCGCGCACATCTCCGCCGTCTCTTCCGCAACGAGTCTGTCATGTGTTCGCTGCTTTTCGGCCGACATGGACCTTTCGCTCCGCTCAGCCAGCATAATCTCTCCCTCGCATCTGCCGACATGTTCTTCCTCGAGGTTCTCCCTGTAAGCCCAACACGCTTCCGTCCTCCCGCGAAGATGGGCGATATGCTGTTCGAACACCCTCAGAACGAGCTCCTGTCAAAGGTTTTGACGACCTCGTACCGTCTGCGAGACTTGAACAACAGTCTTCGTCTCGCCTCGGAAAAGGGTTCTGACGTCGATGAAGCTGCTCGGAGACGTATCCTCCAGTCACTACTTGACTCCCTTATCCAGCTACAGGTTGACGTCAATAGCTACATCGACAGTAGCAAGAACCCTCAGCCCATCCGACAAGGCCGCTTGCCCCCCGCTGGTGTGAAGCAAGGGCTGGAGAAGAAAGAAGGTCTTTTCCGTAAACATATGATGGTTAGTGACTCCGTAGCTTCCTGCCTTCGTGCCGGCCCGTTCATCTTCTTTTAGGGCAAACGTGTCAATTACGCCGCTCGCTCCGTTATCTCCCCCGACGTCAATATTGAGCCTAACGAGATTGGCATTCCACCTGTCTTCGCGCGCAAATTGACGTTCCCGGAGCCTGTGACGCCGAACAACTTCCACGAACTGCGGCAACTGGTCATCACGGGCGCTCGTGGCTACCCCGGCGCCACAATCGTCGAGTACGAAGATGGGCATCAGCAATTCCTTGTGGGTGCCATCTTGTCAACCTGTATTGAACTTACTGAATGGTATAACATCCAATTCATTCAGGACAAGCTCACTCTTGAACAGCGGACAGCCATCGCGAACCAATTGTTGACGCCGCAAGAGGGCTCCCACGGGTCTGCCCAACGCCATGGCCTGTACACTTCCACGCCTGCTGTCAACAAGAAAGTGTACAGGCACCTTCGAGACGGCGATATTCTCATTCTCAACCGTCAGCCGACCCTCCACAAGCCGAGTATGATGTGCCACAAAGCGCGCGTTTTGCACGGCGAGAAGACGATCCGGATGCATTATGCCAACTGGTAATGTTTGCATTCTTTGCCAATCAATAACAATGATTGCTGACAATAAGTTACAGTAACTCGTACAACGGTATGTCCTATCATATCGGGCGGTGAGGCAGTCAACTGACCCATGCGTTCCAATAGCCGATTTCGACGGTGACGGTAAGTGTTCCCATCTCGCTGTCGCGAGTTTGATCTGACCTGCTAGGCTAGAAATGAATATACACTTTCCTCGTGAGTTCCCACTCGCTCGATCAATGACTGGAATATAGCTAACATTGTGTCCGACCATCTGTCAGAGAATCAAGTCGCGCGCGCGGAGGCGTACTACATCGCCAACACTGACAATCAGTACCTAGTCCCGACGTCCGGAAAGCCCTTGCGCGGTCTTATCCAGGATCATGTCGTGGCTGGCGTCTGGATGACAGCCCAAGACTCGTTCTTCACACGAGAAGAGTATTTCCAGCTCCTCTATGGCGCGCTACGTCCGGAAGACGAGCCACTTGAAGGGAAAAGGCGGCTTGTCACGCTTCCGCCGACGATATGGAAGCCGCAACCGTTGTGGACGGGCAAACAGATTGTACGCATCAGTCTCGTCGATGAGCGCACCCACTATCTTACATTACTCCCGTTCCGGTGCTAGATCTCCACCGTCATGAAGAACATTACACCGAGCGTCTTCGAAGGTCTGAATCTGCATGCGCAGGCCAAGGTCCCTGGTCACTTGTGGGGCAAGGACTCTAAAGAAGATCAGGTTGTCTTCATGGACGGCGAGCTTCTGTCCGGCGTCTTGGACAAATCTGCATTTGGCGCTTCGGACTTCGGACTCGTGCACTCAGTCTACGAGCTTTATGGCGCGGATACCGCGGGAAGACTTCTTGGCATCTTGAGCAGGCTGTTCACGAAATTCCTTCAGCATCGAGCCTTTACGTGTCGTATGGACGATCTCGCCCTTACACCCGATGGCAATGCAAAGCGTGCAGAGCTTCTCGTCACAGGCGCGAACCTAGGGACGGAAGGTGCCATGGAGAACTTCCCAGTTCTGAAGACCACGCAGGATGACGAGAAGTCCCAGGTCTTGCGTTCACTTCTGGAAGACGTTTTGCGAGACGACAGCAAGATGGCTGGCCTTGACGTCACGGTCAAAGGCAAACTTGCCAAGCTCACGAAGTCCATCGCCGACGCTGTCATGCCTCACGGCCTGCTCCGCCAATTCCCCCACAACCACATGCAGGCCATGACAGTCTCAGGGGCGAAAGGTAGCGCTGTCAATGCACAGCAGATATCCTGCGCGCTCGGTCAACAGGAGCTGGAAGGCCGTCGTGTGCCTACGATGGTCAGCGGAAAGACCTTGCCGTCGTTCAAGCCGTTCGAGACTCGAGCAATGGCTGGCGGATATGTCGCGAGTCGCTTCCTCACTGGCGTCAAGCCGCAAGAATTCTTCTTTCATTGCATGGCCGGACGCGAGGGTCTTATCGACACAGCCGTCAAGACGTCTCGCTCAGGGTACCTCCAGCGGTGTCTTATCAAGCATCTTGAAGGGATCCGGGTACACTATGACAACACCGTCCGCGGGAGCGATTCCTCGGTATACCAGTTCAATTACGGTGGCGATTCGCTCGACGTCACAAAGCAGAAGCATCTCACCCAGTTCGAGTTCATCGCCCGCAACGAGGTGTCGTTCGTCGAGCGCCTCCAGCCCAAATCTCTCGGTGGCCATGTCAGTGAGGACGCGGTCGACTACATGAAGAAGATCGTCAAGTACAAGGACAAGAAACATAAGCGGGACAGAATGCTGCCGACGATCTCGAAGTACCCGCCGCAGCGAAACGTAGGTAGTACTTCCGAACTCTTCGCTGATAAGGTGGAGGAATACATCCAGAAGAACCCACATGGTCTGATCAAGGAGAAAGAGGGCGAGGCACGGTTCAAGCGCCGAAGAGCTCCTCTCAGTAAGAAGAACTTCCGTTTGTTAACCAGTGTCAAGTACATGCGCAGTTTGGTTGAGCCTGGGGAGGCCGTGGGTCTGCTCGCATCACAGGGGCAAGTGACATTCAGTTTACTCCCCTTCCTGTCATGTGTCTGAATTTGCACTCAGCGTCGGAGAGCCGTCAACCCAGATGACCCTGAATACGTTCCACTTTGCAGGTATGTTACCTAGAGAATCTACCAGTCTCCTACACATGCTGACATTACTTGCGCAGGCCACGGAGCAGCTAACGTTACGCTTGGTATTCCCCGTCTGCGGGAGATCGTGATGACGGCTTCTCAGAAGCCTAAGACACCGTCGATGACTATGAGGGTCCGGCCAGGTACGACCCCATCGGACATCACGAGCTTCTGCAAGAAGGCCAGTCGTCTCGCACTCTCCCACGTCGTCGACAGGGTCTCGGTCACCGAGCAACTCATCCTAAAAGGGGAGTCACGGAGCAAGGAATTCAGGATTGACCTCGACTTCTATCCGCGTTCTGAGTACGAGCAAGAGTACAACGTGACACCACTCGAGATTCTCGCCAGTTTCGGTCACAAGTTCCCCCAAATCTTCAGGAAAGAGCTTCAGGTGGAGCTCAAGAAGCTGGACGCCGATCTAAAGAGCCAGCGCGCGGAGCTTGGCAAAGGCCGAGCTGTGCGGGAGCATCGAGGCGCCGCCGCCGCTGAGGAAGAGCAAGGAGAAGAGCCCAATGGTCGTGGACGAGACGAAGATGACGGAGCGAGCGAGATCGGTGACGGCGATGCGGTGACTTCCAAGATGAAACGTCAACGAAAGGAGCAAGCGACTTACGAAGACGACGATGAGGAGGCCGATGAGGGAGGCGAACTGGACGACATGGACATCGAAGCTGCGTACGCGTCGTCTCCCGAAGACGACGCGGTCGACTCAGACGTAGATGAAGATGCCCCTTCAATGGCGGCGGAACATGGTCGCATCGAGAGCTCGTTCATGGATAACCTACCCAGCGCCACATCATTCTCCTTCCGGGATTCCGGCTGCACGATTGGGCTACAGGTGAGTTATTGCTGCGTAATCCCTGTGAATGTGAGGCTCAGGTCAATCTCCTAGTTCGGATCAACCATGCCCAAACTATTACTTGTTGGCTTAGTTGAACGAGTCTGTCTGAAAACAGTCGTACGCGAGATTCCAGGCATCACGGACTGTTTCATGAACGAGGAGGACGGTAAGAATGGGGAGAAGATCTATTCTGTGAGTATACTTCCGCACCGTTTCAGCACAAACAGTAGCTTATCTATCACATACACGCCTAGCTGACTACCAACGGGTCAAATATTCCCGGACTGTGGCAGTTCGCGCGTGGGCATGGTGAGAGCATCATCGACGAGGACGGCATCTACTCCAATGACATCTACGCGCTCCTCTGTGCTTACGGCGTAGAGGCCGCACGCGCCGCCATCCTGAAGGAAATTGGCGGTGTATTCGCTGTGTACAAGATCGACGTTGACATCCGTCACCTGGAGCTTATCGCAGATTATATGGTGTGTGGCGCCGCTGCCGTGTCTCGTCTCGAGCTTGTCGCTTACTTCTCCCTTTCAGACGTTCGATGGCGGGTACAAGCCGTTCAATCGAAAAGGCATTTCCACCAATCCGTCGCCTCTCCTCAAGGCGTCCTACGAGACCACGGCAGCGTTCTTGTCCGACGCCACGTTGCATGGTGACTTCGACGACCTGACTACGCCATCCGGAAACATCGTCATGGGTAGGCTAAGCCATACGGGTACAGGGGTTTTCGACATTGTGATGCCGGTTGACCAAATGGACACCACCATTGATATGTCATGATCTGTAATGAGAATAGTGAAAAGTATTGTAGCGTCTATATGTAGCTAACGGCTGCTTGTCCGGCCTTTTGGACTTCTATTGGCTGGCTTGAGCTAGCCTGGCAACCACGTAAAGGAACCACGATAAATGTTGTGGCGAGCTCCACCTCGTATATCGCAGCAGATGTCCCGAATAGTATCGGCTTGTGACAGAAACGTATGGCAAATGGACAGTCACGCTCAGGGCTCATCAAAGCGCCAACCAACGAGTACAGCCTGGTGCCCAAAAATTGGTCGCCACGAACTAGCACCGGAGAGGGCGTGAAACGGAAATTTGCGTCGTTTTGGAAATGACAGTGGCAGAGCAAACAAAGAACATCACGCTGCACACGAGTCCTCCTTCAGCGACACTTACGAGACGAGATCGTCCGGGAGGGAACGCTAGCTCGGCCGGCTGTCCCTGTCGCATCTTAGGTCACCATAGGCGTAATAAATCGAAGATCGCTCTCGGAGCCCACGGCAAAAAACACAACGGATCTGTGTAGGCGTACCCATACTATGGCCGTGCCGCCTGTGGTGTGATCTTGCGGACCTCGCGATCCCGGGCCCCTTGTTTACGGCCCCTGCGAGCTATACGGGCGTCCGTACGCCCGCTACGAGTAGCGCCCCCGTCAACTCCTGCGATCGCAGTGCTATTCGTAAGGAAGCCTTATCCGGCGTAGGGTGTCGTCAAGCTCAGGAATGCAATTGACAAGATCGCGTTCTCGTAATCAGTGTCTCAGTTGGCTAAGAACCAAAACTGGCCAACACTCACATATAAAAACAGGGCACGATGGTGTCGAAAGCATCACCAAACCACCTCAATATTCCTCAGAGACCTCGACAGCAGACACTCACTGGTCGATACTCGCAGACACATCCGTACTCACCTACTGAAAGCCTTCGTATCTCACAAGCTGTGACAATATGTGCCGTCGTCGCCAGTACGTGGTAGCTCATTGTACATCATGCACGATGCACTGACCACTTGTCCCTATGAACAGAGTCAGGACCGTCTTCAAGAGGTTTGCCGTCTAATGTGAAAAAGGCATAAGACATACTCACGCATGTCAATCACAGGTGCAACCATGGCGTCACCTACCCGGACGAGATCGTAAGTCGGCGTTTGCTTGTGAGGAGCAGCTCAGCCCCGTAACCTTTGGAACAGGTCCAATGCTATGGAGATAATTGCATTTTTAGTCCCAACCATCCCCCGACCTGTACCGGGGATATTTGCAAGAAGCGTTGCTGGCATTAGTGAGTCCTTTGAGTCCTCGCATCGTAATAGAGCAGAGGCTGACCTTCGCCGATAGCCGACCAGCCCCGCAGCAGTTCAGTAAGCTACCATTCGTTCTTGGTTTGGATGGGTCATTCATTTGCTTTCCAGCCGAAGAGAAGCAGGCGTACTGCCCTAACTGCGTGAAGGCCGGATACCGCTGAGCTACACGAGCCGTCAGCTATCACCACGTGTGATGTATCTCTTGCTTTCGCCTAGTATATAGCATGTATAGTTTTGTCCGGCCGGACACCTTGATGATCGTATTCTTGATTCTGCGCGCCATTCGAACATGCCTGACAATCTTCCCCTCGCTGATGAACAACTCGGACGAAACCTGTAAGCAGCTGCCGACGGACCAACCGACCATGAATAGCAACGAAAGCGTGGGGTTACATTGTCAATACAGTGATAAAGCGAACTGCTCGAACAGCGTGAAACACGAGAGATTAATGAACGGTGGCTGCAACACGCACGCATAGCGCTCAATCCTCATCCTGGATATCATGTTTTCTCTTGAGCTCCGCGAGCTCCTCCTCCCTCCTTGCGAGTTCCGCCTTCGCGGCGGCCGCGTCTTGTTTGGACGGCATGTGATACAACACAACAATATAGCGTTCTTGCAAGTGGAAGCCGTTCAGGTGGTCAAGAGCGTTCTTGGCCTAAGAGCGGGTTAGCGGCCGCCGTAGGGAGAGGGGCGCGAAATCCAGCAATGGTTTTAGTCACTCACGTCCATGACATCGTCGAAAACTACGAAGGCTGTACCCTTTGTTTTCTGCTCATTCCCTATCCGTATCTGCCGGATGCTCCCATAGCGTCCGAACAAATCGTACAAGTCTTCGCCGGTGATCTGGTAGTTCAGATTCTTGACGAAGAGGATCCTATTCGCTCCCGGCGGCAGTTTAGTCTGGGAATATACCAAGGAAGAGCATGAACATGCGGATCAACGAGATATGTCGGGAAAGCAGCATTACCGTCGGTCTAGCCAAAGCCATAGTGATGGTCGAAGAATGAACAGCGGCGGGAGGCCACATCGTTGAGACGCTGTGGCTGACAGTGGGGTACACGTCCCAATAAGGCAACTTAGCAGGAACCGTATCTTCGGGCCGGCACACGACGGACAACTGTCCAGCCAGGGTCGCAGCGGAGCAGGGTAGAACAAGGCAGTCAACAAACCTTCCCAGCATATCACACAAATTGTCAATTCAGTTAGTTTATGTCCTCCAGATGCATCAAATTTACAAGCCACGAGCGACTAAGCTACATGCACAGCAGACGAAGTTCACAAGACGAGCATTCCCATGATACACATCGCGATCGTTATCCCGACAACGCTCAGCTTCTCCATGCCCATCATCATCGAAGCGGCGTTGGACGCACCCGTGCTCGCAGCAGCCCCGGCGCTCGTGCCTGCAGAGCCCGATGGACTAGTGTTCGTGCTTGCTGCAGCCGAGGCGGACGACGAGCCGCTCGCGGGAGTGGACGTGTTGTCTGGACCCGTCAAGAAGAAGTTGCCCGCTACAGGGCTTCCAAGACCAGCTTCTACCGCAAATAGCGAGATGTTGAAGTTGCTAACAGGCGTGGAGGCGTTGACGAAGTTGGGGGCCACCTGACTGAAGTTGGCCGGCTGCACGAAGAGCAGAAGGATGTACCTGTAGAGAAGCAGCGTTAATCTCAGACGCTCGTGAGAACAATATCGGGTGTATGGACGGACCGGTGGGGATCCGAGCCCGCAGGTGGGGTGGGGCGCAGGAAGTCTGAGATGGCAGGAGTGTTGTTCACAAGGAGGGCACCATCAGCGAGGGAGCCGCTGAGAGTAATGTTAGGCGCAAGGAGGTGGCGAATCTCAGCCTCAGTCGGATTTTGCGGCGTGGGGGCATCAGGATCGACCATCGCCAAGACGAAGGTCTGTGATGCTAGGCTTGTGTCGTTACTCGTGAACGAAACCGTCGGGCGGAGCGCGTTCTCTACGGGCTCCCTTCAGTCAGCAACAGTCGAGGCTGGGGCTATAGCGTAGACTCACGCTCCCGCGTCAGGTTCTGTCCAGGCGTCACTGTCACGTTGAGATTCGTTGTATTGTCAAAGAATACGACACCCAAAAGACCCGTAGGGTTGAACGTGGGGATCACTGCAACATATGGATCAGCTCGGCTCAGCCTGGAACTTGAAGGAGGTGGTGCTGAACGTACCAATCGGAACGATACTCGCAGCCGAGAAGGCTTGCGCGACTTGAGCGATCGTCACATTGCTCGTCTGAGCCGCGACCACTGTAGCGAGGGTAGCAAGGGAGAAGAGCTTCGCAAACATCTCAAACATTGCTTGTCGAGGAATCTGTGGTGGGGATTTGAGACTGATTATGAAAGGCGCGGATGAGCAAGGCTAGCTGGAGGGCAAAGATTCAGGTGCTGTTACGATGAGCGGACCCGTCGTCCTCAACCTCCCCCGCAACGTTGGGCTTAATATAAGCCAAGCTGATTCTTGGCCGTGTGATCGCGCGACCAGAGGCGGACTACACATGAGAATATCCGCTCGGACACTTCGCCATCCTACCCACGCATTCACCATACCAGCTAATTGCGGAGGACATCGTCGGGACGAGGCCAGTACTTGAGCTGTCCTCTGCTGTGTTGGTGACCTGGCCGAGGCGACGGGCAGGAAGTTGGGTAATGCTGTGTAGACCAGTTGGCTGATGCGCGCGACGCGCTATGGATGATATTTCACATGATCCTGGCTGACCCCATCAACACACGGATGGTGCAAGGATAGAGGATGAGTAGGTTTCCGGACATGGACGGCGCAGCGGACGCATCCAGCGAAGGGAGAATTCAATGGTGATCGATTAGTTGCCTTACCTAACCAGCGGCACTCGTGGCGGCATGCATGTTCGACCGCACCGTCCCACGCAGTGCCCACTGGCAGCACCAACGAAGCTACTCGGAGCGTCGTGACACGGGTGGTCCTTGCGATATATTGGCAGCTTTGAGACAAGGGTCATAGGACACCAGCCGACATGATGACTCCCAGGACCATGTGCAAGATGATGAAGTAATTACGGTACCTGGGCAAGAAGGCACCTCGCTGTGTGAATCTCAGAGACTTCATTGCTTCGTTCAATTGCCCATGCGGTCTGTGCGAACAGCGTTACGACGCCATGTAGCAGCAGTCTTAGAGGGGCCATCCAAAAATTCACTATGCGGGCAATCACCCCGAGAATACGCAGACGTGTCCAGGGGAATGGAGTAATTACCACCCTCTCAGTCCTGCTCGCACGCGGACCCAAGTCTTTGAGTTCACCGGAGACATTTGACCCACCCTAGCCGTAATAAGACACTCGGGCGGCACTTCAGGTTTTACCTTTCTCTGTGAGGGTGGCGGTCACCCTGAGCACGATCAAGCCCGGCAATGTGTACAGATACCCGCCGGTGGCTGAGAACGTAACTTCTCAGTTAAACTGCCTTTGGCGCAATGGTTTCGACGGGCGGGTTCGAGCCACTTTACATTCTCGCGTGCACCGGCTAGAGCATGTCAGGCTATGGCCAATCATTGAAGACCGGGAAGAAGCCTCGACGTCGTCACGTCGATGCCATAGACAAGCGGCATGATATTCATCCCAATGAGTCCACATGATGGCCAGTGGCAAACACCATGCACTCCCAGCCAGAATTCGGGGAGTTTAGAAGGCGGGCGAAATTTTACTGTCTGCGCTCGACTCCTGACCTTAGGCGACGATAGAACTATGCCTATAATAATCTGGCACCGAGAATAGAGCCCAATTAGCACTGGCAGTCCCATCTGAACCAAGGCGGCGCCACGCGACAAGCACTACCGGGAAGACCGTAGTCTGCGGTGTGGTTAATTATCAACACCACCGACGCACCAATTCGATCTCGGGTGCTGAGCAGATCTCGGTCCTCTGGCGCCTCCGCTCAACCAGACCGGCGACAAGCCCAAAACACACTAATGGAACGATGCGTTCCTATCGAGGGTTCAGTAGGCTGGGCCCGTACGCCCGCGTTTGGCCCGACACGGCTCAAAGCCGGGCGATCGCAAGCCTTAACAGCGTGCAATCCCCGCAATCCCGCCCAGCCTACGCGTAGTACGCCGGACATGGATCCAGTCCGCGAAGCGTTGCAACGAGGCCCGGGAGCCGTACTAGCTACCCAGGGTGGAGCATCATTCGCTTTGGATTGCGATGGCGGCCGTGACAGACCCACCGACGACGGCAGGGCACGGCCCCCGAGTCCATGTGGATGCAAGGGTTCCGTTACGTGCCTCTTACAGGGCCAAAGGAGCTCATCGGCGCAGAAAACAGGGCGCGATTTGTTGCGGAATCTGGCTTGGAGCCGTCACTGTAACACCCCGCAAACCGAGCGCGACCTCCGCGGAGCTACGACCACCCGATCCTAGTCCCACTTCGGCGTGCGTGCTGTCCGTATTGCCATATGTGCGGGGTGGGAAGGTGAAATGGCAGTCAGGATCTCATCAATGATGCATGACACATCGACGCCAAATGGACCCACTACATTTAGCCAAAAAATATTCATACAAGACGAACATGGACTAGAAGGAGTGGTAGAATTCACCTTTGACACGGAGTCCGACCGTCGGTGCTCAGATCTTGTGAGACAAGCGCACCACGTCTGCGCACTCGTCCTGGCCCCTCACGCACACGATTGTCGAGGCCCCCTCGTCCTGTGCATCGGGGATGAGACATTTGACGTCCTGTACATCGGGGCAGGGGCAGTCCGATGGCTGCGAGACGCAGACGAGGGTGTCCGGGCAGAGGTAGGTCGAGCATGGAACTGTACGGAGAAATAATTAAGACAATTCTAGCCATTTTTTCTCGGGAGGAGATTGCTGAGCTTAGGCGGAAATATGAGCCTGACTTACCTGCATCAGAATGTGCCTGCCACTGCCCCATGCCGCCAGCAGGTTTGTGCTGTTGCTGTTGATGTCCACCAAACATCTGTTCAAAGAACCCGAACTGCCCGAGAACGAGGGAGAAGTGGAGTGCCAAGCACAGGAGGAGTGTGTATAGGAGCATGTTGCAGAGGAGAGAAACTACAGACAAGCTCAATGGCGGTGGCGAAGAGGTCCACGAGCAGTGCTCTCAGGCTCGTGTCCCCACTGCGCCCATCCACGTGTACCTTTCAATCTCCAGCTCGACAATGTTAACGTGCCTCTCGTTCTCACTGTTTCACACAAGCAATATTCCTACAAGTGCATATGCCTATTCAATGACTCGTACAAATCGATAAGTGCTACGCGTAAGACCTCGAGCGATCCAAATCGAGAGATGGTCAGTCGTCAGAGTCGGCCCAGATCACAGCCGAACGAGCGCGTAGCAATACATGCGCGGTAGGGCGTAAAGGCGTAGAGTAGTAGCATGAGGTGAGATGGAGCATGGTAGCGTGTGGTGACAACACAACAGTTCCTGTTGCGAGGGTGTATGTGGACGGGGAACGAGAGAAGGAGCCAAGACCGAACAAGATACCTAAGATGCAAAGCACGACGGAATCACTGAAGATACTCATCGTCACCATCGACATCGTCCAATTCCTCCTCCATGGCACGCCTCATCAGCTTCCGTTCCTCCTTGCCGAGTGGAGTACGGCCGGGGGTGGTCCCAACGAGAGTGGCTGCGGGACTAGCTACCGGCCTCAAGGCGCGCTCCTTCGGCGTTGTCAGGTAGTCGTGTACGTGCTTGGGGTGCGGAGAAGCAGGAACAGGCTTCTTCACGCTGCCCTTCGCCGTAGGAGACAGGAGACCAGCCTTGAGCCACGCCGTCTCTGAAGGTGTAACCGGAGTGGCCAATTTCTTACTGGAATTCCGTCGGGGAGCGACGTTCTCCTTGTCGTGTTCCTGATCGGCATAGTACGGCGTGGAAGCAGGGTCGGGCGATGAACTAGAAGCCACTGGGACGAGAATGTGAGGATCTTGATAGATGTCGAATCCAGGGTAGTGAATGGACTGTCGGTCGGGGGGTATAACCACGCGCGGAATGAGCAACGGCGCGATGGTAAGAACGCGGATGGCAGCGGTACGTTCATCATCCGAGCCAGACTGAGCGTGCCCAGCGTTGTGGTCAGACTCCGACGGACTCCTTAGGCCAGAGGCCGAGGGAGACCGCGAGGCCCGACGTGCGGCCAGCCGAGTCGAGCGGCGCATACTCGTCGTGGTCTGAGTGCTCGCGCTCGCGCTCGGCGTCCGCTTGGGGCTCCTCCGCGGGGTCCCAGAACCACCACCTTCGCAAGCAGTAGAGTCCGAAGCGTCCGAACCAAAGTCGAGTCTCTTGGCGGGGCTGTCCGGGCCTTGTAGCAGAGCGTGGAAATGTGCAGGTGCGAACCTGGCGCTACTGCTAGACCCGGAGAGCGGGCTCTTTGTGTACTTTGGAGAAGTGATCCCTTCAGCGGCCTTCAACCTCCTCTTCGCAGGACTGTCCAGCGACCCGATACCCGGTGAATGAGGGCGTTTGTGAGGACGCGACGGCGTCCCTGGGGCGCTCGGAGTGGCCGAGAAGAGGCGGATGTCGTATGGTTGCAAAGGGCCAGGGCGAACATGGGAGACCATGATGAGAGGCGTGCTTTCGACGATGCTTGTGCGAGATAGTATGTGGTGTGGAAGACCGAGGAAAACAGAAGGCGGAGGACTTGGCTTTTATGATGGCTGTTGGAAACCAAACCACGACGCGCCACGCGTCGGCACCCCGCGTCGCGATGACTCACATGACCGTCACCGTCACGCTGTCACGCCGCGACAAAAGACTTCCGATGACTCGCGGTCAGCCTGACAAAGCAGGGCCAGGCAAGGTATCTGGGCGCGCACTCTGAAGTCCAAACTCAAACGTATCATTGCACACAACACAAAGAGAATAGAAGGAAAACTTCCCGAGGTGATACTATACATGTACAGCAGATACAAAGCAAGGAACAGCCTAAATAAGTTCTGCAGCGTTGACCGGCATCTCATCCTGCACATCTGGTCAAATGATGTCACTCCAACAAGGGACATAGGACTCACAATCTGAGTACCATAGTACTGCTCTACATGCGACGCGACTAGTGTTAGCGACCGATGATGCAGGCATTCAAACAAGGAACATACCGATATCACGGAGTATACGAACGTCATCCACAGTCACAAACTGTATAAAGGTTCAGCACACGGAGTCCGTCAAGAGAACAATGGAAAGGTACGCACGTTGATGGCAACACCCTTCCGTCCGAAACGACCTGAGCGACCAATGCGGTGGATGTAGTTTTCACGGTTCCTTCACATTGTCATGAGAGCGAGAACAATGGTCTCTCACAAAGTGAAAACTTACGCGGGCAGGTCGTAGTTGATGACAAGCGAGACTTGCTGCACGTCAATACCGCGTGCCCAAACATCGGTGGTGATGAGGACACGCCTGTGACGGGTTGAGCCAGCGAACAGAGCGAGAACAAGGGTGTACATACGACGTGCCACTCCGGAACTCCGCCATAATCGCATCCCGCTCCTTCTGCGCCATCTCTCCATGCATCGACGAAACAGTGAAATTTGCGTTCCGCATCTTCTCCGTCAACCAATCCACCTGTCACCCGCTCAAAGTGAGCACGCATTCGTCACGCAACATATCGACCCCACCCACCTTTCTCCTCGTGTTGCAGAAGATGACCGCTTGCGTGATGGTGAGGGTATCGTACAGGTCGCACAGCGTGTCGAACTTCCAGTCCTCCTTCTCCACCGCCACGAAGAACTGCTTGATACCCTCCAGCGTCAACTCATCACGCCTGACGAGGATGCGGATAGGGTCCGTCATGAACTTCGTCGTCATTTCCAGCACGTCGTAGGGGAGCGTTGCACTGAGCAGCACGACCTGCGTCGCGGGCGGGAGGTAACGGTAGACGTCGTAAATCTGGTCCTTGAAACCCTTGTTGAGCAGTTCGTCCGCCTCGTCCAATACGAGCATCTTGATGTTCCGGGTGCGCAGGCTTCGGCGGCGGATCATGTCGAAGACACGGCCGGGGGTTCCTGAGACTACGTGCTGGCCGTACTCAAGCTTGCGAATGTCCTCGCCGATGGACGTGCCGCCAATGCACGCATGGCACTGAACGTTCATGTAGTCGCCGAGCGCAAGAAGGACGGACTGGATTTGTGTGGCCAACTCGCGGGTGGGTGAGAGAACAAGAGCCTGCGTCTCGCGAACTGTCACGTCGATGGATTGGAGAATGGAGATGGAGAACGTTGCAGTTTTTCCGGTACCGGACTGTGCTTGTGCAATGACATCGCGTCCTTGGATGATCGGAAGAATGGCACGCTGCTGGATGGCAGACGGCTTTTCGAAGTCTGCGCTTTGTTAGCACAACACAAAAGTTAGTATGCAGGGCAAATACACATACTATACGCGTAAATGCCGCGCAAGAGGTCTTCCTTCAAGCCAAGGTCATCGAAGGTCGAGACGACAGGTACCGCCTCGGAAGACTCAAAGATGAGTTTCTGTCACAAAACAACAGAACTGCTGAGTTCATGCAAGATAAACACATGCCGTAACACGTACTTCATCGCCAGGGTTGATTCCGCCAGACATAGTGAAAGAGGTGAGTAGTGGAGGAGAGGGAGAGAGGCGGAGTTCAAAATCTCGGACGCTCTGCGTCAGTTCAAGGCTAAGCGCCCAGAGCCTTCGCTCTCTGCTGCAGCCTCCTGCGGTCCCCCTTGCTACCCTATACCTCCTTTGGTCTCACTTGCCATGGATTCTGTCATCGAAGTGCAACGCCAGACGCACGAAGAGATTGAGCATCTTGAGCGCGCGCTCTATGCCACGCTCTCGAAGACCCAGTCGACACACCAAGTCCGCTTGCAAAATGAGCACAAGGCTTCCCAGCTTCTCGACCGAATACACGCGCGCGTCGTAGCCCTCAATAACTTGTACGAGGACCAGGACACGCGGAAGGCCGAGATAGACTCTCTTTCTGCTCCACCTCGACAAGATGACCTTTCTGCGTTCTATGACCGGCTAAGCAAGATCCAGGAGCACCATGCGAAGTACCCGGATTCAGTTGTCGGCGGCTTCGAGCTTGAGCTGGCGGCTTTTGTTGATGAGGCGGAGGAGTTGGATGGCGAGGAGTTTGAGCAGGATGACCGTGCGTGTTTGGCCTCTCGATGCTCGCCGGGCTCTAACCTGCGTGCGCGCCGGCAGCTATCGCCTTGCTGTTCTCGGGAGAGGAAGGCTACGGCAAATATCTTGACCTGTACGCTAACCACACGACGTACAACAATCTCAAGCACATTGGCAAGAGACTGGCATACTTGCAGTATCTAGACGTTCTCCTTGCCGCTCAGTCTTCAACTGTTCATACTGAACTGCCCAAAGAGTGTCGCTTGCATCGCGATTATGAGCTGTGGGTTCCTTTCCTCGTCGGTTCAGTGACTACGACTGATGTCATCTTTACAGGTACATCCGAGCTCTCCATGCTTACCTTTTATCCTTCATGAAGCGGTCACAACCCCTGATCGACATCGAGTCGCAGCAGCGCGAAGCGGAACAGCAGTTCAACCAGGCCTGGGAGGAGTTAGGGTTAGCGGAAGAGTGGGAGGACTCGAAGCAGGCAAAGGCGGCGACTGGGGAGAACGGGGAGAGCATTGGTATTTGGTGTACCGCCTGTAAGTACGCTACACGTCCGCTATTCCACCACTCGACTTCACGCTTCTATCCGCAGGCCAGAAGATGTATTCAAAACAAACCGTCTATGATGCCCACCTCAACTCCAAAAAGCACATCAAAGCTGCCCAGAAGCAATCTGAATCCGATGCACCGCCTCCGAACCCCAATGGCCCCACACCCACAAACGGTGCACATTCAGTGAATAGTAACGGCGATTCCTCAAAGGCGTCCGACAAGAACAAGCACCGCACCGCCGCCCTTTTCACCCACCTCGTCTCCCAACTCCTCCGCGAGCTTGCCTCGGCGCTGAACGACACGAAGTCCAACGTCGAGCGTCGGTTCTCGCTCACTGCCCGCGAGCGCGAGCAGGAACTGCTCGAGCAGGCGAAGAAGCCACCTCCGCCGACCAAAACGCCCGCGAACGGCGAGGGCGCGGAGGAAGAGGAAGAGGAGGAGCGCATCTACAACCCTCTCAAGCTTCCATTGGGATGGGATGGCAAACCGATCCCTTACTGGCTGTACAAGCTGCATGGCCTCGGCGTGGAGTACCGGTGCGAGATCTGCTCAGACCACGTGTACATGGGAAGGAAGAACTTCGACAGGCACTTTCAGGTACGTCGTCGATCGTGTTAGAGAGATACTATGTCGATTGACCGATGGGGTCCGTAGGAATCGAGACATGCCTTCGGTATGCGGGCGCTTGGTCTGCCCAATACGAAACACTTCCACGAGATCACTCGTATCGAGGATGCCCTAGCACGTAAGCAGGACTGCTGTACTCTCATCCACCTGTTCTTGATGAGCGTTTTTGTCAGTCGCCGAGAAGCTCAAGCGCGAGGGCCGAACAGAGATCTTCGAGCAGGAAACTATGGAGGAGCTGGAGGACGAGGAGGGTAACGTCTACAACCGCAAGACATACGAGGACCTCAAGAAGCAGGGTCTTATCTAGTTCGCCTCCGCCCGCCTCATCATGATGTTCTTGCTCTCTCTGCATGTATCCTCTATTTGCAATGCAAGCAATATCCTTGCTGTAATATACATTCTGGACTGTTGGTCTATGCTACATGGGCTATGTATCGGCCATCTCCGTAGTGGGCTTGTTCGCCCGCGTCGGCGGTGGTGGTGCAGGTCTGCGGTGTGTAGGGGCGGGGGGCTGATTCGGAGTAATGGGGGCCTGCAGTGCGTTGTACAGCTCTTCCTCGGACGAGGATGGAGAAGACGAGAGCGACGACTCGCTGGATGAGTCGAACGGATTCGTGCTGCGACCATTCGCTCCGTTGCCTCTAGCGACAGGAATGACAATACCGTTGGGATGATCTAGAACCAGATGTATCAGTTGCTGCAAAGTCCAGTATCATGCAACGACAATTCACCTTGATCATCCCACCAAGCGTGTTCATCGGTGCTGGGCGGAGGCACTATAGAAAGGTTTAGAAACAACACCGGGTTCAGGACTAACATAGACGTACAATCCTGCTCATGCGAGGTGAAAGCCAGAGAAGCAAGCTTTTCGTCGAGCTTCTCACCTGGGGCGGTGGTTGTAACGTTCTCCAAGAGCAACTTCTGGAGTGCTGCTCTTTTAGCGTGATCGACTATCCTCACTTCTGCTCTGAAGAGTGCAAACACTGGCGTCGGAAGAAAGCAAGTTTAGTCGGCTAAACTCTCCGTGAAAACAGATGAACTTGCCGGGCCGGTGGTCGGACGATTTGAGCTCGGCACGCGAGTACACCGTCAAGTCGAGGTTGTTTCCTTTGAACAGGATACGATCTTGGAATGTCATGCCGTCAGGAGTGTGTTGGTCGTTCAGCATGCCGCGGAGACCGACCTGTCCAAGCGGGTATCCGCATCTTCTCGCCACTATCATAGGTATCGGAGTGCAGGTCGTACTTGTACGTGGGTCGGAAGAGCAGAGGTCCTTCTTGGTAGCCATGAAACGCTTCACGGTCATCCATAGCGCGTCTTAGCTGTGATTTGTCAGTGCAGTGAGCTTCGGAAAGGAACACAACGGCTGATCCTCGAACCTGATCCGCAGCAAGGAGGGCGTCGAAGTCGTCTATCTGAGCCAACGTCCTCACGCGCTCGTTATCGAGGTCAATCCGGTAATTCGTGTCCGCCAACCAGATCACATTTCTATCACAAATAGCGTCGGCTTGCGGCGGCTGAGGAGACGTCAATGGTTTGTACTCACTGATGACTGTCGATAGTTTTTCCCTTCAGGAAGTGCAGTCCAGTGACTATGGTCCGGTAGTCGGCATTGCGTTCGACGATGTTAGAATGACCGGCGGCAAGATGAGCAGTGATGAAGCAGAACGTAGTATCATGGTACTCCAGCCGAATGCCAACTGCTCCTTTGTTGCCGGACATGCCTCGTAAACCCGTCTGTTGTGATCGATAAGCCCCCATCTTCCAGCTGGTGAGTGGAGCGTACCTTGTGAGAGGCCGCTTCGACGTTTCGAATCACAGCAGTCAACTCCTTCTTCACTAGCACGAGGAGCGCTGTACCGACCAGCTGTACCCTAGTCAGATGAATTCGCTGGTTTGTTGTTAAAGCTGACTTACCTGGTGGCTTCTGAGGAGGATATACTCGCTCTGTTTATTTGGGCGTCGCTCCAGCGTATCGACGATTTTCGCTTCCCACATACGTCTATAGCCCCTTCAACATATGGAAAATCCACATAGTGAGCTAGTGTGCTGACCTTTTCTCTGGATCTGCCTGAACGATCTGCTGAGCAGTGAGCGGAACTATCTCTTGGAACCCCAACGCAAAGATGTCCGGGCTGCTCCACATCAGTGTCTGCCAGGGAACCCCTAAGAGAAACATACTCTGGGATATCTAGAGTATCGAGATAATCAGAGGCACAAACGCTGAACTGCTAGGCCAGCATACTCACTTGGACGGGGGAACAACCACGGTAGCAGAGACTCCGAAGTTGGTGGCTAAGCGTCGATCAGTGTCTGCGCTAGTGGACGATACAGAGTACCATACTTTGCCGTTGAGGTTCCAAGTGCCCACAAAGATAGAACACTGCTTCGTGGTGGAATATTCGTGCAGCCTGCCCAGAATTCAGGGCCTAAATGGCTGTATGCCAGCAGAGATCACCCGTACCTATTCGCCAATGCCGCGCGAACAGAATCGTGGATGGGGTCGAAGATAGTGACCTGTCGTTGTGTGCTCAAATTTCCCTATTTGTGCATGAGCTCGCTATTCGTACGTCAAGGTGGATGTCTACATACCACGAACATGTCAATGGCGACTTGCTTCCCCTTGTCCTGAAAGTTGTTGATATACGCGCGTGAGACGCTCTTCGTCGCGTCGGACAAGACACCGGCCAATGTACGCTTTCCGCTCCTCGTGAAACTCGTGTTGAGCGCACCGGTGCCTGCATATATGCGGGACAACGCATCGCCGTTCTCAGCCCAGAGTTCGGCATGTGTGGACCATAGTGAGGTCGAGTGTATCCACTCGCGGCGTATATGCATCAGGAACTGCTCGAGGGCTGTGCGGGAGAGGATGTCTTGCACAAAGTTCGTCCGGTCCAGACTGCATGCGGCTCGTCAGGCTAGACCTATACATGAGAATGGGTAGTCACGCACCAATCTAGACAGTTGGTCCGGAAGATGCCTTTCTGCTCCGTGATTATTTCGCTCGAGTTCGCGTCAGCCATCGCGAAGCCGAACCTATCAATGTTGTCCACGACGGACTCCAAATGTCTGGAGACAATGAAGGGATGTGTCAACGCAGAACACGCCTCGGACTCCAGTACTTGCCTACCTGACTTCTCGGAAGACGCTTTCGTGGCCACCGAACTTGACTGCAGCGTGGAAGTCGAAGTTCGTGATCCCAATCGTGTCTCCGACCGAGTTCCGAGCTATCGAAATATGCCGGGTATAGGCCCCAGTGAGCGCCGCTTCGTTCTCCTTCGTCCCGAGCAGATTGATGGCGTGCACTGCGCCATATTCTTCCACTAGAGCGGCGAAGTGACGGTCGAACGCAGGTTGAGATGCTTGAGGACGGGTTATCTGGATCCGCTGGCCGAACGTTTGTAGTCCTTGCTGCTCCCAGAATACTATATTGAGTCGCCGGAGTATAGCAGAAACAGCAGCGCGAGGGAGGAGGGCCACATGTGAACATATGATAACCATAGACTGAGTCGGAAAGATACATACATGGGACGCTACCCCGTACTTGTACGTAACTATAGCAGTGCTGGTCGGTGCTGAAGATAGTTTCGGTCTTGCAGGACTATCAGCACCCCCAACAAACCTTGACACATGGGTCAGCGGTACCTCAACAAAGTTGGCGCAATTGCCGTCATCATCGACACCCCGGGTATTGAATCGCGTTCCGGCTCGTTTCCAGCCCAGTCGAGAGATGAGGGATATAGTCGCAATGATTGGGGTGCCATTCGTCGGCGGTGCGGGAAGAGCGAGTGTGCTCACGCCAACATAGCCTTGGGTGGCAAGTACCTGGTTTGATGCCAGCTGGAAGTCAGCAAGGTGGCCACGCACACGGCAAGCATACGCACAACGAACTGGCATTGGTCCAACTCCACGCGCTCTTGCGGATCCAGGCGGTCTCGGAAGTCAAGCAAGCTCCTCACGATGTACTCGTTCCAGACAAAGCGATCATCAAATGTCGCAGCGTCCCAGGGCTCCTTCCTAGCCAATCGCCGCTGCAGACGTGAGGAGATGTCCCACTGTGGCTCTACAGCGTAGTAGAACGTCCCCGCCGAGATGATTTTGCGCAATGGGGCACAGGGATGCTCGGGCGCAGGGGTTGCCGTGCCGCTGCCTGTGTGTTCCCGCATGTACACGTCGGCCGGGTCGTTATACCCGGGGCTTGCCAAGGGGTCCGCCGTAAGGGAGCTCAGATCGTCCCATGAAGAAGAGGTGAGACAGTAGAAACCAACGTCGTGTATTTGCGATACAGATTCAGGCGTCGCAGAGGAAGGTCTCGTGTTCCCGACTTCGGTGGCAGATGTGATCACGGCCAAGAACATCTCTAGGGTCGTGGACCATGATCGAGGTGGGTTCATTGGTGCCGTGCGTGCATCAAAGGGACATACCGTTCGCAATTGAGATCAACCCCAGGCAACCCTTCACTATCCTCGAAGTTAACTTGATCGCGTTCGTGAGGTCCACCTCTTGCTTCGGGAGAAACTCCACCACCGCCTGCGAGAACGAGTCCGATGCTGCGCGGAACACAAGAGCCCTTGAGGGGCACCCGCGCCGTTCATCTTGAGAGCTAGTCACGAGGTATAGTGTTCTAGGGCTTTCACTCAAGAACAAGTACATGAGGAAAGTCGTAGAAGGGGTATGTAGATGTGCAGAGACTGAGGGTCAAAGGTGGGGGTTGCTAAGAGGTCGACTGAAGTGGGTAAATGGGTCGACACCGGAGCCTCGCGCTTGGTGGCTACACTGCGCACAGGGCAGCGGGTTCAGGAATTGGGGCAGAAGAGCGGCGCCGTCATTTACAACAGATGGGCAGATCAGTAGGAGAGGTCGAGAAAGGGATCAACAAGCCCTCCGACCTCAGTGGCTGTGTAGTTGTCCTCATCCGTCGCGGTCGGACAGCACAGGGGGCGAGCAACATGGCACTTTTACAATGCCTTCGATAGCATGGACAGCAATAATCTACATGAATTCGAAAGATAGGGCAAAGGCCCTTCAGGCATGGGAGCCTCGCACAGAGTTGCGCCGAACTATGAATCCAAACCGGGGCCCGGCCCGTACGACGTCCTACTCCTCATCTGCACACGCCTGCCCGCATTGTTCTCGGTCTCTCTTGACGAGTTGTCAACGGTCGCTCGCTTTGGTGGAGCACTCAAGCTGAATCCTGACGGGGAACTTGGCCTTGATAGTGATTGGTAGGTGTCGCTGGAAACACGACGGGGAGCAAGCAGTGGTGATGGGAGGTTCATGCCAGTGACGGGCCCGAGTCCAGGGGAGACCGGGTGAACGGCCGATGGGGACCGTGGGGCCAGAATTCCCTCGGTAGTCTCTCGACGACGTGTGCGGGGACGGAGGCGGGGGATGGACTCTACAGGGAGCATGTCGTACAAAGCCTTGAAGAGAGATTGGCGGCTTTGAGTGGACGTGGGCTTGCTTGGAGAAGGCGGTTGATCGCCTAGACATACGGAGGAGGATCAGAAAGAGAGCGAGTGCTACCCCCGCTATTGGCAAGCTACTCACCGGCATTCATGGGCAAGGCATTGTCGTTCGCGCTCAAACTGAGAAACAGAAATAAGGGAGCGAGCCACACACAGACCCCAAAAAAGGTCGCAATGTCGCCAAAGTTTGGGACAGCATGAGAGGGAGGCGGTCCACGGTACGAGCGTTGGGCTCTATGTCTTGCTTCTTGAGTGATCCGCGCGAAGTAGAAGAACCAGAGAAAGTGGTCTGCGACGACGAGGACACATGAACCGAGAAAGCTTGGCGAAGACAGTGAGATAAAAGGCCAGGTGGGTGTGAAGTTCTGGAGGTAGACAATGTGGCAGAAGACGGAGAAGATGATTTGTTTCAGCGGAAGGGAGTCGTAGAAACATAGTAGAAAATGGATCAAGATGATCGCCTAGAGCATAGTTCAACACTCAGCTAAAGCATATGGAAGAGGTCTACGCACATATATAGCCCTCTGTCCGACCACTTTGGCGAGTCGTGAATGCTCCTCGATGAGCTCTGAGATCCATAGCAAGCCGCTCGCTACAAGCCAATATCAGAGACATATTCTCTGATGGTAGGCGCATTCCAATCACCTAGAGACAACGTTATAAAGATGAATGCCGAGGCCGCCCCTACATAGCTGTAGTTTGATTAGAAAGGAATGAGCAGACGAGTCGCGAAACTGTGCAGACCTGAGTAGGTGCAGGAGAGTCATGACGCCAGCCAGTGGAGCAGACCAACAAACCCAGGCGACACTCCCAAAGACTGACGACGTCTATAAGAACCGCGACGGAGACGAGGATCACGCGAGGAGCAATTACAAGCTAGAGGGTGAAAGAACGCAGACCGGACTCAAGCTGAGGCTTACACCAGGGTCGCGTGAACGCGTTCGTGGCACCACGCGCGTAGGCGCTCATATAACTCTGCGCGTGCGGACAGAGCTCGAGAATTGGACGACGGAGTCTGCATAGTTTGTTCCCTTCAATTACTACATTCGGTTGAGGTATTGCACTGCACCGTATATACCTTCTAAAAAGAGTGGTAAATACATGGGGAGCACACACCGTAATCATGCTACACGTGAACCTGACGTTGGTGGAGATGCGGGACACCAGACGTAATGGAGGATGTGCAATTGACAGTATGTGCAGACTGATTACATGCAAAGAGAGATTTACCCAGTACCACCAATTGACTATGCGATAAGAGCGCAAGCAGTCAGCACGATCTCGAGCGATTACCGTGCGTGGTAACGATGAGTTCGCACTTACCGATGCCTTAGAGTCCTGGGATTTGCGATATACCTCCACTATCTCTAGGCCATCTGCAGAGCCGTGATCTTCTGTGACGGGGGAGTATATTGTGGAGGTTGTCAGGCCCGCCGTTTCGGCTTGGTCAGGCGAGCCCGTGTGCTCGACATCCACACGCAGTGCGGTGGTGAACATCGGTGGGTCGTTCTTGTATCGGCCACTAGCCTGATCAGCAAGTTCCTGTTCTGCATGTAGGACCGCGATAAAAGAGCAAGCGTGCACTGTATGATTTGTTAGCAGCTATTAATTGAATGGTGATCTGAAAAGGCGTCCGAAACCAACGTACTCTTCACCAGTATCCAGTAGCTGATGATATAAAAGAACGTGGTAGGCCATAAAAGGAACTGTACACCAGATTGAGTCTTCGCCAATATGGAGCAGCGTAGGGACATCACGCACTGAGGCGAGACTTATCGAAGTCAGAATGCTATGACAAGACGATCAGCTGACAGATCAGGACGATACTTTGGAAACGCACACCGAGAGCACGCCAGTATTTACGACGTAGACAATTATCGTCTGCAACACAATATCGAACCTGGCGATTTTGCGTCAGACGTACGGAAATCAGAAGCCAACTAGAGCATACCGTCTGAGCCCCGTTAAGAATCGCCGGAATAGGGACACCATCGAAACAGCAATGATGGCATCGGAGATGAAGTTCAGAGACGACGTGAAGTAGAAAGACCACTGTGATGAAGCATCAGCAGCATGTGCTGTAAAATTTGAATTCATCTTACCGCGATACCGTCCAGCTCCAAGAACGAATGGGCCCTGAGTCTATGTGATCTGCATGGTTAGTTGGAACCCAATACACGACACAATACACGACAACTTCTGGTATTCACTCTTTGATGCCATAGACTGCCACGTATAAGTGAGTCGGCTTGTTGACGGACAAGTGTGTGGGACTTACAGTTGCCCATGGCTGGTCCACGTTGAAAGTGAGAAGGGGAATGATCAATTCGCATCGATGCATCTGACTTACCAAGGAGCAATAATGAGATAATGACCTAGCAAGGTCCAGTTGGAGCGGATATGCTGATTGCGTCATTGCTACTACTACTTACTATCGCGAAGGGGACTGGAGCCCTTCTCTTGCTAACTGACGGCTCTGTGTTTAGCAGGAGCCATCTTGTCCATAACGAGAACGCTCACATCTCCATATCCTATATGCATATCCCCTGGAATGCCAGTCAGTGACGTTGAAAATCATGGCTAACACAGATAGCGAGCTCACATTCTGACCAAGCCATTGCTACACTCCTGATACAAGAACTCAGTGGACGACATCCACCAATCTGCCCGTTAACTTACTGAGCAAATGGCTATTGCCTTATGAATTTGTCAGAGCGGGCATCGTTATAAGGTGAGTCACGCATTTACCCCGTATACCCAAATGACGCGGGAGAACTGCGTTGGATCTGCATGGAAGGAGATGCAATAATAGTACATGGAACACGACACGATAAACGTATGAGTGGTGTCTATAAGCCTGCGATCATGACATCTCATGAGACTGACACAACGTCAACAGGGTATCTCTCACCATATGATCAGCACCTGCATCCCAGCGAAGGCGCTTCGGTCAATCCATGCATCTGCAACCCAGATACGGAACAGAGTATGCGCACCATCCATCGCGTCCAAAAGGTGGACTGTAGCCGTCCATACCGTCCAACGTACAGAAGCGTCTGGCCGGTAGTTATCCCGTACAGCCTGGCAAAAAAAACACCGCATGTCAAGAGGGTGAGGAAGCTGTGCCCCTCGCAATAGAGAGTGGGCCATATGCAGGTACTCACAACAGTGCGAGGGCGTATCCTATCAATCCAACCCCTATTGTGAGATCGACATTGACAGGTAGGTTGTTACGCGGGCGATCGCGGTCAATAGACATGCACAGAAGTCTTTCGATAAAGATGCGGATATGGCAGAACGGTATTCATCCGCGGTTCCGACACGAAAGAGGTGAGTACGGGTGCGAGGTGGACCCAGTTGTTGGCGATGAGAGGACAGTCCGGGGCGTGGACTTGCGTGCCCGGCCGCAAGGGATCAAGGCCAAGTAGCAAGGCGCCTGAGAGAAGGGATACGGTGTCAATGGTACAATGTCCACCAGCCGCAGACCTACCAAGGAGAGGACGGCAGGGAAGGAGACGAGGGCGAATGCCCGACCACTGAAAGCGAGAACGCGACGAGACTACTTGAATTGTACGGTCGGGTGTTATGTAAGTGGGTACTAGGGTATGTCGAGAAGCCTCCGGGAAGGAGGGGGGTGAGCATGTTCGACTCCGACTCGGCGCGACAACCGCATGAATCTGCGGCGCTTGTTGGTCGGCTCCGCGATGATGAGATGGCTGTTTCTGCTTCCCGAGGTCGTACCTGGTCGTACCGAATTTAGGCGACTAGAGGATACGTAAACGCACCGGACTTCGCCAAAGAAGTGTCCCAATATTGCTAGGCCGACGGTCGGCAGAGACGAAGAAGGAGGAGTGGAGTTAGGCTGCATTGCGTGGGCTGGTGCCCGGTTAACACAACTAACAGTAAGTACCGTGCCTGCACATTGGTTGGATAATAGATTGATCGCCGAGCCTGCGATCCTCTGACATAGCAATGGACCGCCGAAGAGGTCAACTTTAATGATACAGCCGGCTGCTGAGCTTCCTGTAGTAGTAGCGACATTGAGATATATCTTCGACGGCCATTGTAATACTCATAGCCACGATCTTTGGCAAGCATTATGGACTGTAAAACATGCCGGTCGTGTGCTATGCGGCGACGGGCGCGTGAAACTGCCCAAATACAACGCATACGACGTATTAAGTCAGTGAATTCTGAATAGCTACCGTGGGTGGGACTCGCACACGCGAAGATGAGCGTGCGTGTCGAAGCCAAGCTGAGCTAGGACAAGAAGGTGATATAGGGTCTACGGGGACTGAAGGAAGCTCAAACGTACCCATGTGCAAGCGTGTATTCCTTCAACGACGCCGTCATTGGAACGGACGAGGCTGTGAACTCCGCCGCTAGAAGTCGTCAGCTTGCAGTGTGAGAGATGCGGAACGCCGATATAGAACACTGTAGCTAGGAATTCAGACGTCGCTTGGAGGTTTGGATACATTCAAGGACAAATGCAAGAAACGAACAACGATAGTCTGTATATATATGCCAAGTCTGACTTATATCTTAGTCGTCAACGCCACCTATTTTTGGGAAAAGCGTCTGGCAAGCCTAGGCCGTGCGAGTCGTCTGCTCGAGTCTTAGCTGCAACCTCCCAAAGAGATTGTCCGCCACGCGCCGCCTTCACCCACTCCTTACAAGGGTCGTCTCCAATCTGGGGAGACAGGACCACGTGTATACGCTCATCCTTCTCCCGAGCCCATCGGACAAGGAGCCGGAACATAGGCTTAGGTGAAGGGGTCTGCCCCGGGTACCTTGCGATGTGGTACCAGGGATTGTTGAGCCACTTTTCCTCAGCCACCGTCAAGACAATCATCTGCAATGCCCGATGCCCCAACGCGCCGGGTGATAAACGAAGCGCGTCCTGTTTGAAGTCGATTCCCAGGTCCAGGTACGGCAGCGCCAGGTGCGTGAGGTTGGGCAGGAGGTTGTGCGGCGTGAATGATGAGATGGTCAGGTCGAGGATGTGGAGATGTGTGATGTTGTTCAAAAGCTGCGAACCATCCTGTACTTGCAGGCCAACGAGGGAGTCCCAGACGAATCGGAAAGTATGTGTGATAAGTGTGATTGACCGCAGGCGGCAATGAGAGGGATCTGACGAGGATAACGAACCCTTGCTGTTCGCGCCACGACGAGCAGCGTTTTCGGCCTGGATGGACGCGGCGAGCACAGGAAGGGACTGCGACATCAGCGCCAGGTTCTCCACATTCTCGCAGGCGCGGATAAGCGCCTCTTCGTTTGACGCATTGGAGATACCTGAGCTCTCCAACCAAAGGTTGCGCACCAATGGACCCCAACACTGAGAATGCGATGGTCGCGCGGTCCGAGGATCTCTGGCGCCGGAAGACATACCATGGGCAAAGGCTGGCCTGGACCGGTAGATAACAGTGGAGAATAGGTGAGGAAGTGCGATCTTGCGGGCCCAAGTGGACACACGAGAGATAGACAGTGCTGCTTGCTGATGATCGCACGATGCAATCTCGAAGATGCTGATGATAAGCTCGGGTGGAAGGTTGGACAAGGGAGTTGTTGAGTCCATAGTGGCAAGGGAGATCCGACGGGCACGATACGAGAGGAAGGATCTTGCAACGAAAGAGAAGGCCGTGGGAGCGCCTCAAACGTTGAATCCTGTACCAGGGGAGCGATGAGGGGGAGTTCGACCTTGATAGCACTTTCCGGTACTTACTAACGTCACAGCTACTTCGATGAACCATATGAGCTTGCAGGAGACTCTGAAACACAGAAGAGCCTATATGCACACATGCAGTGTCGTCAGCGGTCGGTCCCAGATAGACTGCGTATATGTTGCGGGAGGAATGCTGATTTGATGAACGCGGCCGTGTCTGAACTCTGGTACGCGGCTGGTGCGAGCACCCTGCATGGATGTGCCATTAGCGTGATTGCAGCATAAGTAGGAACTGTGTTCGAGGCATCACACACCTAGTTCCGGCTTGCTGTAAGCCTGTGGAGCGATCCGTAGAATTAAGTCTCTGATGAACCACAGCAGCTGCTCCTCTGTACTCTACAGTGCAGCGAGCTCAGTAGAGGTATCGATGGCTATCGCACTTGGTCTGTTGAAACATGAAGGCTGATCTGCGCGTGAGCTGACGATTGTAGGGATCCAAGTGCACCCCTCAAGCCTGTTCCTTTACGACGTGCGCTTGAGGATTAGAGTTTGGCGGCCCTGGGATGGACTCAGAGTAGCCAGTCCGAGCCAGAGTGTACACTTGACGTTACTTCCCTCGCTCGCTCCTCGCTCGTACATACGACTCAGGCGAAGCCTACGCAGATAAGTCACTGCTGAACGAACTTGACAACCGCTTATAGAGACTAGTCTACACAGACTCAGAGGGTCGAAAGCATTGACGTAGAGATCACGTGAGTATTCCCACCACGTCCGGTGGGCCGCGTCCTGTCTGGTCGTGCCTCTCGAGATACGTCGCCCGGAAACGCCTTCGGCCGCAGCTACCATCCTCCATCTCTGTCCTGTCCTTCACCTTATCTTCGTTCTTTTGGCTTGACGCCGTTCGTGCTTCACTTTGCAGCAGCCCATTCATATCACTAGCTAGCATAATTGGATCTATGGAGCCGGAGTCTGCACAGACCATCGAGGCCGTTAACACGGTGACCATATCCGACTTCTGGGACCCGCTGTACGACTCTTTTGATGTTGATCTTCTCATGAAAGTTTTGTCGCATACTGCGTTCAGTGAGTCCAACCGTCTCCTTTCTCGCAGCCAACCTGAGAAGCTGTGTTCGATAGGTCCCTTCTTCACCTTCTTCATCCCGCTGTTTTACTACTTCCAGGGATCTCGCTGGCCCGCGCCCATCCTCGTCTTCTCCACTTTCTGGGTCGTGGCCATCTCCTCCTTCTGTAAGTTCCTCCCCCTACCGGTGCACTGCCACTCGATAATCTCACACGTCCATGCGCTCAGGGTTCCTGAAATGGTACTCGCGTCTGTACCGGAACCAGGGCAACTTGCTCTTCGGACCCCCTCGCCTGGATTGGGGTGACCAGCTTGTGGTCATCACCGGAGGATCCTCAGGAGTTGGAGAGCTTGTTGCGAATACTCTCGCCGTGCGCAATGTCACTGTGGTGGTGTTGGACGTCAACCCGATTGTCACGGAAAACTGTGAGTCTGCTGTTGTACTCATTGAGCTGTTCGGTATGCTGATGTCGGACAGACAACATCACATACTACAAATGCGACGTCTCCAAATGGGAGGAGGTCGAGCGCGTGGCTAAGCAGATCGTAGACGATGTCAGTCCACTGTCGTGTCCTGCATTGTGCAGATGATTGACCTACAGGATAGCTGGGTCATCCGACTATGCTCGTTAACAATGCGGGCGTCGTGCAAGGTAAAACACTGTTGGACCTGAGCCCTGAAGATATCCAACAGTACGCGTGTGTCTATTCTTTGAGCCGATGTCCCTGCTGATGTTCTTCAGGACAATCTCCGTGAATACGCTCGCGCACTTCTGGACTCTGAAGGCCTTCCTCCCAGAGATGATCAAACAAAAGTCGGGTCACATTGTGAGCCCTAAATTCCACGAATTACGCTTGTGGCAGTGCTGGGACATTCGCTGACAAAGCACAAAGGTCAACGTTTCGTCCGTTTCTGGCATGGTTGGCATGGCACGTCTGAGTATGTCTTCATCTTCGGACTGACTTCCTTCTGATGTCAACACTTTCTGATCATGTGACATCTCGCAGCGGACTACGGTGCATCCAAGGCTGCGCTCATCAACCTGCACGAGTCTCTGCGGTATGAGCTGGACCACGTCTACAATGCGCCCAGCGTCCGCACTACGCTCGTGATTGCAGGCCACATCATGACACCCCTCTTCTCGGCCGTGCGCCACCCCGCAAACCTCTTCTACAAGTTCTTCTTCCCTAGCCTTGTGCCGATCGACGTCGCGAAGGCGATCATCGCCGCCCTGGACGAACAACACTCGCGCGTGCTCTACATGCCGTTCTACGCGCACTTCGTGCCATACCTCCATGTCTTCCCGAGCTACCTGCGGGACTTGGCGCAATGGGCAAGTCTTCACGTTCAGCCTTGTCTTCCATGCTGACAGGATATCAAGATCACTGGTTGCGACTATGCGTTGGAAGACTTCGTCAAGGTGTCTGGCAGGAGGCCAGAGGAGGGTCCCGCGCCTCCCGTGCCCCAGCCTCGCGACAAAAGCGCGTGATCTTCGTATGGTCTGGGGAGAGTTGTCCTAGAAGTTGTCTTGAAGTATCGGGTCAGTGCTTGAGTAGGTGCTACGATATCGACGTAATTTATTTTATTATCCCTCCGAGCTCTTTCCGCTCCAGACGTCCAGTTAGCGTCCATGGCCGCAGGTATAGAACCAGTGACGCAATGCTGACCATGGCCTCCTGCGACACCGATGCGGATGTGCTCTGTATTCGGCACCGTCAGCCGACTTGGGAAGCCGCCACATCACATCACATTAATGCCTTTCACACAATTCAACCAGCAGAGGCTGTCGCAACGAGCTTTCCTTCTGACGTTCTTGCTCTGTTCTCTCAACCCCGAGTACGCGCTGCTGAGTAGACCCATTCCTTAGCGACACACTCCCATCATTCCCATGTTCATCCGAGTTATATCTCGAGGCCTCTTCAAGCGGGGGTCGCAGGTCGACCTTGGCGGCAGGCCGCCTAGGGAAAAGAAGAACAGTAACGAGGATACCAAGCTTCTTCAGCAACTCACAAGCGATCCTGGGGACGAACAACCGCTCGAGAGTATGCCCGAGATAGTGTGTACTGTCTCCCTTCCGATGACTCCAGAGCTGACACCCCTCTCCAGACTGCGGGAGCCTCATCTAAGCAGACTGCACGGCCCGATGTCGGCGATAAGACGCAACCTGTGACCCCCGAGGTTCCTGAGAGGCAGACCGATAATAACCATCATGTGCGCGAAGATTCATCGAAGGCCCACAAGCCCGAACAGAGGCAGTCCGAGGCCAGCAGTCCCCTCATCGTCGTGAATGCCTCAGGCGCAGGTATCAAGACAGAAGAAGCAGAGGATGCGGACGAGGTCTTCCAGACACCACTGTCCCAGACGCCGCACTTAGGCCTTCCAGGAGAGGCGTCATCATCCGTGACGCCGCCAGGTGTATGCGGTCCCTTCTGCCCTCGTGCCACATGAAGAGCTGATTTCAGCCACAGATAGAACGTTTCCTTAACGTCCCTGGCCTGCTGAAGACATCTCCCTGTATGCCACCTGGAGTGCTTGCCATGGACTCGCAGCCCACTCAAGGCATGCTCTCCGATATCACGGAAGCTGAAGAGCCCAGCGTACGGGACTCATTCGTGCAGGATGCAACGCCCTCGCCGGATCTGCTCAGTGGACGCACGCTATCGTGCTCTTCTTTCGGGTCGTCGTATCCTAGTAGCCCAGAGCTACGCGACGTCAAGACGACCTACCAGGTCCTGGAGACTACGGCATCTATATCAGCAGCGCAGTCGGAATTCCGCGAAGCCGAACGTTCTCCGGGGCGTCCTCCTTACCCCGTCGCATTACAGCCAGACTTCGTACCATTTGTCGTGGCACCGCTCCTGTCTTCGTCTTCCGTGAACCGCCCCGGGAAGCGCGAGGCTGGTCATGACTACGATGGTGGGTGCGAACGAGGACCAAAGGACGAGGGAGATGACGAACCCAAGGTCGAACACAATGGCGAATACAAGGCTGACAGTCATCCTGCGTCGTTTGCCACTACTGGACTTTGCCCTTCCGCCAGTACTTACGCCGACGCAACCAACGTGAGTCCTGTCACGAGAACATCTCCTTGCCGTTGCTCACCCATGGTATAGCTGGCTTTACAACACCCTGAGATAGCAGCCGACATTTTGCGCCAACCCCTATCTTCTGCTTCCACGTCGAGTCGCCCGTCAAATTGCCCTACCCCGTCTGAGTCCTGTATCACTACTCTGAACACCCCTCCTGCATCCGGGCGTTGCAGTCCCAACCCCAAGAAAGCAAACCTGCCTCACACCTCTGTGCGGCCTAATTGGGCATTGGCTTCAGATATCCACACGCCTGACCGTCCCAACTGGGCCGTGGCGCCCAAGGCTGGCCGACAAGCCAGATCGCGGGGTCGCGGTAAAGGTCGCAGGGGCACTTCAGTCTCGGCTGCCGTCTCCGGGACAGAGCAATCCATCTGCGCCGATACTCTGCCAGCTACTTCATGCGCGGCGACTGGTTCAAGGGATGGCCCACAGCAATGGCTGACTCGCGTCAACTCATGGATGGAGCAGACACCCCGCGCGGTCAAGATTCCAACGACTACCCTCATGCCCGAAAAGGGACTGCAGACTACCTCGAGACCATTTCCTGCGGAGCCGATGAGTCAGTGGGGCCGCCATTCGAGGTCCTCTACAAGTGTCTTGAATCCTCGCGCGCCTACTTGGAGTCCGCCGACTCGAGTACGCCGCCTAAGTGTATCGGAGACCGAGTCAGAGGGACCTACGGCAGAGAGTCGGTCTTCGCCTAGTGCGAACTCTGTCAGAAAGCCCCTCACCTTCGCCGTGGATGCGGACATAGACCGCTTGCGCGATATGCTTCGCAGCTGCGGTATCCAGGATGATGAGACTGTCGCTACTAGCAACCTCTCCATGACATTGAAGCCTTCGTCAATGGGCTCGAAGCAAGTCGACGATGTCGCGATCGCGGAGAAAGAAGCTCAGAAGACCCCGGCACAGCGCAGCTCTTGTCAAGAAAAGAGCACGCAGGGGGCCTCTGATGAACCGAATATTTTGTATCACGCCGGACCTGCTCCCCGACGCTTCGAGTACAAGACCTCGACGCGATTTGTCCCGTATTCGAGCCAAAATCGGTCGTTCGGTAGGCCTTCCCAGCCACAGCGGTTCTTTGCAGAGCCGGGGCCACGATGTCCCCCGTTGAATAGGGTGAACGCTCGAGATTTCGGCAAAGAACCTGCAAGACCTCGGATGGCCGGACCCTTCGAACCCAATACTCCACCTGGTGCACCTGTCTTCACTCAATCCAGTGCAGCGCGATACTCTGGCTCAGCCTTCTTTTCTACTCCTCCCCCGCAGCCTGCCCCGCCGCAGAGCCATTCCTTTAGCAGGACCCTTCAGGTAGAGTCTGGGAGCTCCCATGCCCATGGCGCGGACAGCCCCTCGATGTTTGTCCCTGGAGCCTACAAGGTCCGCTTTGACTGCACCGAGAGGCGACAAGATGCCCCCGTATCGAGTTCTCATGTTTCTCCCATCGCTAGTGTTGATCGCCCTCGCCAACCTTCGGGACGCAAGGGCTCGCGATTCGCCTGAGTGACAGCCCAGGTGACCGTCTTGTGTACGTGGCTGGTCCACGTACCCACTCCGCCGCGATACCTACGCCCATACGAGGCCGCAATACTGTTGGCTTTGTCGTTATGTGATTGGTGTCCAACGTTTTGTTCATACCTACAGTCGCGTGTCTGTTCTGATTCATCCATCCGTCCAATGTTCCGTACGCTCCATCCTGTAGCTGTAGACCATCTCAAATACATAGTGAAGAACATGGTAATACAGAAACAGTCCCTTTAGACCTTTATGACGTGCGTGAGCTTCTCAACGAGTTTCTGCAACCTCTTTGCCTCATACACGGCCAACGTGTGGTTCTTATCGATGGTGATTGCCTCGGTCAACGCCGGGAACGTCGTAGCGCCGTAACCTAGCCCATGGTGCTGTTGAGCCACTTCGACATGTTTCGCAAACATATTATTACTCACCAAGCCACTTGCCGGGGGCTACGTCCAGGTTGCGGTACCATTCCCGGTCCTTGATACCCTCCTCATCGATGAAGCCGCGCTCGAAGAGCTTCAGCTTCTTGTTGACCTCGCGAACGCGCTTCACCGCCTTCTTGAACTTCTTGCTCGGGAACCGCTTCTTGTCCAACGCATACAGCTCCTCGCCCATCGCCTGCTCGCGCTGCTCTTGCGCCACGGCGGGTGCATGACCAACGCGGGGCTTGAAAGGCAGCAGCCCGTTCTTGTTTCCCTTTCCGGACTTCATGCCCGAGCACTCGAATGCCTTGTCAACGGTAGGGATCGCGGGGCTGGCGACAGGAGAAGCATCCTTGCGGAAGGGTGCGCAGTCCTTGCCGAGGAACCGCTTGAGCTTGCAAAGCGCGCGGCGGAACGTGCGACGGAAGAGGTGGCGGCGGGCGAACTTGCGAAGGAGCTTCCTGAGCTTGTGCTCCGCCTCAACCTTTTCGTGGTCAAGCTTGAGGCTGGCCTTCTGGAGGGACTGGATCGCATTGCGGAGATCGGAAAAGTCGACGTCAAGAGAGGTTGTCGAGGCGAGCTCTTCCACCCTAGAGAAAATGTTAATCAACACATGCCTTGCGACATCGAGGACTGGGGCACTATACGTACTTTTCGAGGTACTTCTCGAGTTCGAAGGCGTGGTAAGTCGTGTTGAGGGGTAGTACGATAGAGTCTGCGAGACGGATGGTCTGCAGTCCGAGGTACTTTGCAACAGCAACATGCCGGAAGAAGCCGGGGTCGCCGTACAATTCAATCCACCTCTCGGAGTCGAAGATCGAATGGTAGTGGTAGACCGGGTCTTGCAGAGTCGAGCCGAAGCCGCCTCCGGCGGAAGCCACCTGAAGCATATATCAGTTCACAGCATAGATACGCAGACGCCAGGAAATACACACCCCAGTACGCTGCACAAAGACGGTATAGTCGCTTCCGGAACCAAGCACGCCAACGCCAGTGCTGGAAGCCGCAAGCTCCGCTTCAGCCTCTGAATGCATCGCAAGGACTTCAGCGTCGATGTGGTCGCCAGTCAGCACGCCACGATCCTTTGTAGCATCCCATAGCGTCTTGCCAGGCTGTGTTGGATGCGGGATCTCCTCGGCGGCTGCGCGCAAGAAGTGAGCGAGGGAGGGCGTAGCCTGGACATTGAAGCGCGACCCAGAAACGGAGCCGTCTGCGCACGACAAGAATGGCTCAGCACAACCCCCGCACATACACATCCTACATACGCCCTCTGAGTGATACATTCGCCCGGAGGGCGTATGTAGGGACATAAGCTTAGGGACGTACCGAGGTTCAAATAGGCGACGACGTGCTCGTCAATCCAGTCCTCGAAGTCCTCGCCCCACTCAGTGCTGCCGATCAGACCGTACTCCTCGGCATCCCAGCTTGCGATAACAATAGTGCGCAGGGGCGTCCATCCGTGCCGGAGGAGAGCTCCAAGACCACGGATGACCTCGTGCACGGAAGAGGTGCCTGAAGAAGGATCAACTGCGCCTAAGACCCAAGCTGGCGGAGCGCCATTGTGTTGTTAACGCTGAACCCGGGCCATGTTAGGATGCCTTACCATCACGGTGGTTACCAATCACAACAACTTCGTCCTTGATGTGCCCGGGGATGACACCAAGCACATTCCAAATAGGGATGACTTTGTCGTCCACTGTCCCAGTAGTTGTAAGGAAGGCATTCAGCGACGTCGAAGCTTGAACGTACCGTTGTTGACGAGGGAAATGGTACGGTTCTGACCACTGTCCTGGATCTCTTTGAGAAGAACCTGAGCGTTAGCCCAGGAGATGGGCAGACTGGGGATAGAAGGGATATTGGTGCCATTCGTGCGAGTGCTGTTCTCATACGATGGGTAGCCCGGAGTCGTTGGGTCTCTATATGCGAGCCGGGGATGTTGAGGAATGGACGATAAGACCTTACGGCAGAGACATACCCTGGATATATTGACAGGAACTGCGTGCTACCCCTTTGGACCGAATTGGGGTTCCTCGCAGGACCATGCGGGTATCTTACAATCTGTGAGTCGACGAGCGTGGACAGTCAAGTGCAGCTACACTTACGGAGCGTAGCCGTTCTCTACAGTCACGGTACCGTCGTCGCGCGGGTCTGAGTAGATAAGGCAGGCAGCAGCGCCATGCTCCTGAGCGCCTTTGACCTACAGCCGAGGACAGCTAGAATGAGCCCATGCGATTATTAACGGCTTAGGTACGAACCTTCAGCCCGCGGAATATGCCTCCATAACGAGTAATGACAATGGAGCCGTTCAGGTCGACACCTGGAATAGAATAAGGCATCCCATATGAAATATGGAAAGATTCGGCACGGACCTTGCTCAACCAACGCGTCGAAGTCCTCCTTCTTCCCGTAGTTCGCATACACGAGCTTTCCCCTGGCGGATCCTCCGCGGCTGAGTCCGTGCCAGGTGGTGACTGCGTCGAAGTACTTGCCCGCCTCGGGATCGGTCTCATCCGCAACCTCTTCAAGCTCGGCTTTCCAGACGACGTTGCCGTTGTCGTCGAGGATCTCCACGCTGTGATCAAGCGGCGTATTCATGACCGGGTAGTACGTGTCGATCCATGCTGTTGGCTTTGTCAGTTGCGGGATGCCGAGGGTAGCGTTGCGCGATTCTGGCGTCCCAGCAGAGAATAAGGGGATTGAGCCCGGCGTCCCTGCGCCGAGCTCCGTCTGAAGGAGACGCAAGAAGTTCTTTGCGGTTTCGAAGTCACCGTCTGTACCCGCCAAGTGCGGCTTCGTCGCATACTGGCGAGACGCTGCGATCGCGCTCGCGGGGTTGGGAACGGACCTGCATATTGTGCGAGGTCGAATGCAGAGGGAAGCCGACGCGTACCGTTGCAAGCGTTAGTGGCCACGCTATCCTGACAACATTGGTACGAAGAAGAAACTCACAGGAATAACTTCTCAGCCTTCTTCCCGCGCAACACCTTACGAGGAGACCACGTCCAAGCTTCCCCACCGAATGCGCGGGAGATCCACCTCCCCTCGTGTGCCTCCAGCTCCTGCTCAACCCCGGTCTGCGTCCAACGCCGCGCACATATCCAGAGTGATGTAAGGAGCGCGAGCTTCAAGAAGGCGACCAAGAATCGGCGGCCGCGGGGGGGCTGGCGAGTCGGAGGGGGGACGGCGGCGACGGGGACTGGTATCTCGTCCAAATGCCTCGCTTTCTCGAACGGCTTTTTCTCGTCGAGGTCGGCCATGATGGTGGTCGCTCAGCAAGAGATGTTCTGCATGAGTGTGTGGGGAGCGGCTGGAGATGATAGCCTTCTGAGAAGTCTCTAGAGTCCGAGTCGGAGCGCAGGAAGCACGCAATATTGGAGACCCCAAGCAGCCTCGTGAGAACCAGGATGTCGATAGATGCCGTCTATGTTGTACCTGATGACACAAGCCGAAAATCCTTGACCGCCTTCAAGTCTGCGTCGCGAACACTAGTGTCGCACATCCAGCTAATGATGACGATGATAGGTATTTGTGTAGTTCGCAGAACCAAGTATATCTCATGTAAGTAGAACGACCAAGTGCGGAACGTGCTCTCTACATGGATCTGCATACTGGCCAATGATGTCATCAGCGCATAGATACGCGCCTCTTACACTGAACAAGACATCAAAAGTGCTCAAGCGTTCCGGGGTCGGGCGAAGACAGGAAGTCATACCCAGCGACCGTCGAATGGCATGTAATGTAAAAGAGGAAAACGCGCGAGCAATCATCACAAAGCAGGATTCGGCTACTGTACAAGTTACGGAATCGCATTGCGTTCAACTTCAGCATCTGAGTCTACAATCCAGCGAGTCCTCCATAGCATTCTGACAGTCCATTCAGGCAGGCCCCAAGTAATAGACGCCGACACCGCGCAATTACTTCTTGGCCAGGACGATGCAAGTACGCGACGGGATATACACCTGCAGCGCGTAGTTCCTCAGAACATCCTCCGATGACGACTCGCCACTCCCATGTCCACTCACCTGCGTCCAGTTCTTCCTGCCGTTCCACTCCAGCGGCGTCGTAGGGAAGGTGCCGCCCGGAAGCACGTTCTCAAATCCGCCAAAGCGCTTCTCGTCGCTGCTCAGGACGATCTCGTAGTCGCCTGGCTCCTCGACGCCGACGCGGTAGTCGGTGAACGAATTAGTCGGGTGGAAGTTGAACACGAAGAGCAGGCCCGCGCGCTCGTACACGATCACCTTATCGACCTCATGCTTGAGGGAGACGTATGCGGGCGGGGCATGAAGCCAGCCGTATAATTCCTCGGTGTGGTTCATCACCTTATCGAATTCGTTCAAATACTTATACCGGAGAAGGGGGTCGTCCACGATGTTCCACTGTCGGCGGGCGTACTGGAAAGAGTTGTTGTTCCCTTGACGAGGAAAGTCCAGCCACTGCAAAGCTGTATCAGGAGTCTCAACGGAATTCTTGAATGTAGGAACAAACCTCAGGGTGTCCAAACTCGTTACCCTCGAAGTTGAGGTAACCCTCGCCACCAAGAGAGTGAACAAGTAAACTGCATGATGATCAGCGGCGGGCAGGAGCACAGGAGGTGTCACAACCCACCGAATCATCTTGTGCAGCGCGATACCCCTTGCAATAACGGGCGTGTACTCCGATATGTCCGACATGTTCGTGTACATCTCCTTGTCCATCAACCAAAACGCAAGCGTCTTGTCGCCGACTAGAGCTTGATCGTGACTCTCCGCGTACGCGATGCTCTTCTCACCGTAGCGGCGGTTGGTGAGAGTGTGCACGATGTTGCCCATCTCCCACTCATCGTCACGCTTGTGCTTGAGCAGCTTGATCCACATGTCGGGGATGGCCATCGACAGTCGGTAGTCGAAACCGACACCGCCTTTGGAAACAGGGACGCACAGGAGGGGCATGCCCGAAACATCCTCGGCGATTGTGATTGCTCCAGGGTAGAGCGTGTGCATCGCGTCGTTGGCCTGGACATCGTCGATTGTCAAGATGTCGGACAGGATGTATACACACACACAAGGACTCACCAGCATAAGGTAAACTATAGCCTCCAGGTCCGCGGAAGGACCGAAGTACTCGTGATAACCTCCCGAAAAGCCGGTGCCAATCCCGTGGTGGTGGTACATCATGCTGGTAACACCGTCGAACCGGAAACCGTCGAAATGGTACTCCTCAATCCAGAAACGCAGGTTGCTTAGTAGGAAACGGAGAACCTCGTGATGCCCGTAGTTGAAGAGCCGACTGTCCCAGAGCTCGTGGCGTCCACGACTGCCCTCATGGAAGTACAGGTGATCTGAACCGTCGAAGAGGTTAATCCCATCCAGAACGTTCTTGCAAGCATGGGAGTGTACGATATCGAGAAGAACAGTGATACCCATGCTATGCGCAGTATCAATGAGCTCTTTCAGCTCCTCGGGAGTTCCGTAGCGAGAGCTCGCAGCAAAGAAGCTCGTGACCTGGTATCCGAAGGCTATGATGGTAGATTTTCAGTCAGGTATAACGATGTACCGAAGAGAGATGCTTACACGCGTAGTAAGCATGCTCCATGACTGCCATCAACTGTATCGTGTTATAACCCAGGTCCTTAATACGTGGAAGGATGTTCTGAGTGAATTCCTTGTACGTGCCAACGCGATGCTCGGTGGTCGAGATGCCGACATGGGCTTCGTAAATGCGTAAGCTTCTCGGAGCTGGTGGACGAGGGTGCTTGAAAGTATATCGCTCTTCGAGAGGAGGGTTCCAGAATCGCGCCTCGTACACTGGTGATACTGTCAAATCCTGGGTGACGCGCTGTATCCAGGCAGGGATGCGTTCAATGCGCTCTCCACTGTTGACAATCATGGAGATCTGAGATAAAATGCAATCTCAGTGAAGTGTAATAGCGAAGAGGCGCATGAACGAGGTATACCTTGATCTTTGAGTCGTGGGGGATGACGCATTTACCATCCTTCGGAGGAACGGTGATTTCCCAGACGCCATACTTGTCCTTGGTCATTGGGTGCGATATCCTGTTCCAGTTATCTGGAAGAAACATAAGTGAGGAAGGCCTACAGATTGAAACCAAAGGGGCACTCACTGAACTCGCCGATAAAGACCGCTTCCTTGGCGTTCGGGGCCCACTCGCGGTAGGTGACGGTGCCGTCTTCAGCGACATTGATGCCCATCTTGCGGTAGCCCAGAGAAAACTTCTCATACCCTCCCTCGATGTCGTCAATGGTCTGCTTCCATTTCCTGAAGAGATCATGACGATGCACGATCTGGTCTGCATGCTCTGTGAGCCATGGATCAACCGCGAGTACGGTCTGCTTGTCGATGGGTTCGGTTGGCATGTCTATCGCAAGGCGATGTGTGTTGGCAGGAGGGTGTTGATATGCCTGGGGATCTGGCAAGGGGAGATGGGGCGAGGTGGAGAAGGGGGCGTCGAGCGTGACAAGGACTCGCGCTCGAGATTTTGGGCAACTCGCCCAGATTCGGGAGACGCGTTCTAGCGCTGCTCGTCCTCAAAGACGTCACCAGTCACGTGTCCGTAATGCTCGCGAGGCCCTCAGATCTCAGATCCAGGGCAGCGGGGGCCTGCCGGGGCTTCGTCGGAGAATCAGATCCGCCAAGCCAGCGAGTGCGGGGCAGCGACACCCTGGGCTCTCCCTGCCCGTTGTCTGTCTACCCATCATCTTGTCTCCCCTTTCTCGTCTACGCCTATGCCACGTCTCCAATAGCCGATTCACCTTACGAACCCCATGTCTTCCCAAGCACAGCAGAAGACGAATACAAAATCCAACATACTCCATGTGGCATTGACACGAGTTGCCGCCATCGGTGTCTTGCTCGGTCTGTCGCTTGTCACCTGGGCATACCGTCGCGCTCTCGAACCCCAGTATGGATCTGCTCCCACTACCCTCCATCTCAGCAAGATCGTATGGTCTGCAAGTATCCTGGGAAGCTTCGCACCCACAGTTCCCCTCTCCCGAGCTACACTAGGACTTGCGCTTCTCTTGTATGCACTCCCCACATCGTCATACTGGGTGGCGGCCTACACTGCGAGGCTGGGAGACCCTATACTGGGTCCCGTCGCGACACACCTGACTGTGTTGCTGCCAGTGCTGTCACTCGGTGTAGCTCTCGTCAAGGCACTACAGGTAGGCGTTATATGCCATCTTCGCCACGGGACGCTAACGCTCCTGGGCACTTTCAGGAAGCACCATACGCTGAAGGGGACTCGAAGAGTCCTCAGTCGTCTATCACCCTTCCGGTCTGCGCAACTGCAATCAACTCTCTTCAGGGTCTCTGGCCGATAGTCACAGTCCTGTCCTCAGCCCCAGAAGACCAAGTTGTAGGTTCTTGCTCCTCATGGACCGGCTTGTACATTTCTTGATATCTTTTTCGTAGTTCATGCAATTAGGTACCGCTGCAATGGCTTGCTGGGCTATAGCGCCTTTCCTTCCGGACGTTGGCGCGCCGCCTCCTGGCGCAACGAAGTCACTCGCTGCGGCTCCCGACCCTGCTACGCCTGACCCTAGAGGCAAGCGTAAGAAGGGTAAACATGAGAAAGAGGCCACGGCACACTCTACGACGACCGCTCCGCCCCCACCAGTGCGCAAGGAAGCCTCCGCCGGCATGGCGAGAATCCGACTTGCGCTGATCCCTGTCCTCCCTTACTTGACACATACAGTCTTACGTGGTCCAACGCTCCCTCACCCTCTCCTCGAACCATGGACTCATCCATCGTACCCGTTGCGCATCCTCTCCTCTGAGCAGTCGGCGTACTCAGGCGTGGTGGTTGTCGGCGAATCATTGGGATCTCAGAACAGTTCCGGTATTGAGAATATGCGCTATCTCCGCGCAGGGCATTCGCTACTGGGCGGAGTTTGGGTCGGTCCGAAGGCGGTAACCACGGAACGAGACCTTTTGCTTCAGGACGCGGCAGGAGATAAGCTGGGAGATTCCGTTTATACTGCGTTCATCCTCCAAGAAGCCACGCTTCTGGCCAAGAAGGCGGGCAATGCCCGCCCGAAGAACGCTCTCATAGTGTATGTTGCTCATGACGATCTCACTGACAGGGAATGTCATCTCACGATTAGCTTCCTACGATAGCGGCCTAGGCACTGGTATCGCAGCGACCTCGTTCATCCGTCATAACCTTTCGACGACTATCGTCGAGATCGACCCTGCAGTTTATGACGCGGCGAGACGTTTCTTCGGCCTTGCCGATCCACATCAGGTCTTCCTAGAAGACGCTAGGGGATGGGTGCACAATCGCAGCGAGGTGGTCAAGGCCCAGGCTGAGAGCGTAAATTTGGCGACGTTTGAGCCTTTTGATGTCGTCGTCCACGATTGTTTCTCCGGCGGGGGCATTCCTTCCCATCTGTACACGCAACAGCTGTGGCAAGAACTGAAGAATATTATCCGATCGGATGCCATCATCGCAGTGGTAAGCCTCCTCGCCTTCCTCCAGTAGTCAGCTCTGAGGCCATCACCAGAACTACGCGGGGGAAATCACGTCCGACTCCGCCAAGGCAATCGTACTCACCCTACGCTCCGTCTTCCCACAATGTCGCGCATTCTACGACGCCATGGAGCCATCGGCGAATGCTGTCGATGAGTTCCAGAACTGGGTGTTCTTCTGCACACCTTCGAGCGAGCCGCTCGAGTTCCGCAAGGCGGTCGCGTCCGACTTCCTCGGTTCGTACCTACGGCGGCATATCCTCTCCAGCCTGGAGGAGCGCGAGGGCGATATATCCGGTCTGGGAACCGACATTGCTGAGGACAAGCGTGAGCGGTTCATCTTGAAGGATTTGGCGAATCCGTTGGGCGATTGGCAGCAGAAGGACGCGATCCACCATTGGAAAATCATGCGCGCAGTACTGCCGGACGTGTTCTGGGAGACGTACTAAAGTTGCATGTAGTTGTACTGTAGCAAAGAACTCATGCTGCTGTTTCTGCCCGAGATATCGAAACCCGATGTCTTGGCAGAACATGAATACCATCACGAGTTCACAACTCCGTCTTGCAGACCTCTTGCTCGACGATGGGTCACGTGTGCAGACGCGTCGACAATGCAACGCGCGCTTGACGCGTTGCGCGTTATCTGTACTTCGACCGGAACTGCTTCCATCACTTCGCGTTCCAAAGCTTCCCAGTTGCGAGCCTCGAGGTCACGTAGATATAAAGAACGTTGCAACCAGCGACGTCGTTCGCTCCGTCCAGGATGTCCTCCCCGCGTCCCGGCTCCATCTCGTTGAATTCGCCTGGACGACCGTCGCCGCTCTCGCGCCCGCATTGGCCGTGGTCCACGTACACGCATAGGTCGTCATCTTCCTCTGCTTCCATTCAATCTACCGCCAGCAGCTCCGTGCATAGCTCTCAGACTTGGGAGTCGAGAGGCTCTACCATCACATCCGGTACAGGCACCGTGTTACTATCTGCTGGCCCAGGGGTCGCATCTACCCGTATGGCAGGCATGAGCAGCCAGAACGCACTGATGGAGGATACGACGACCAGGCAGTGGAACTTCCACGTGAGTGGCTCATAGCTTGGTAATCATTGTGGGTGCTCAATGAAAGACCTGATGCGTAGGCTTTCGAATGGGTGGTGCGCGATGTCAGTAGGCTCCGGGACTACATCGAGAACCCCCCTTTGACTGCGGAAGGCGAAAATGGGCCGGAAGAACTCGATGAGGAGTTTGATGTTCTGAGGGAGTCTCCTGAGCTAGGAGACGGTAAGTTCAAGTTGGAGATTTGTACGTGGATTTAGCTGTGGTCCAGGATCGTTCGAGACTGACGGGTTCGTTCTAGCCAAGACTACGATGAACGAGCCCGAGAACCCTGCCACGCCTAGTATTCGCACCCAACCACCGACGCTGTCCCTATATATCACATCTTTGACCGTCGATTTCGCGCACACGGAGTACGAGCATTCTGCATCCATGTTCGCAGCAATCAAGTGCCAGGACGATCGGATAGGCGAGCGTGGCGCCCGTGCTGAATGGGCTTGGGAGTTCTGGCAGAGCAACTGGGCTTTTCGTCAGGGAAGCGAAGTATGGGGTGAGTGACCTTCTCAAATCAAGGTGGCCGATCACAGCTTCTGAAACGTTTCGCAACAGAATGCCCGCTTCCGCCTTTGTCCGTACTCCTCGAAAACCTGACGATCAGGGAGACCGACTCGTTTGTGATATGCGTGCAGATGCATTCACCTGTGGGACCTTTCTACCCGCAGCAACCGTCAGCCTACTACGTTCCTCGAGATCTTCTAGAAGGACTGGAGGCGTCTCTTGATAACCCCAGTCAGTATATGCACCATCCTTGGGTACTGCTTGCGCTCATGTCTCACTGTTCTAGACACTGGAGATGTTCAGTTTGTTTGTCTTGAGCGTACTTCCCAAGATCAGGACTCACTGTCGAGTTCAATGGCGTCCCTGGCGCCTGCTAGCCCTCGCTCCGCATCATCATCCCAGTCACCCTCACCACCTCATGCTTTAGCCCGGAAGCGCATCATATATGCGCATTCTGACATCCTCATCAGGCGGTCCGAGTACTTTGCCACAATGCTCAGCTCGTCTTTCAACGAGAATAGCAGCACGCTCCTGCCAGGCGAGCGCAAGGTGTACACTATCGTCGTCGAGGAGGCTGACTTTGTGACCATATACTGGCTCCTCAAGTGGGTGTATGCGAACTGGGTGCTCTTCCGCAAGGACGACGATCCTCGCCAGGCAGTTGACGGGATCGGCGCAGGGTGGAGCGCTCGTGACTTCTGCTCGCCTGGCGTCGCGGACGAATGGGGCTGGAAAGTGTTTCACAAAGGTGGTTCGTCCGATGGGCACAGTCGCGCCGTCAGCGACGCGCGCAGCGTCACCAGCGGTGCGAGCGGCAGGTCGACTGGAGATGCGCCCCGCGAGAAACCCAAGGAACTCCGCGTCACGGGTTCGTCGACTACCTCTGGGATGCGCGCAGGTGGCCCAAGCTCGTCCAAGTCTACTGCCGCTCGGTCGCCCACTACCCCTCGCCGACCTTCGCATGGGCCTTCTGGCGGAAATACTCCCACTATGCCTGTGCCCATGCCCAATCCAACCTCTCCCTCTGGACCCTCGTCTCGCGCCCCAAAGGTTGTGCCCGTGCCACTTTCCCCCTCAGCCCCGCACTACTCACACAAGCAGCGCGCACGCTCAACTGCCTCGACGGTTGACCCACACCCGCACCCTACCCCAGCCCCGCAGCCCGCGTCTGCGCTCTCGATGTACCAGGTTGCGCACCGGTACGGAATGCCAGGCCTGGGCACGCTCGCGCTGGAGCACATCGTGTCGACAATCACGCCCCAGTCGAGCTTTGCCGTGCTACTCGCGTCGACCACTTGGGACGAGCTGCACTCGCTGGTTGAGGTGAGTAGATCATGCAGGTCTGATCAGCACCGTGTGCTGATGGTGTATTTGTAGGACTACATTGTGGATAAGTGGGACGAAGTGTCGGTGTCCGATGAGTTTGAGCGGTGCTGCCAGGAGGTGGCTAACGGAGAGTAAGTCTTTCGTGTCGTTTGTCTACGAACGCTTTTTGCTGAACGGTACGGTGCAACCCAGGTGGGGTCCGGAAGGAGGCAAGACGTTGATGGCTCTCTTCAGGCGCCTGCGGTCTCCCAGTGCAATGGGATACAATCGCAATTAAGCTGGAGCTTTGCGGATAAGTATGATTTACGGTGGAGTAATCTGCACCAGGGCGTGCCCCGGAACTATCAAGCCTCGCTATCGGATACATTGGTCAGTGGAAACGGTCTGAACAGTCCAGGGGAGTGATGAGCTAACCTGGTATAAATTCTAGCATAAGGATGACGTGCAGTGCACAGTGTAATATAAGTGTTGGATTGCCAAAATCTGTGACCTGTTTTTGTCGGGTTGTAAAAATTGCACGCGAATACGCCATGGTGTATGCACGCGGAAGCATTGACAAAATACAATCAATCACAAGTCGGTTACGGAGGGAGTAGGTTGGTCGGCGTTTTGATGTATGTTCCGCATGCTCACTGAAGACTCCAAGCTTCCGCGGCACTCGAACGAACGGTGTCTGGCATACAGGCATGCTGAGTCACAGACTCGACTGCTGCAGGTTCCAGTTAGCTGACCTTGCCCTTGAATATCCGTGGGTACAAAAATAGCCTCTCCACGGCATCCTGACAGCTCGCGGCAACTAGGCTGTCCAACGTGAGTCGAGAAGGCTTCGGACTATACATAGCTTCATATGCAGTAAGCAGCCGTGAGTGACAGCTCCCACCTCTTGACGCACCACGTGTCCAGTCCCTTACCACCTTTCCCTTTGTACAATACCCTGCGGATCTTCATGCCCTGAAGCCGTCCGGCCAAATTGACGCCGCTCTATCAGGGCACATAAAACGCGAGGCGGTGAAACCAAAGAGCTTCGTCGGCCTACACCCTGAAAGTAAAGCAGAAATTGCTTCCGTGTCTAGAACAGCCAGAGAAACACCACTCAACATGTCAGTCACGCACCGGGCACGTTGGGACCTGCCCCTCGACCCAACAATGTATGCCCCAGACGAAGAAGAGAAGACGTTCATGAAGGCGACTACGGGCATCCAGGACGACGAAGAATTGAAGGAACACATCTTCGCCATACAGGCGAAGGCATTCACAGTACGTGAAATCTTCTCTGTGGCGTACCAGACTGTGGATCCTCAAAGGCTAGAATAGATCTACAAGTACCCATGCATTCGTCAGTTTAACTTCATAAGGTATGCTTAACGGCAAAGTCTCGTCATTAGCTATGTGTCTTGGAAAGAGCTGACACAGCGTTGTGGACCCATGACAGGCTCAAAATAGCACGTATGCCTGCATATCCCCAGTTTCTGGAGTTGGGACGGCAACGAAAAGACGCAATCTTCCTGGACGTAGGATGTGGTTGTAGGTCACGATCATGATTGTTATTGCTTTGCAAGTCTTCTGACTTAACGCATCTCTAGTCGGCAACGATACCCGTAAAGCGATCATTGATGGATGGCCGATCGAGAGAGTCATCGTAGCTGACCTGAGCCCAGGTAAGTTCATTCAGCGTGGCTGTCATTCACAGACCATGACCGATCGCCGTAGAGATGTGGAATATTGGACACGAGCTGTTCCGTTCCACACCTGAAACATTTCCAGTTCCCTTCCTCCAAGGCGACATTCTCGACCCTGCGTACCTAGCTCCAGCCCCAATCCTTCCTACCTCTTCTACTCCCATTCTAGAGCCTCTGCCTCCTCTCGGAGAGATGAAGGCGCTCACCGAGCTTCACGGAAAGATTTCCGCTGTGTTCGCCAGCGCGTTCTTCCACCTCTTCGAATTCGACGCCCAGCAGCAGGTCGCGCGCAAACTGGCCGGGCTCCTGTCACCCCTTCCCGGATCCATGATATTTGGATCGCACACCGGCATGGCTGAGAAAGAGCGTTGGGACGAGGGCGGAACCTGGACGGACTGTCATTCGCCCGAGAGCTGGACCGAGTTGTGGGAAGGCATCTTCGCTGAGGCTGGCGCGAGGGTTGAGGTGAAGACGAGGTTACGACCCCACCGGGGTGGGAGAACCTTCTATGGGATCTATCCCGAGAGCACGAAGGAGCGCTTCTATCTGGACTGGTCTGTCACGAGGGTTTAACGTTGAAGCTCAGACAAAGGGTTTCTGGGCTGAAGGGAGAGTTATCTATCTTCAGCAGTAACTATCTGTATGACAGGGTTCATATTCCGGACCGGTTGGCTCACATTCACGACCCGAGAGAGGTGTCAGCAAGTATCGGTATTCGCGTCGACCATGAAAACTCACATCTTAGTGTATGTACAAGCTCAAAGCAACGAGTTGCACCCATTGATTGAGGTAAGGGTAAGTATGTCGCCGCAATCTGATATAACTGATTTATGCTAGTAATTTTGCTATCGGACTACGTTATAGGCAAGTGGGATGACGCGTCGATGTCTTGCAAGCTTCCGCAGCATTACCGGGAAGTGGCCAGTGGAGAGTGCATATTCCATGCCCGAACATCAAACCACGTCATCCTGCAATTGTGCTCGAAGCAACACCGGCTTCGTACTTGTACTATACTTGAATTCGGCTCGCTATCACTGCGGTGCATTTCGATGGCAGTCGTGGTATTCAGCCTGTGTGAGCTCCCACCTATTTATACAACGTACGTCTCCCTCCTTACGATTAGCCCCTTCGGGTTAGTGCCTGGGACTTGTTGTTCACTCAAGCCATCAGGCAGAATTGGATCCGCTCCGACATACGGCATAAAACGGGAGATGGTGACTGGGCCGCAGTGCTTCGTCGACCTCCATCTACGCTGGAGTCCAAACGGCTTCTGATTATAGGAGAACCTGAAGATATATACAGTCAAGCATGTCGATCACCCACCGCCCCCGCTGGGACCTACCCGTCGATCCATCGCTTTATGCGCCAGATGAGGAAGAGAAGGCATTCATGAAGACGACTACGGGCATCCAGGACGACGAGGAACTGAAAACGCACATCTTCGCCATACAGGCCAAGGCACTCACAGTACGTGTCGTGACCTCTGTTCAGCGCTATACAGTGGTGTCTCATCGGCAACGGCAGGTTTACAAGTACCCATGCATCCGCCAATTTGACTTCATGAGGTGTGTCCATCGATTGTGTCTCGTTAGTAGCTATCTGTGTCAGGACGAGCTAAAATTGTCATGCCTCATGACAGGCTCAGAATAGCGCGTATGCCTGCATATCAACAATATCTGGAGCTGGGAAGGCAGCGGAAGGACGCGATCTTCTTGGATGTTGGATGTGGCTGTAGGTCTTACCGGCTGGTGTTTCGCTAATCTTATGACATGGCCTCTATGTAGTTGGCAACGACACCCGTAAAGCGGTCCTCGACGGATGGCCGATCGAGGGAGTCATTGCGGCAGACCTGAGTCCACGTGAGTTCATTCAATCTAGCCTTCATAGGACTTCATGAACGATCGTTGCAGAAATGTGGAATGTCGGACACGAGCTGTTCCGTTCCACACCCGACACGTTCCCAGTCCCATTCGTCCAGGGCGACATCCTCGACCCTGCATACCTAGCTGTAGCCCCAATCCTCCCTACCTCTTCTACGCCTATCTTAGATCCTCTCCCTCCTCTGAGCGAAGTGAAGACGCTCAACGAGCTTCACGGCAAAATCTCCGCAATATTCGCCAGCGCGTTCTTCCACCTCTTCAAGTTCGAAGGCCAAGAGCAGGTCGCGCGCAAACTCGCCGGGCTCCTGTCTCCCCTTCCCGGATCCCTCATCTTCGGCACGCAGACGGGCTTCGCCGAGAAAGGGGGTTGGGGCGTGGACGGGTCCAGGGCGGACTATCATTCGGACGAGAGCTGGAAGGAGCTGTGGGAGAACCTCTTCGTTGAGGCGGGCGTTGAGGTCGAGGTGAAGGCGAGGTTGCAGCAGCACCGGGGTGGGCTGAATGGCTATGGACTTTACCCCGAGAACACGAGGGAGCGCTTCTACCTGGATTGGTCAGTAACGCGTGTCTGAGGCTAGCCGGAGAGAGGATCGTTGGGTTCATCACTGCAGCTACAGAGGGTCGTCTTCTCCATCCGAAGTGGCCTCGTCTGTAAACATACCGTATAGAGATTGGAGCATTTGCATATAAGATTGCTTCGTTTGATGATGAAAGACCCGAGCTGATCGCCAAAGTAAGAGGTGTCGAGAAGCAATCGATGTTCGTGACGGTCGTGTAGTCGTAGGTTGTTATTTACATGCATGTCAGAACGGCTACTACTTCTAAAGCCAGAATTAATGTCAGTTTCACAGCATGGCTGGCCACGACCAAAATCTGAGAGAAAACGGGAAGTGCAGGCGCCGGCTACGACACACAGCCACTTTCCCGGCCCGTAGGAGTGATGCTATAGAGCATCCCCTCCCAATATGTAGAATGACTCCCAAAGTGTCCGATATTCCATGAAGTTATCTATGGGTTTGCCGCTCTTGTTTCTGGTATATTCAAGGACCAAAGGCACTCAGAAATTGATGGTATGCTATGCAGCGGGAGAAGCCGGCCGGGAAACGCCGATATTCTCGACGGGAGCACTGAGAATCAGTACAAAGGCTGTAGCCAGCTACGACTACCTATGTAGTCATGGCCGGCCACGCTGGAAACTGACATTCCGGTTCATAACGCTCTGTTTTGCAATCTTGCCTAATGCGTAGTCAAGATTGATGTGGGCCGCGCACCGACGACTCGTGCTGCTCGCGAGCCACACGCGTAGCTGGGTAGGAACACGGCGTAGCCCGAGACGCGAGTTGCCAACGTCGAGCTCGATGAGCCGCGACTCCCCGGTCCTGCCAACGGCTGTGTTGAATACGATCCTGGCGTAAGTACCTGGCTCGATGTGCGCCGCGCGGGGGCGAGGGCGGGTCGAGGGGTGAGCCGTCGAGCGTGGTTCAACTTCAGCGCGGATCTGCCGCCATGCACAATGTGATGCGAGTGAGTACAGGCATTCGTGCTTATGGGATCTATGACACTAACGAAGTTGTGGTTATAGCCGAGACCCTCGTGGAAGAAGAGCCTTTCGATGCTGAAGTTGGCTGCCTGTAGGGTTCAGTGCACAGTCCAGAGCCCAGCGCTGACGGTGCTGCTGGCCCCGAGAGCGTCGTGGGCCACGGCATCCTGACATGTCTCGGCAATCGAACTGTAAGCAACATGGTTCAAGAACGCTTCTATCTATACTTGGGATCGACTCATAGTCATGGTGGTGTATTTTGGTTGCAGTCGTGGGTGTTATGCTTTGAGAGCTCCCACCTATTGCTGCATCACATGTCCTGTCTGGTACAATGTCTACCTTCGTGTGGGGAGCCTGCGGATCCTCAATCGTTCCGGCGGGACTGACGCGGCTGTAGCAGAGCACATAAAATACGAGATAGTACTGTCACGGATCTCGTCGACCTCCACATCGGAGTCGGAGTTGCCTCTGAGTCTCGTATAGCCTGAAGTCGACCTGTGAAGCATGTCGCTCACGCACCGTTCCAGCTGGGACCTGCCCCTCGATTCATCGATGTATGCCCCAGACGAAGAAGAGAAGGCGTTTATGAAGGCGACTACGGGCATTCAGGATGACGAAGAATTGAAGGCACACATCCTCGCCGTACAGGCGAAGGCCTGGACCGTACGTGGTTTTCTTTGTGGCATAGCAGACAGTAGGACCTCATAGCCCCAACAGATCTACAAATACCCATGCATCCGCCAGTTTGACTTCATGAGGTATGTCTTTTGGACTCTCAGCTTCGACTGTGTGTCTTGGAAATAGTTGACAGAGTTGTGCACCTATGACAGGCTCAAAATAGCGCGTATGCCTGCATATAATCAGTTCCTGGAGCTGGGGAAGCAACGCAAAGACGCGATCTTCCTGGACGTGGGATGCGGCTGTAGGCCACACCAGCTCTCGCTCTGTACTTTTCTTGACGTGACGCAACTCTAGTCGGCAATGATACCCGTCAAGCTATACTCGACGGATGGCCAATCGAGAGAGTCATCGCGGCAGACCTGAGCCCACGTGAGTCCACTACTTATTGTCATGGCGCGTATAACCCATGACCAATGGTTGCAGAGATGTGGAACGTCGGACACGAGCTGTTCCGTTCCACACCCGACACATTCCCAGTCCCATTCGTCCAGGGCGACATCCTCGACCCTGCATACCTAGCTGTAGCCCCGATCCTTCCTACCTCTTCTACACCTATCCTAGACCCTCTCCCTCCCCTGAGCGAAGTGAAGACGCTCAACGAGCTGCACGGCAGGCTTTCTGCGATGTTCGCCAGCGCATTTTTCCACCTCTTCGAATTCGACGGCCAGGAGCAGGTCGCGCGCAAACTCGCCGGGCTCCTATCACCCCTCCCCGGGTCCATGATCTTCGGCTCGCACACTACCATGGCCGAGAAGGGGCGCTGGGAGATAGGCGACGCCAAGTCAGACTGCCATTCGCCCGAGACCTGGACGGAGCTGTGGGAAGGCATCTTCGCTGAGGCCGGCGTGAAGGTCGAGGTGAAGACGAGGCTGCGGAAGCACCGGGGCGGGCTGACCTTCTATGGGATCTACTCCGGGAGCACGAAGGAGCGCTTCTACATGGACTGGTCGGTGGTGAGGCTGTGAGGTTAGTAGCCGTGGAGTCTGAGGATCACCGGGCTCACCAGCGGAGCTACGGAGAGTTGGCTACATTTGCGAGCGACCTTGCCACACCCTGTATAACAAGAATTATGCAGCACTGAGATAGGAACGATGGGAGCACTTGAACACGAGATTGCCTCGCCACAAAGCGAACGCCCCAGGCCGACAGCAAGAGGTATCGAATCATCCGATGTTTGTAAAAGTCGCATAGACGCAAGTCGTAACGTGGATGCAGGTTCGGACGACTACCACTTGTAAAGCGTCACTAAAGCGTCACAAAGTCCACCAGGACAGCCTCCGTCGAACGGATATCGAAGCCCTCGCTCAGCTTAATCCTCTCCGCCGCCACCCGTCCCGTCGGCGCCACACCACCATTCTCATAACTCTGCCCCGCCCAAGTCAAGTTCGCAACGTCGTCCGCATGGCCGATCACCAATCTCCTCGCCGTCGCCTCGCGGCCCCAGAACGCGTCCAGCTCTCCCTGCGTCGCGCCCCCGCCCAGCGCGAAGTCGAGGTCGACGTGCACGGTCGGGCGCGCGCCCGTGCTGCTCGCGAGCCACGCGTGCAGGTTGACGAACACGGCGCGGACGAGGAGCCCGGCCTCGAACACGGCGTAGCCCGAGACGTTCGCGTCGCCGACGGCGAGCTCGACGAGCCGCGACGCGCCCGTGCCGCCGATCGCCGTGTTCACCACGAGCGCGGCGTAGAACGGCGGCTGGATGTGCGGGGGCGAGGGCGGGTCGAGCGGCGAGCCGTCGATCGTGGACCGGTTCAGCGAGACGGGTTGGATCTGCCGTCGCGTCGAACGTGGTGTACGTGAGTACTCGCAGACGTTCGCGCGTATGGGATATATGGCACTCACAAAGTTGTACTTGTACCCGACGCCCTCGTGGAAGAAGAGCTCTTTGATGCCTAGGGTGGCTGCCTGCAGAGTATAGTCTATGGTCCACAGCGCAGCGCCGGCGGTGTTGCTGACCCCGGGAGCGCCGTGGCAGGCGATGCTGTTCGTCTCGCTGCCGTCGCGCTTCAGCATGCGTACTAGGGCAGCCCTTGTGCTAGATAGACGCACCCAAGGACATATGTCAGGCCGCGGCTGTGTGTCTCCGCGATGTCTGCTTCGAAGACCGACAGGTTGCCTCGAATGTACTGCTTGTTCAGGAAGGACGTCAAGGGGAAGTCCCCTCCCTGGCAAAACGCCGCAGAGTAACGGTGCTGCGATATCCTATGCGAGAAGTGAGTTGGTATTGCACCAAGTAAATCGAGATTCTCCACGCACTGAGTGATAGCCTTCCCGGGTGCACTGTCCAGAATACCAAGATTGAAGATCTCGGTCGGAGTAAAGCCTTGGCCCGCAAAAGCAGCCCCCTGCACCGTCACAGGCCCATCAGGGCCGTTGATCCCCGCCGCCTCCACTGCAGGGCCTGCGATGGAGATCCAGTCGGGGACGTAGTCGTTGACGGTAAAGTTCCTGGGACGCAAGCCGTTGTTCGAGTACAGGTCCGCCTCGTTCCCGACCTCGACCAGGTCCAGGATGACACCCGAGGCCTTTACAGCCGCCGTTTGGAACGCGCGGACGATAGCCTTAGCCATGTTGACGGCATTCGTGACGTTGTCCGCGCCGAAGTTGATGCCCCATGTGACGTGGGTACCGCGGGGGAGGAAGCGCGAGAGCTGGTAGTACGCATCCCCGACGGTGATGTGGGTAGCCTCGGGGTAGGGCGTGATCGTGTTCGCGGGCGGGAACTCGTCCTCGTTGATGGTGACTGTCGGCGACCAGAAGGTGTGGTCCTCTGAGTCGGCGCCGATGCGAATTTTGGGCGGCTCGCCGGTGAGCTCCTGGAGAGCGGTGAGCGCGCTGTGGGTGAACTCGTTGCGGGAGTCGACGCCGGACCAGTCTGGCCAGCGGTCCTGCTCGATGGAGAAGGAGACGAGGGTGCGGGCGAGAGGTTGGGTGCCCGAGGGAGAGGTGATCGGGAGGGAGACGTTCACTGCGTAAGACCCGCAAAGATGGAAGGCAAGGGCCGCGGCGGCCAGCAAGCGGGAGCAGCGGCGCATGACGGGCACAGAGCCTTCAGACAGGGCGGATGGGAGGTCGAGGAGCCCAGGAGTCGTCGAGAGGTCACCTCGCAGGTTTATATGGATTCATCTTGTCGGACAGACATCAGGGAAAGATGCATAAAGAAAACATGGACATGCCGTCCAGGCCGCGTCGGAGGCGGTTGTCGGATGCAGCGGGGAGACGGGGGAGCGTCATGGGTTAAAGGTGTTTGAACGAGAAGCAACGGGTAGCAGAAGGACGCCGCCGCTCGCCGAGGCCCAGCCCGCCAAATCGCAGACGGGGGACGGATCCCGTGCGAGGAGGGCTCATTCGAATGGAAGACGTCGCAGATGCGTTGGTCGCATGTGAGCGACTTCTGATGCTAAGCCTGGCGCCGAGGAGGATGTGCAAAGCCCTGAAATGCTCGAATACAGGCGAATCATGCAGCGAGCGGAACTCGTCGTGGTCGTCCTCTGAGTCGGATGACCACCTCTGCCCTCATCGTCGCTGTTCGTCGACGGCGTGCATCAGCGCTCTACCGACGCTCCCCGGCCCGTCCCCATCCATCCGAGCGCTCACATGCTTGACGCGTTCTGTCAGGTGAGCGTGCCAACACAGACGCACAAAGACGGAAACTCCTGCCGCTCCTATTCTTTCTAGTTCACACAAAGCAACCTGCTCGTCACCAGGGGCTACGACTACGATGTACTGGTGTCAAGGCATTTTACGGACAAGAATAATGTATAAACAAAGGTATACGCATCCTTCGCATGGTCTGTTCTTCTGCTCCTCAACCGATGTCGCCCAATAAACTTGCCATCAATTATATCCACTCAGGATTGCAGAACCATCTGATGCAGAATATCACCGCCAAATTCTCCCCCCACATTCTGATCTGTGACGCCACTACACCCCGCGTCGGGGACGTCCCACATCCCAACTCGACCGTCCTACAATCAGCTCGTCAGCAGTCGTGTCGAGAAAGCACCGCCGGCAGAGCACCTCTGGGTACGCACCCGATCCTCACACGCAGTGGGGTGGTGGAAATGGAATCCAGAGATATTCGCCGGCGTTGTACTGCACATGACATCCCAGTCTTCCTCGTACCGAAGATTCATAAGGCGGGCTTCCAACCGCTATGGCTCGGCCAGGGCTCACAGGTCAGAGAGGGCATAGATGACATGCGTGTCTGACCAGGTACGTGCCTTCATCCCGCTTTGCCCCGGGCTGCATCCCTGAGGAGAACCGGAGTCACTCTCACTTGTCAGAAGTGGTATACTATAGATCATACCATGTCCTTCAGCGTGTCCCAGTAGGTGACGCACTGCGGCTCGCTGAAGTCAATGTGCCAAGTCGCCCAAGTTTTCTTGCCCTGTATCGCAGCTCAGTCAGCCAATTGTGAGAAGGCGACATTCCTGTACACACTCACTTTATTTTCGCATTTATAGGGCTGGTCCACCCATTGTCCGTGGAACTTGATAGGCATGTCCGAACAGGCCTCGAGCCAATTGACGTCTTTGGGCAGATCCAAGAGGTCAGCGTTATATGCGCGCGTCCCGTATGCGACGCAACCGCCGCTCCCCCAAGGCTCAGACCAGTGGGCTCCTCTCCGCTTCCATTCGACCTCCTTCTTGTGACGCTCCTCCTCTTTTCTCTCGAGGGCCCATCCCGTCTTCTCCTTATCAAAAGCGTCCCGCTCAGCTTGACGACGACGATCGAGCCCAGCCATCTTCTCCTTGTACCGGTCGAGAGCGGCCGCCTTCCTCGCCTCCCACTCGCGCGTCCATTCGTCCACCTCCGTCTCCCTGTCGCGGACCCATCTCTCCCTCTCCGCGCTAGATTCCCGTCTCCACTCCTCCTGTCTCTTCCGTATGTCGTCGAGCTCGCGCTGCCAGGAGTCGCGTTCTTGTACGTGCTCGTTGCGCTCTTCCTCCCAACGTATGACCTCCCGCTCGTAGGCCTCCCTTTTTCGCTTCCACTGCCCTCGGTCCGTGGCCAGCGAGATGCGGTCCGCGGCCGTAGGCAGGACTCCAATGTTCTGGAATAACACTATCATCACGAGAACACCGACGACACAAAACAATCTGCCTTTCGTCACCCGAGGTCGCGGCCAGGTGCGAATATCACGCCAGGAAAATGGGCCCAACTCCTGGCTGTGGCTTGCATGATCGTCGGTGAGCAGTGGCTGCGAGTGTGCGCTGAGACCGAACGCGAAACTCACCCCAGCAGCACGGTGCTACCGTCGTCCGACTCCGGCAGCGGACTTGTCTTTCTGAAGTTTATACGCATTGCGAGTGTGCTGTTGGCCTGGTCAGCTTGCGCAGAAGTGGTAACACGGCGTCCGCCAGCATCAGCCGCAGCATATGTATACTCACCAGTGCAAAGGCGGGATAAGCGGTTGAGTGCCCACGGCGAAAGTAGAGCCTGTGGGCAAACCAAAACCCAACCTGTGCTGCGGTAGACCACAAGCTTCTCAGGTTCGTCCTGGGGTCAGATCGAACGTAATACGTACTCGGCAGTGGCCGGTCTCTATGGTCTTTGGTGGCTCTATGACTAGGTGTGTGCGTTCATGATCACTTCTCGGAGGAAGTGCGTTGACGACCCTTGGATCCTCGCATCCGTTCTTATGATAATCCGTTCTATTCTTTGAAACGCGAGTACAGAAATATTCGAGCACACTATCGTTCAGACTACGTTTGCCCATATACGACCCTCCTGCCACTCTCGTTCTGCGATCGCAAGCGACACATCCGGTGGCGATGGTCTAGACTTCAGCTCCACCAAGCTCAAGCTCGCAACATTGTTGAGTTAGCACCGCCCGTCGGGTACGTCCCATATTCCAGTCCTGCCAAACTGATCATGCATCTGGTTAACAGCAGCATTCCGTACGAGTGACGATTGTTGCCTACCCAGTTACGCTCGCAAGCAGTGGGGTGATCAAAATGCACACCGCCGATGTTAGCGGGCGTCGTACGGCACATCTCGTCGTAGTCGTCTCCGCTACGAAGATTCAAGAGACCTGCTGTAAAACGCTGTGAATACAGAGATAGAATGAGCACGTGCACATCAGGTCTGTGATCAGTTTGACCGTCCACGAACCCGATATCCGCGTTGACCAGCACTGCAGCCCTGCACGTTACTGTCGCGTCAGTCTTCTTATTTTTTATGGCATGACGTGAAACACACCTTGTCACGCAATGTGTCCCAGTATGTGGCGCACTGAGGTTCGTCAAAGTCTATATACCAAGTGGCCCATGTTCTATCGCCCTTCAAGACAATCTCAGCAGATAATAACAGTCTGAGTATCGACGGGGCGGCTCACCTTATTCTCGCAATGTGCAGGCTCATCCAGGATGCGTCCATGGAAGTTTATGGGCATATCAGAACAGGCCTGGATCGGATCGACGTTCATGGGCAGGTCCAGGAGCTCGGCGGTGTACATCCGAGTTCCAAACGCCGTGCATTGAGCGGAACCCGAAGGCTCAGACCAGTGTGCCCCCTTACGCTTCCACTCCATCTCCTTCCTGTGCATCTCTTCCTCGCGCCGTCGGCGGGCCCACTCCTCCTTCTCCTTCTCGTACACCTCGCGCTCCGCCTGCCACTCTTGCCGCTCGTGCTCCCACACGTCGACCTCATCTTGGTGCCGGGTCTTTTCGAGCACCCAGAGCTTCTTCTCCAGTCGCCACTTGCGCCGAATCGCAGCCTTCTCCGACAGAGGGATGTCGTCTATGAGCGTTGGCATGTACCCCGTGTTTTGGCACATCACGATGACGGTGAGAAAGACGAGGGCTCCCCACAGAAGGAGCGGAATCTTATGGAAGCGCTTGAGTCGATAGGTCGAAGTACTGCAGAGAGACGAAGCTTCGCTGGGCTCATTCGGGATGTTCTTCCTGCTCGGAGTGCTGGGGCAGGAGATGCTCCAGGAGTTGTGGGCTGTCGCGCTCTCTGCCGGGCGAGACCTTTGCGGATACTGTGACCTGTAATCGATCTAGTCAGTAACTGATGTCGGTCGAATTCAGAGAACTCACGCCGGGACTATGGTGCCATAAGCGTATGGGTCGACCGAATGGTAAGAGGGGGGAGGTGCAGCATAGCTGCTAGTGCTTCCGGACATCGTATACTTCAACCAAGTGACTAGATCGGATTCGCTGTGGGCCGCTTCTCTGCGTCAGTAGAGATCGAAACTTGAAAGTCGGAGGCTGCGTGCAGATAGCTGTGGTAGTCACTCAAAACTCACCGTCCGAGGGTGAGAGGGAAGGTCAGTGTTTGGTGAGGTGCAAGGCCGTGGGGCAGGACGGTCCACCAAATGGTGCTGCGGTAGCCTAGGAGCAACGTAACCCTAATATTAATTGCTCGGCCGCCGCTGCCGGTCTCAAAGAAGCTCCCCATATACAATACCTGCATCCCAGGACACAGGGACATCTGTGTCGCACCAACACAAGGCAAGCTCAACGCGACTCAGAGTCATTGAATGCGTGTTGTATACACCTGCAGCGTAGAGAGAGGATTACTGTGTGCAACTGGAATTTGTGCAGCACTGGGAGTCCTAAAATGAAAGCCTCAATGTAGACGCTCATTCACCAATGCCCGTCGTGAGCAAAACCGCCGATGTCATATAATTTGTCAGCACTGATATTCCCTTTCGGGAATTGGCGCCGGATGGCTAGGGTCCGGAGCTATGTATGTACATGGGACCGGGACCGGGAAAGGCGTACGGTACATTCTAGGTCCATTTCTTTGTCCCGGTTTGGGTCCGGGGCATTGGCCAATCCCCGTCGTACTAGTACGAACCCGATACCCGCTTTCACTAGCACTGCATCACTAACGTCGATGTGGCGTCCAAATTCTTCTGTTTGGACAACATGAGACGACATCACACATTGGATGACTTTCCATAAGCTATCTACGGCTCTACGGACGTCCGTAAATCTCTAAACAGACCAATTTGGGCAAGGGGCAGTGTTGCCGACACCAGATCTGAACTCCGCTGATGAAATTTAGGATACGGACGTCAAAATCTAGGAGGGGGGTCCGACCCCCCTTTCTAAATCTCTAACAGGCCGTAGACAGTCCGTAGACCTCGGCATACGGTGCCGTGACCACGAGAAAGGAAGGAGCCATCATGACAAAGCGAACTGCATGCCAAATACAGACATGACATAAGCCACTCCAGTCACGTGCTGATGATGAGCAGAACATGCCGCCTGTTTAGCGCCCAAGATCCAGAGACTGTTTCAAACCCCGCCTAGAAATCTACGGACATCCGTAGAGCCGTAAATCCTTATGGAAAGTCGTCCATTATGACGCAAATCATCCCAGTATGTGGCGCATTGAGGTTCGTCGAAGTCTATATCACAAGTGGCCCATGTGCTCTCGCCCTTAAGACAAACTCGGTAGACGAGGCGTCAAGGGTACAGAGTTGCGGTTAGCTTGGCATTAGATGCAAAGACAAGACCAGAATCATAGCTATCGTGACGGCCTCCCATTAACCGGCCGCACTCCTCCAGCCAGGCAAATTGGTCGGCAGCTGCCACCGGAAGCTCACGCCCAAAGTCAGCAAGACACTCTGGGGCTACTGGTGAAGAAGTTCGAGGACAAGCGGGCACAAATGGGATTCGCGTTTGGCCGGTGCAAACGCGTGTCGTACGTAATAGACCTAATATACACAGTAAAATAGGGGTAGATAAGAGCGCGGGTGTCCGTCGGGGGGCGGGACCTGTGGCGCTCGTTCTGCGAGCTCGCCATCTTGACGCCAGGATTCCAACACCACTAACGTCAGAGCAATATACTGGAGCTGTCCGAAGGCTTCTGATAGGATCGTTACGAAGAGGGACGCTGGAGAATTTGGGTGTGAGCTTCCTGAAAATCAGAGACCACCAACAGCCATTGATGGCTGCGGGGTGAGTATAGGCGCCCATAACCGATGACGGCGCGTCAAACTCAAAGCCGTACATTCTCGGCTGCCCCTCGACATAACTCGAGCGCAACTCACAAGCTCATTGCACCCCACGTTCACACGCCCCCAGCTGTCACTTTTGGCCTAGAGACAGCTATCTGCTACAACACTTCCAGGAGAACACTGGAGGCCAAACCAACATCGCCGCGGCTGCATCCTCTTGCTACTCGGTGTTCCCTACCATGCGGCACATAAGCCTGCACCTAGCCTTTGGCCACTATGAGTCGCTAGGCGCGAGACATGGGGTTGTACACAAGTCGAGGGCTTGCGCGGTGGAGGAAGCCCCAGCCCAGTCCTGGGAATGTCTGTCTGTCTCTCCTATCGCCTTGTTGCTCTTTCCGCAACGACTGCTTTCGTTCTTAATATCAACCTCATTTACTCTTGCACAATACTAACTTCGTGCGGCACCCGTAGCTCGTTATAATATCTCCAATGAATCCGTATATGGTTGGCGCCACTACAGCGCCTTGCATAAGTCCATGAACGCGCTGATTTCTTCTCTCCGGCGTCTACGCTAAGCGACCTGCCCAAACAGGCCACATGACGGTCACAGGTCTGGAGCCCACGGCCCTCGCTGGCATCACAGACGAGTCTGCGATACACGCGTCTCGCACGTTCATGGTTGTTGACAGTCCATATTGCAGGGAGATGCGCTTGGTGAGGAATGGCACGGTCACTGATGTTCTCTGAACAAATAGAAGGTGATGCTCCACAAAGTAAGGACCACAATTGATTACCCTCAACGGTCAAAACGTTTGCAGTGCGATTTGCAGACCATTAGCCTCGTTCTCTTACGCTCGACATGGGACATGGCAACACAATGTCTAGCGAGATCTGGAGATGCAGGAGGCGCTGCCACTAAGTACGCATCCCTCGCAATTGCGCCTTTGCTCCAGACATGAAGTAAGCAGGTGAATTGTGTGGAGATTAGAACATGAGCATTAGACCACTTTATGCGCGTTCATATGTAGGACAAAATGAGATACAAACATTTCTTATCCATTATACACATAATGAACTTCTTGTATATCGAGTCAGTAGCTCTTCAATTGTGACGCGCCGTTATGGCGTAGTAGAAGTCTTCGTGACCATAATGTGGCTTACTTAGGCAGGTCGCCTAGCGTAGAC